TTTATTTTCATAGTGAATTGCACCTTTTTTGATATGTATTGACTCTCTAAAGTTTTCTTTCTTTTCCTCTTGATATGTTTCTAAATATTTTCTTTTGATATGTTTTATCTAATGTCTTTTTGCATCGCATTTTGTGAATTGGAGAGGAGGATTTAAATATATGCTATTTGGATATTTTTTCTCTCGATCTTTCTGCTTCCTTTTATTTTAAATATGTTTCTTCAAAGAGCCTAACTCTAAATTTTGGGGCACATGGTCTCAAAATCTTTATCTTTTAAATTGATATTTGAATTCATTTGTGTTTGTTACAGTAACTAATGCATTTGATTTATTTCTGTTATAATCATTTTTTGCTTCTCATTTATTGTACTTTTCCTGTACTTTCTCTTTTTTGTTATTTTCTGTTTCTCACTTTACTTTTTGGATTTATTCTGACTTTCATCCTTTCATTCCCTCCTTTCATTCTTCCACAGCCCATTCTTTTTCATCTGTTGTTTAGAAATACATACTTTATTTCTGTGGTTTTAGTAATTATCCTGGCTGTTTGAGGATATATATATATAACAACTTAAAGCTTAAAATTGTCTGTATTTTTACCCACATATAAACAGTAAAAGAATATATTCTAATATAACCATTCTAATGTAACCATTCTAGGTTACACTTTGATCTCCCCCTTCCAAGGTAAAAAAGTCCAACCAATTTCCACTCCTCATTTGCAACAAATTAATCATTATTATTATTGTTGTTTGATATTTTATTACTTGTCCATATATCTTAACAGTGTTTTCCCTCTTTATTTATTTATATATTTTAAACCTTCCTCTGGAATTGCTTTCCCTTTTACCTAAAACACCTCTTCTAAAATTTACTTTGTCAAGAACCTTTTTGTAGAAAATTCAGTTTATGTTTTCCTGAAAATGGCCTTAATTTATTTCCCTCTGGAAGATGGTTTCTTGGGGTACAGAATTTTAGGTTGACAGTTATTTTATCACAGCATATGAAGATAATATTCTGTTGTGTTCTAGCATCCACTGGTGCTATTAAGAAGTCAGTGCTTGATTTAAATATAATTCCTTATCAGGTAATCTATCTTTTTTTCTAGCTATTTTTAGGATCTTCACCTTTTCTTTGTTGTTCTGCAGTTTCAGAGTGGTGTGGTGCAAACTCTGGATTTCTTTTTAGTTTTCCCACTTTTATTTATTTAACTACTTATTGGACTTATTTATAAACTCTCACTATTATTTAAAGTAAGTATTATTACTTACTTTAGCTATTTATTGGATTTATTGAACTACCTAGATCTGAACTTATCTTGCAACATCATTAGAAAGTTGTAAACTAATATCTGTTCACTATGGCCTCTTGCCCTGCTGTCTGCTTTTGACACTTTCTAATACTCGTATTAGTCTTATTAGATGTAAATTACCTTTTCACACTCACCCGCATAGTTTTTAACCTCTTTCCAAGAGTTTCCATCTCTTTGACTCTGAACTACACTACCATGATATATTCAGCTATCATGATATTGATAATAATAATAATAATTGATTGATAATATAATTATTGATTGATAATATAATTATTGATAATAATAATAATAATAATTCATGATATTTCCAGCTCAGGAATTCTCTCTTCATCTACGTGCAGTTAGTTAGTTCAGTCACTCAGTCGTGTCCAGCTCTTTGCCACCCATGGACTGCCGCACACGAGGCTGCCCTTTCCATCACTAACTCCTGGAGCTTACTCAAACTCATGTCCATTAACTGTACTATGTGCAGTACACTGCTTAATATAGTCACTAAGTGTTTTATTTCAGTTATGATTGTTTTATTTATAGACACCTCACTGAATGTTTTTAAGTCTGTTCTTTCATTGTTTGTGGACTTGTTTTCTCTGTTCACATTTTTAGTTTTCTAATTGCTTAAATATATTAAAGGTTAGTTATTAATATATAATGAATTATCATTGATTAAAAACTATTAATGATTTTTCAAAATTGATCTGACCATTCCAGTATCTGAAACCTGCTATTTATCCAGCTAACTTTCATTGAGCTTTGTTTCCCTGTGTATTATTTATTTACCTACTTGTTTAGTTACTTTACTCTTATCTATTCCTTTTTTCCTGGAACTTTATATGTGGAAATTTTTTGAGACCTATGTCAGTATTAAGTCCTCAGTTGTGTTGGTTTTTGTGAGGTGTTTTGAATATCTCTGCTTGGAGACCTCTTTATGTAATATTCCTCCTTTGAAATTTTCAGAACACAAACCTAATATTTTGACAACAAAGCCATCTATGTGAGGAAGAGCTTGTGGTTTCACATTCTTAGGAAGAGTCTTTTTTTTTTTTTTTTTCCCTCCATCCAGCATGAAGGTTGAAACAGGCAAGTCTCTTAGTTGCTTTTCTCTGGTTTAGTCATATAACAAGGATATAGCTGCTTGGGACCCCTACTTTATGAGGGAGTGTCCTGTTACATTTTGTATTAGAGAGGTGAATCTGGGCTTTTATCTCTTAGGTTCTGGCCCCTGTAAAACGATCAGAGTTGAAAACCAGAGTCTTCAGAGTTTACAGAAGCGCAAAAGCTGAAACGTGGGTGTGCACTTAACCTCCAAAGATTCCTGTTTTCACTTCATTTTGAGACTCAGTTTTTCCCCTTTTTCATGTCAGTGAGATGATTTTTTAAAGTCGTTTTTCATGTTTTATCAAGAATGTTTCCATTGGGAGGGATACTCAGGGTATCTAATACATCATTCTGCTAGAAACAGAACATATATTGTTTTGTTTAATCCTCCCATTAACCCTATTTCATGAATAAGAAGTAGGTAGGTATGGTTACAGAATAAAATAATTAATAATATTTTGATGTAAACCTGGGTATCCCAACTCAAGTCTATGACTCTTTTCTTTTTTCTTCCCAAATCTTATGGTTCAACCTCCTCCTCAGAGATCCTTGAAGAGACAAATACAATCAGCATACTGTGTAGCACTGAATGTATTTTGTAATAATGGTTACTGTGAAGAGTTTAGAAGTTCCATATCTTAATTTTCATCCTATTCATGATGAGTAAATCAAGTAAATTTAAGAATATAATACTTTAAGTTTCTAAAATGAATATTCTAGAAACGATTTTCCTGGATCATTCTTGGGAGTCGAAATCTGCCTGTGAAGTTATTCCCAATGACAGCCCGCCTGTCCACACCCAACTGGTGACCCAGCAATCCCACTACTGGGCATATACACCAAGGAAACCAGAACTGAAAGAGACATGTGTACCCCAGTGTTCATCACAGCACTGTTGACAATAGCCAGGACATGGAAGCAACCTAGATGTCCATTGGCAGACAAATGAATAAAAAAGCTGTGGCACATATACACAATGGAATATTACTCAGCCATTGAAAAGAATACATTTGAGTCAGTTCTAATGAGGTGGATGAAACTGGAGCCCATTATACAGAGTGAAGTAAGTCAGAAAGAAAAACACCAATACAGTATACTAACACGTATATATGGAATTTAGAAAGATGGTAATGATGACCTTATATGTGAGACAGCAAAAGAGACACAGATGTATAGAACAGACTTTTGGACTCTGTGGGAGGGTGGGATGACTTGAGAGAATACCATTGAAACATGTATATTACCATATGTGAAACAGCTCTCCAGTCCAGGTTTGATGCATAAGACAGGGTGTTCAGGGCTGGTGCACTGGGATGACCCAGAGGGATGGGATGGGGAGGGAGGTGGGAGGAGGGTTCAGGATGGGGAACACATGTACACCCATGGCTGATTCATGTCAATGTATGGCAAAAACCACTACAATATTGTAAAGTAATTAGCCTCCAATTAAAATAAATAAATTTTTTAAAAAGTGACATTTATAAAGTGTCTGCAGTGCCTTTAAGTAAGCCTGCATGAGCCGAATTCTGTACTTTCTCTTGGTAATACTGGGTTTCTTTTGGGCACTGATAGGCAGTCTGATTCTTGCATGGAATAATACCTAACTAAAGCCAATTCTTTTATTTAACAATAGCGTGGAAGCAACCTGAGGTAAGCTTTGGACCATTCAAGGAAATAACATATTTATTTATAAACTCAGTATCTAGGGTAAAAAATTAGGCCTTCCTTATCAATAGCATTAGTTATAGTTAATAGTTTCATCTGCATCAGTGACATGTAGCTCCTGATGGTTGTGGTATGTGTTTCTTGTGGTCACGGAGAGAACTTCTTGGAAGCATCTTGTTAAAAGTTAAATAATATGTAGTGAAACTGGACTCGCTCTTTCTGGTGCTCCAAATAAAATCAGAAAGTACTTCCCTCGTGGTTTTGGGGGCTGTACGTGCTCTTGCCCTCTGTGCTCCTCTGAGCTCAGAATCTCCCACCCCCCTTCTGCCTTCTCTTCTGCAGTCACACTGCCTCGTTTTTCATGCACGTGAAATACATCTTCTTTCTCTTTGAACTCCTCTTCTTTCAGGTTGCTTGTGTGGCTCATGCTCTCACCTTATTAACGTCTGCTCAGATGTCACTGCCTCAAAGGAGCTGTTCTGATCAGTCTTTCTAAAATAGTACCTGTGTCAGTTTTGTGTTGCTGTGTAGTAAATGACCATACAATTTTTGTAGTGAACAACAGTATGCATCTGCAGGTCTGCTGGGTGACTGGCTGACTAGTCTAGGCTGAGATGGGTTTGTTGCCTTCCCTCATTTGAGTTCTGCATCTCTCTGGATGTGACTTCTTACGGCATTGTGGGGTCATAGCTTTTCATGCCTCTCGTTTTTGTACACCGGGGGTATGGCATGGCATAGATGCTCAGTGAGTATCTGTTTGTAAATAGACAAAAGCATGAATAAATGTGATAGAACTTGAAAGAATGAGATGTAATAGAAATTAAGTAAAATAATCCCCTTAACTTAGCATCTCCTAACGTGTGCAGTAAATGATGTGAGGACTCAGGGTGATTCTGTCGTGTCTTCTGTTTTCTTTTCCTGTGTTTAGATCAGAGAACAGGCACATGTTTCTCAGGCCTGGTGAACGGTCGCTGTGCGCAAGAGCTTCCGGGCAGGATGACCAGAATGCAGTGCTGCTGTGAGCCCGGCCGCTGCTGGGGCCTTGGGACCATTCCTGAAGCCTGTCCCGCCAGGGGCTCCGGTGAGCTGTGGGCTGCTCGTGTGCTTAGGCCACGCCGCGTCAGGGAAATTAGTAACAGTAATGTGCTTTGGTGTTTTCCTTAAAGACAGATCATCTTTGCATTCCTGTTAGTGTCTTCACTAACAGGGGGTTAGAATGACATTGTTTATTGGGATCAGTCTTCATTCTATTCTCTTTGTTAATATTCGACAAAACCCTAACCACCTATCATGTATTAACTTTAAGCAAGAATTTTAATAATTATTTTGAATGTCGGTATTTAAGTTCAATTTTAAAACCTAATCTTCCATTTGAAGCTTGAGTAACAAAGTTTGGCCTTCATTTATTTTATTTTAGGATTACCCTCAGCTTATTGTGTTTCAGTCCTTAAGAGATATTTCCTCCCTTTTCTAATGACCTTGAAAATTCAGAATACACTGAATTTTGTATTCAGAACTCACTGTCATTCACTTTGCTATATTAACTGCCGTGTAGTTGAGGCTATATCAGAAAATTACTCTGAAATGAACGAGAAGTAGTTCCTCTTGTTAATATAACATGCATAGTAGAGTGTAGTGTTCATCACATAAATGTATATCAATAATATGTTATTATATTGCCTCCATGTTCTAAGTATGAAAAATAATTCAGCTTTTTGAAATATGCTTATAAAGATATGCATCTGTATGTTCTGTTATGGAGGAAAAAAAAAGAGTATGGAGGAAAAAAAAAAGAGCCTTTCTTCCTAAGTTTCTAATCCTTGTAATTCCAAAAATTGAGTAGTAAAATTTTTTTAAAACCAGAGATAATGCATAGTGTATCATTTTGAAAACTCATCATCCTAGTCATATTAATACTCAAACAATTACTTGAGTTAAACAGTTTTCATTTCTTCTTATACTGTGCCCTAATTCTTAGCACAGTTAAGAAAAGAAGGCAATTATGCTTTTTTCCATCAACTTTGATACTTGGACAAACAATTAGCAGATTTAAAAGCTTACTAAATGCTGTATTCTGTTAAGAGTCCACGTTAGGAAAAAAATTATTCTAAATCATATTAATCCCTTAAAAAAAGAAAAGAGGGAAAATGTGTAGGTATGTTATTGATGGAGATTTAAGTAAAACCAAATATAGAATGAATTACTTAAAGGTTTAATATCCATCCATTCAAGTGAATTTCTTGCATTTACAGTTATATCTGGAATTTAATGAGTTGCACTTAGAGACATAAAATCAAAGTATATGTATAGACAATGCTTTGGGTATGCAACTCAGTTAAAATATGGCTTATAGATTTCAATTTTTTCCTGAAGCACCTGTATTTTTCCTGCTACTGCTGGCATTGAAAACATTTATCAAGCTAATAACTGACTCATTCATATCACGAAGCATAGATAACCTAAAATGATTATTACAGTACACAAATTACCTTTATTATACAGAAATAACTCCGTTTGTGTTTAACTGAACCTTCTTCTCTTTTAGAGGAATATCGCAGACTTTGCTTACTGCTGGCATTGAAAACATTTATCAGCTAATAACTGACTCATTCATATCACGAAGCATAGATAACCTAAAATGATTATTACAGTACACAAATTACCTTTATTATACAGAAATAACTCTGTTTGTGTTTAACTGAACCTTCTTCTCTTTTAGAGGAATATCGCAGACTTTGCTTGGATGGCCTTCCCATAGGAGGGATTCCAGGGAGTGCTGGCTCCAGGCCTGGAGGCGCGGGGGGGAATGGCTTTGCCCCGGGTGGCAACGGCAATGGCTATGGCCCCGGAGGAGCAGGCTTCATCCCCATCCCTGGAGGCAACGGCTTTTCTCCTGGCGTTGGGGGAGCTGGCGTAGGGGCCGGGGGACAGGGGCCCATCATCACCGGGCTAAGTGAGTGCTCGCTTTGTGTGTAGACTCTCTAGTTTCCCCCTTAAAAAATATTATAATATCTAATCATTTTTCCCAAAAGGTATGTGTGTGTATGTGCAGAAATCTGCTTTGAGGTCTAAAGCATAATATAGTAAAACAGTCTTAGTGTAGTGTTATTTTTATGTTCCATAAACTTTCTAAGTTGGAGAAAAGACTGAGTGACCCAGGTTCTCTTTGAAAATAGAGGTGAGAGTGGGGTAATATTCCAAGATCAGATGATGCCATTAAAGAGCATTCTTTTTGGTTCCAGTATTTCATTTGGCTACTTGTAGCTGTCTCAGTCATACACTCCTTGAATTATTTTCCAGAACCATTTCTCAACTGAGATAAATTGAATATGTCTTGCTTGTGCCTAAACAAATATTATAATGAAATAGCTTTTCTTTTCCTCTCCCTCTTTTGTTGAATAACTTAAGAAATTGAAAACTGTGGGCTTCTAGCCAGAATTGGCGTTGGCGTGTTTGACATTTAAGTTCATTCTTTTTTAAAATAACTGCTCTTGCTAATAATATTTAATGATGTCTTACAGTGTTATGTTTGTTCTTTTTGGCATATTGCCTGTTTACTATATCTGGATATTCAGCATGGTTACAAAAAAAAAAAAGTGGGACGCATTCAAATGTACAGTAGAACATTCCTGACATTTTAAAAAGACGACATTATGGGCAGAGTTTCCAGATATATAACTTAACAAATGCAAGTTATAACCATGTGTCTCAAGAATAGTTTTTAAGTTTCAACATTAAAGTTTTAATAAACTACAGAATAATGCGAGCTTTTGATATGTACACCTAAATAATGTACTTAAATATCCTTTTAACAATCAACTTTAAAGAAAGTAATCCATGTTGGAGTGATGAAATATCATTTGTGCTCTAATTTTTCATAGCTATTCTGAACCAGACAATAGATATCTGTAAGCACCATGCTAATCTCTGTTTAAATGGACGCTGCATACCTACTGTTTCTAGCTACCGATGTGAATGCAACATGGGTTATAAGCAGGATGCAAATGGGGATTGCATAGGTAAGTTCATGAGTCTTTCATTATTCTTAATTTTTTAAATAGCTTTTAGATTAGAGGCACAAGTAGGGCTGAATATGATTTTGAAGTAAAGCTAATTTCCAAGTTGTCTTTGCTGTGTGCTTACGCGTCCATGTGCTTCCTTAACCAACTGCTGAGCTGGACTATTTCAAAAATCCCTGCCTGGGACTTCCCTGGCTGTCCAGTGGTTAAAACTACACACTTCCACTGCATGGGGTGCAGGTCCTATCCCCTGGTCTAAGACCCTACATACTGCATGACATGGCCAGAAAGGAAAAGAAAAGAAAAGAATCCCCTGTCCTTTCTGGTTCTAAATGTTATTTCTGTCTCTGCCTCTCTCTTTTCTTCCTTCTTCACTGAGTCACACTTGATATATGGTGGCATCATTAACATGAGCTGTAAGGCAGAGATTGGGAAGAAGTGGTTGATGCATCTCTCTGGGGCATGTTGAGTTTTAGGTGTCTTGGGTATTGACCTGTAAAGGTCTAAAGCTAAGAGGAGAGTTCAGGACTTGAGTTAAAAATTTAGGAGTCAGCAACATATAGGTGATTATTGCAGCCAGGCTGAACAACAGGAAGAGTTAAAAGATAGCCAGAGTAGTACATCTAGAACCGTAGGGACTAGCAACATTAGTAATAATGTTGGTGAGATGGCAAAATAATCTAGAAAATATGTATCACTGAAGCCTTGAAAAGTATGCCTTCAAGAGAAAACGAGTGTTAAGTACAGCCAAAAAATGAAATACAAAGAGGAGAACAACATTGCTGTATTTGGCAATGAAGAGAGTTTTGATGATCTTTTAAGGATAGATTTAGGACCATGGGGCTTCCCTTGTGACTCAGCTGGTAAAAAATCTGCCTGCAATGCCAGAGACCTGGGTTGGATCCCTGGCTTGGGAAGATCCCCAGAAGAAGGGAAAGGCTACCCACTCCAATATTTTGGCCTGGAGAATTCCATGGACTGTATAGTCATGCAAAGAATCAGCCACGACCTGCAGCACTGTCTACTGAAGGTGATACGGCCTGTTGCACAGACCATTTGTCATGCTTGATATGCTTACTAACACTCTAAACACTGTCTTTTCTCTTTTTGCTTCATTCCTTTGGCTCAGTGAATCGCTATTATCAACTAAAAGCTTAAATGTGAGTCTCAATGGAGGCATCTTTGGATGCCATGCATCTTTGGATGAATTGGAAAACTATTTACTCCTGTTTTTCTTTGTTGTTTTTAATTTTATTTGCCATGAGTGTTTTCTCCCCCCTCTGTTACCAGAGAAAGTTTAATTGCTTTCAGCCTAGGTGTTTATATTAATGAAGTTGGTGAGTTTTGTAGAGTACAGTTCCTCTTTTAAGAATATCTGTGAAAGAAGCAATCTGTTTACAAAAATGGTTAAACTGTGAATTGATTTTATTGTTGTTTTCACCAATTTAGCTGAAATTGTATATGTTAATGGCTTCTTTATGTCTATGAAAGGGCAAGTCATTATGCCCTAACCAGTCAGCCAGGCTTTTAATTCACCGGCATTGCTTTTTCTAACACAAACATGATTTCTCTAGGATTTAACTAATTCTTGCTGTCCACTTTGTCATTTGGTTGCACAGTCCTTGAATTCTGTGATAAATTTGCATTTGATCAAAACTTGGAGAATTTAACGAGAGAGCAGTGAGGTTTCTCACCCTTGGGATCAGAATCAGTATTTCCATAAAACTTGGTTTTATAAAAAAAAAAAAATCCCTGTGCCAACTTTAAGATCCTAGAGAAACCAGCAACTACTGAATATAATAGACTTTTTTTCCACTTAATTTCCATTTTTACCCCATCCCGTGTTTTTTGCTTCAAAATATTATCCAAGCCTTGATATACTAGTTACATATATAGTTGAGTTCACAAAAAATAGTTAACAAAAAATTCCATAATTTGTCTGTCTTTTTAAAAACTAATAGCAGTGACAGCATATAATATAAATATATATCTTTTAAAAATCTTTACTTAATCTTCTAACTCTGTAGTAAGCCTTAAAGAGGCTGTTAACTTGCCCAGATTACTTAGATAATAAACATTTTCTAGCCTCTGGGAACTCATGGCTGTGTCTTCCCCAAGCTCATGCTTTTGATCATTGTACATTATTCAAATTGAAAAACCATTATTTCTTGGTTAAAGCAAATTCTCTTGTATGCTCCAATAGGTGATATTTTTGTAACTCTCCAGACGGGCCTCTGTAGTTGAAGAAAGGAATTTTTATTCATTTATAAATACTCTGCTATTTAGACTATTAGTACTGACTGGCCTTCTCTCAAATCTGGAAGGCCTAAATGTATTTTAAACAAACATTTCTAGAAATGGAGTGAAGTCTGTAATGGTTTCTTTTGCTGCTCACAGATGTTGATGAATGCACATCAAATCCCTGCACCAATGGAGATTGTGTTAACACACCTGGCTCCTATTATTGTAAATGTCACGCCGGATTCCAGCGGACTCCTACCAAGCAAGCATGCATTGGTAAGGCAGCTTGCTTTCACATATGAAAATGTTCCATGAAATATGGTGACCCAGGCTGTTGAGGTTAAAAGTGAATTTATTCAAGAAAGACATGGAATGAAATAAGTGCTGTTACATTATTACAGATTTACTGTATGTCACCCTCAAAGTGTTCTCTTCCAACATAAATACTTTTTTGCATATGTAACACAGGCAGTGTGGTATCTGGCCTCAGAAAAAACCTGGTTTATCTTCCTTCCCTAGATCACAGCTTCCTTTCTCCAAGTAACATCAGTAGCATTACTGCTCTCTGATTAGCGCAGTTTAAGATTTATTGTTGTTCTCAGCTACTGTTTTCTTTGAACCGCACACGTAGTGCAATACCACATCATGACTGCTCTTAATGCAGTTTCGTTGCTACACCCACCACCCTCGTCCAAATGCTCTACCTCACTGCTGATTCATCCCAGAATTCTTTTAGAAGATAATCCTCCTTTTCCTTTTTTCATTTCCTATTCATCCACTGACAGTTGCTTGGATCACTTTATTCCAGCAATTTTTGTCATGTTGCTCTTAATCCAGATATTCCTTAGTTATTTCATTCTTATTCAGCTCCTTGCTTTGTCTTTTTTAAAATTAATTTTTGATGGACTATAGTTGATTTTCAGTGTGGTGTTAATTTCAGTGTAAAGCAAAGTGATTTAGTTACGCTTTTACATTTATCCAGATTTCCCTGGTGGCTCAGTGGTAAAGAGTCCACCTGCAGTGCAGGAGACACAGGTTTGATTCCTGGGTCAGGAAGATCCCCTGGGGAAGGAAATGGGAACCCACTCTTAACGTTCTTGCCTGGGAAATCCCATGGACAGAGGAGCCTGGCGGACTACAGTCTGTGGGGTCGCAAGAATTGTACACCGCTTAGTGACTAAACCAGCACCACCATCCATACATCCGCTCTTTTTAGAGTCTGTTCTCATAATCGTTGCAGAGTATTGAGTAAAGTTCCCTGAGCTATACCACATGTCCTTGAAGTGAAGTGAAAGTCGCTCAGTTGTGTCCGGCTCTTTGCGGCCCCATGGACTGTAACCGGCCAGGCTCCTCTGTCCAAGGAATTCTCTGGGCAAGAGTACTGGAGTGGGTAGCTGTTCCCTTCTCCAGGGGATCGCCTCGACCCAGGAATCGAACCAGGGTCTCCTGCGTTGCAGGCAGATTCTTTACCAGCTGAACCACCAGAGACGCCCACAATGGGTCCTTGTGAGTTTTTTGTTTTATATGTAGTGGTGTGTATGTGTCGATTCCAATCTCCCAGTTTATACCTCCCCCCTCACCCCATTGGTCACCATAGGTTTGTTTTCTGTATCTGTTTTTTAAATAAGTTCTTTTGTGCCATTTTTTTTGGATTTCACATATAAGCAGTTTCATTTGCTCTGACTTTTAAGGTCTTCAACCACTGTGTCAGAAGCAGCTACATTCCAGCTGCACTGTTCACTCTCTTCTACATTCACTGTACACCCCATTTCATTTTTCTTTTTCCTCCCTCCTTCAGCTGTCATAAGTCAGGGTTATAGAACTGCTTATACCTACCTATCCAAGGAAAAAAACCTGGTGAGAGATGAACATTTTTCTAAAGAAGCACCATGACCTGGATATTACATGGATTGTCTTACTGCTTTTGTGATTATTTTAAAATACTAATATTGTTAATTTCCCCAGATATTGATGAATGCATCCAGAATGGGGTTCTTTGTAAGAATGGTCGATGTGTGAACACAGATGGAAGTTTCCAGTGCATTTGCAACGCTGGCTTTGAATTAACTACAGATGGAAAAAACTGTGTTGGTATGGAAAGTGCCTGCTCCCTTGCAAAAGATTTTTTAAGGAATATATACCCTTTTATTTAGAACCATATAGACTGTTACCATGAAAGCTCATATAGCACATAGATGAGAATCATTTAGATGACTTAGGTAAAATATAAATACATTTAACAAAAGACTGTTGAAGTGAAGGGACAGAATTTTTGGAAATATAATAAATGAATAGTTCATTGCTTCTGGAAATTTCTTGTGTGGCATATCACTTTATTCCAGCAATTTTTGTCATGTTGCTCTTAATCCAGATATTCCTTAGTTATTTCATTCTTATTCAGCTCCTTGCTTTGTCTTTTTTAAAATTAATTTTTGATGGACTATAGTTGATTTTCAGTGTGGTGTTAATTTCAGTGTAAAGCAAAGTGATTTCGTTACACTTTTCACATTTATCCAGATTTCCCTGGTGGCTCAGTGGTAAAGAGTCCACCTGCAGTGCAGGAGACACAGGTTTGATTCCTGGGTCAGGAAGATCCCCTGGGGAAGGAAATGGGAACCCACTCTTAACGTTCTTGCCTGGGAAATCCCATGGACAGAGGAGCCTGGCGGACTACAGTCTGTGGGGTCGCAAGAATTGTACACCGCTTAGTGACTAAACCAGCACCACCATCCATACATCCGCTCTTTTTAGAGTCTGTTCTCATAATCGTTGCAGAGTATTGAGTAAAGTTCCCTGAGCTATACCACATGTCCTTGAAGTGAAGTGAAAGTCGCTCAGTTGTGTCCGGCTCTTTGCGGCCCCATGGACTGTAACCGGCCAGGCTCCTCTGTCCAAGGAATTCTCTGGGCAAGAGTACTGGAGTGGGTAGCTGTTCCCTTCTCCAGGGGATCGCCTCGACCCAGGAATCGAACCAGGGTCTCCTGCGTTGCAGGCAGATTCTTTACCAGCTGAACCACCAGAGACGCCCACAATGGGTCCTTGTGAGTTTTTTGTTTTATATGTAGTGGTGTGTATGTGTCGATTCCAATCTCCCAGTTTATACCTCCCCCCTCACCCCATTGGTCACCATAGGTTTGTTTTCTGTATCTGTTTTTTAAATAAGTTCTTTTGTGCCATTTTTTTTGGATTTCACATATAAGCAGTTTCATTTGCTCTGACTTTTAAGGTCTTCAACCACTGTGTCAGAAGCAGCTACATTCCAGCTGCACTGTTCACTCTCTTCTACATTCACTGTACACCCCATTTCATTTTTCTTTTTCCTCCCTCCTTCAGCTGTCATAAGTCAGGGTTATAGAACTGCTTATACCTACCTATCCAAGGAAAAAAACGTGGTGAGAGATGAACATTTTTCTAAAGAAGCACCATGACCTGGATATTACATGGATTGTCTTACTGCTTTTGTGATTATTTTAAAAGACTAATATTGTTAATTTCCCCAGATATTGATGAATGCATCCAGAATGGGGTTCTTTGTAAGAATGGTCGATGTGTGAACACAGATGGAAGTTTCCAGTGCATTTGCAATGCTGGCTTTGAATTAACTACAGATGGAAAAAACTGTGTTGGTATGGAAAGTGCCTGCTCCCTTGCAAAAGATTTTTTAAGAAATATATACCCTTTTATTTAGAACCATATAGACTGTTACCATGAAAGCTCATATAGCACATAGATGAGAATCGTTTAGATGACTTAGGTAAAATATAAATACATTTAACAAAAGACTGTTGAAGTGAAGGGACAGAATTTTTGGAAATATAATAAATGAATAGTTCATTGCTTCTGGAAATTTCTTGTGTGGCATATGTTTAATTAAAGCAACGATTATTCTTTGTAATTTTTAGCACCTACTGTATTTTGGCTGTTGGGATTACAACACTGATAATACAGAAAAGGCCCACCTCCAGTCTAGGGAAGCACAAAAACATTTGATATATGTGATAATCAGATCTCCAAATTTGTGGTCCTGGTGATGTCTAGCAGTGTAGTAAACACCAACATGCCACAGAAATATTCTATTTGTACAGAAACACATATTTCACCCACTAATCAAAGTCCAGATCATTTCATGTACAGTGAGCTTTGTCATTGCTTTATTCTCTCATACAATATAAACATCTGATGAAAGAAATAGTAACGTTTTGGTAATCAAAATAAAACACTATTCATGTGATTTTAATAGAAACTACGCATAAAATTTCCTTGATGCTTTTCCTCTGTGTCCCTTACACTAAAGGTCCTTCATGTTTTCCGCACTATTTGCTGTCATTCGGTTGGCATTTGTAAGGAAAGAAAAATGTCTGTGGCCACTTGGCTCATTTATGCAGTAGAATATGCCTGGCAGTTGTTTGTAGGAAGAGGGGGAACTGGTTTCCTCAAGGCCAGTTGTGTAAGTCACTCTCTCCTTCTGCAGACCATGATGAATGTACAACCACCAACATGTGTTTGAATGGGATGTGCATTAATGAAGATGGCAGTTTCAAGTGCATCTGCAAACCAGGATTTATCTTGGCTCCAAATGGGCGTTACTGCACTGGTATGTATGGCTCTGAGATAGGAAAGTAACCATGATTGAAACCATCTTTTTTATCTGAATGAATCATGCAAGAATTGCTTCAGTTTCTTCATGTGGATTTTGTATTATTCACATCTCTCACTAATTCAGTACGGCAGGTGTCTAAAGCTTCCTAGAAAAACATACTTTGTGGTCTGTGGAACACCAGTGTCTTTACAAAAATAATAATGGCATAGGAAGAATTAAGGGAATGACAGATTGGCTCTAGCAAATCTGGAAAAGACAATGAAGAAATAAGTTCTCTCAACTTTTTACATAAAAAAAGAGGAAGAAAAATATTGTATTCTCAGAACTAGATTTTCCACTGTCATTCACTGCTGGTTTTGCATTATATCTTTTCCATAAGCTAATTCACATATCATTTGTTACCATATCCATATCTAAAAGTCTTATATTGATTTTGGGAAGAAGTAATTTGAATATTTCTAGCAACTGTTTTGTTTATAAAACCATTTTGAAGCCCAAGCTCTAGTGGTAGTTTTACTAAGCAAAAGATAACTCTTGGAAATAAATAAGACTACATTATGTTTATATTCGCAGTTGGAATTTAATAAGATGGAACAAATTTTGTAGTTCTACTAAAAAAAAATAAGCTTTATTCCAGTTTCCTCCTTTTGGACAAAATTAACTCCATGAATACTTCCTGCCTTCGATCACACAAATTGATCTGAATAACAAATAATACGCATACCCAAACCCTATAATGTCAGTGAAATTCCAGGGAGAGTGGACAAAGAAAAATCAAGACTGATTCTTGTATTTCTGAATGAAAGTAGTTTCTTGACTATTCATGAAAAGGAGGTTCAGTATTAAATAGAAGTATTGTGGCTTTGCTGATTGAACTCATGACTGGAATGTCATCTCAAGGTTAGCTAACTTGGATTAATCACAGGATATGAGATTAGCATTCTGTTCCAGTGTGTAGAATTACATTACAGCCTGTAACTTTTTCAGCATTTCTTAAGAAACTTAAATATACATAAAAAGATGACCTAAATCTCACCAGTTCCTGCTTTATTGAAACTTTTATTAATTTTTTATTACAAATGCTGTAATCCATAAATTTTGAAATGCTCATGATTTGGCAGCTCTGTGTTTTGAAGGCTGTTCCCCTTTAAGGGGAAGCCATTTAATGGTGGGTTACATTTCATAAATTTAAGCACTTTGAAAATTACAAGAGACTTCAAATTATTTTGTTACTGTGAACTGACTGAATTAAAACAGCATCTTAGAATTTTATGTATGTGTAAATGAAAGTTAATTACATTTACCTTGGTTGTAAGAATTTGTTTCACTTAACTAATTTGAGTTGAATAATATTAAACAAAATTGCCAAATAAATAATGAAAAATTAATTTGTCATACTCTTCTAATGCGTAAAATAATCTACTTTCACTCAATCTTTCTGAAAATGTGTTTGAAAGAGTTGCATTTGTGTAAAAGATTTGTTGTCACATCTGTGTATTCTTGCACAAGTTATAAAATTGAAAACCAAATGTCGATAATGTACAGTAGTGGCAGCAGGTCAATTCTGTAATGAAGTTAGAGTAATGGCCCGGCTTGTGTTCCCCTCTCTGGACAGATGTTGATGAGTGCCAGACCCCAGGAATCTGCATGAATGGGCATTGCATCAACAATGAAGGGTCCTTTCGCTGTGACTGTCCCCCAGGTCTGGCTGTGGGTGTGGACGGACGCGTGTGTGTTGGTAAGTGAAACATTCTGTAATGGCCCTAGTGACCAAATGATCTTTGAAAACGGGATACAAGTATATCTATACAATAGAATAATATTCAGCCATAAAAAGGACAAAATACTAATATATGTGAAAGCATGGATAAGCTTGAAAACATCATGCTAAGTGAAAGAAGCCACACAAGACCACATAGTGTATGATTCCAAATGACATGTCTGTAAAGGTCAAATTTGTAGAGACTGAGCAGATTAGTGGTTGCTTAGAGCAGAGAGCTTGAGGGTGGTGGGAGAAGAAGGTGATTGTTAAAGGTGTTTATGAGATGATGAAATGTTCTAACAGCAGCTAGAATAGCGATTGTCCAACTCTATGAATGTGCTAAAAGCTATTGAATTTATTTACTTTAAACGGGTGCATTCTTTGTATGTGAATTATATCTCAATAAGGCAGTTTTAAAAAGGGGACAAAGAGCCCAGCTAGCTCCCTTCAGTAGCCTCTGATGAGACAGAAATGCTAGAGAAGGAAAAAAAATTGTCCTGTACCAGTGTCCTCCGTATTGTTAGATAACCATGTGTCTCTGGTGGCTCAGGCAGTAAAGAATCTGCCTGCGATGCAGGAGACCCGGGTTCGATCCCTGGGTCAGGAAGATCCCCTGGAGAAGGAAATGGCAACCCACTCCAGTATTCTTGCTTGGAGAATTCCGTGGATAGAGGAGCCGGGGAGGCTATGATCGCTGGGGTCGCAAAGAGTTGGACACAACCGAGAGATTAACACACTACATACAATGGAAATATATTTTATAATTAATGAGACATGAAACAGGGACAGCAGTTGTATTTAAATAAACTCTTATTTTTACCCAAACAATATTAATTTTTATCATCTGAGCTTTAACATTTTTTAAAAACGTTGTGTGTGTTAGTTGCTCAGCCGTGTCGACTCTTTGTGACCCCATGGACTGTAACCTGCCAGGCTCCTCTGTCCATGGAATTCTCCAGGCAAGAATACTGGAGTGGGTTGCCATTCCCTTCTCTAGGGGATCATCCTGACCCAGGGATGGAACCCGGGTCTTCTGCATTGCAGGCAGGTTCTTTACTGTCGGAGCCACCAGGGAAGCCTTTTAAATTTTATTTTTATACAATCTTAAAGGTTGATTTTCATTTCAGTCATTGCAGAATATTGGCTATATTCCCCATGTTGTACAATACGTCCTTAAGCCTGTCTTACACCCAGTAGTTTGTATCTCCCACTCCCGCATCCCTATGTTGCCCCTCCTCCCATCCCCACTGGTAACCACCAGGTTGTTCTCTATATCTGTGAGTCTGCTGCTTTTCCCAAACAAAATTTTAAATGTAAATAATTTATATGTTAGAACTTCAACTTATATCAAAAGTTGGAAATGTTTCTAAATAGTTATTCAGTGCTGTGTAATGATAGAAACGAGGAAAGAATATGAGAGAGAATCTATGTTTTATTTGAAACCATTCATCATTCCTCTTGGGAATAATTCCTACTTTTGAGTTAGCAGGCATCAGCTTTAAAGAGTCAGGCAAAACGAAAGTATCTTTGGCATTCAACAACCCAACCGCTAATGCCCTAATGATATCAAGAGCAGAGGGAGTAGTGAAAATACATCGAATGCCATATTCTCTCCAAAGCACTTCCATGAAAGTGAATTAGCCGTTGTGCACCATCTATTTCTCAGGTCATAGCGTAAAAGACAGACATACTCAGTGGTTTAAAAGTATTATTTGAGAGAAATGAAATTCTTTCTCAGACATAGCTGGTTATACTTTATTCTTAACCTATGGGAATCAAAACATTTGGATTCTGAAGGTTATGTTAAAAAAAAAAAGGAAGAAGCAACAGCAGATGGAAATAATCTGTCCACTTAAAGTTTCATCCACTCTATCCAGGCTAGGATTTATTTCAGCTTACACGATTGTCAGCACTTTGTTCAGGACTATTTCAAATACAGTAACTAGAAGAATGTAGCTCCTTTCTGCTTAAAGAGCTAAAATATTTTCATTGCTTTTTTCCTTTATCTAAATGGTTTTGCTGAAATCTATGATTAGTTCAAAACCAGTTTTGGAGGGAGAAATGATTTTTCTTTTAAGTAACTGACATATGAATAGTTGTTAGGAATTCAGTGTTCAAACACAAATATTCATTCTCTTGTCCACATACAGAGAAAGCATTAGAATTTTTTGGGAAACCCTCTCCAGTTTTTCACAGTTGTAATTACTTAAACTTTTTAAAATAAAAACACCATTTGTTCTGTGTGTAAAATTATATAGCTATTCCTTTAACATGTTTTCTTCATGTCTTCTGCCTTTTGAGATGCTTTTAGATGCATTGATTATTGAGGTTAGAGATGAATCATTATGGTGAATTACTATTAGAGTTAGCACTTTGATTTTAGATTTCGTTTGTTTGTTCATTTTTGTTTACCTATATACTGAGATGGGGTTTTTTATTTTCAGAAAATTAAACTACTGTTGTAACCAGGATATTGAAGAAGCATGATTCACAGACAGGATATGAACAAAAGGCAACTGTATTTTGTTTTTCTCAATCCTTTCAAAACATATTTTTAATTATTCAGTGGGAGCAGTTTATCTAATAAGGAAGAAAACTTAGGCACCCCCAACTTTACAGTTTTTAGATGGCAGAAATTTATAAGACTCCTTGAGCTAATGAAAATAATCTGGATTTAGCAGTTAGAATGTCCAGTGATGTATAATAGCCAATATTCTGAACTTGATTTGAAGTTATGACTTCCCTTCCCAAGCTTACACCTTCATGAGCAGGATGTTTCTGACTCCACCAGAGCCGTCTAAGCACAAGGGGACAGGAAAGAAGCCAGAAGCCCTGACACTCTCCTAGGGTTACTTCAAGATTTCTGGGCTTGACACAAGTTTAAGCCAACTTCATCCTTGTGAGTGATTTCATGAGGGTGTCAACGGCCTTGGCCTGCCCGTGACGAGATGCAGACACTGCATTTTTCTCCTGGTGGCTGTTCCTGGCCCAACCCCAGGTCTTTCTGCAGTCCACTTTAGACAGACTGTCTCTCGTGGTGTCTCGTCTCCTCTCTGCACGTTCATTTTAGAGACTCCAGTCGGTGTGGCCATCATCTAATCCACATGACATGCCACCCTTTGCCCTGTGAACCGAGTGAACAGAGATTGCTCTTGCCTGTGTCCTTTGATTCTGCGGTGGGAATAGCAGCCACTCGCCTCTGTGCGCTAGGGGCCGCTGATAGAGTTTGGTACCAATTCTTCAAGCAGTTCCCTGTGGAGCTCTTTTCTCTTGCCTAGGGGTGAAGATGGAAGCATGCCCAATTTGTAATCTGGCTCTCGCCCCCCAAAAAATCCTCCTCAAAAACTCATTAATTGCCTCTCTCTAAATTGTATCCTGGATATTGGGAGGGGTTTAAGAACCTGGCAACGAATTTTCCATTTCTACTTCTTTCAGGATGGAGTCTCAAAATTCACCTCGTTATATGTTATTTAGCACCATGAGATTTCAGGTTAAATTTCATTTTTAGCATCCTGTTATGTTAGCTTAAGAGTATTTCATCATCTTCATGAACACTCTTTGACAGTTCTGTCAGCTAAAAGGTTAATTTTTTTTCTTTACCCTAGTTCTGCCCTTTATATTAGCTGTGTGGCCTTAGGCAAGATACATTACCTCTTTGTGCATCCTTTCCTCACTGGTTGTTTTTGAGGATTAAATAGGTTAATATTAGATTTATTGGTATAAATCTTGAATGCTGTCTGGCACATAACACATACCCAATAAGTAAACTGTTACAATTATTACTGTTTTGTTAAATCAGAATAGTAGTGTTACATTAAACATAGTCTTAAGAGTTGCTGCTTTGAGCTATAAAGAAAAGTTGATACTGAAAAATGAAGAATAAAGTAAAATTAGCATTTGTGTCCTTACATACTTTACCTTTGGTAAAAATAAATTATGCTAATTATCTGAGAAAATCCTTCAGCAATTCCAGTCTTTAAGAAAGAAAAGACATGGAGAAATTTGATAACATGTGGAAAAGGCATAGTGTAAGATTTAAGTCCAATCACCAACCAAAACATTCATGTGAGCTTGTACTGATGGTACTGATGCTATCGGTGTCTCTGATCTTATCTCCTGTGAACGTTGGCTTGGTTACAGTGAAGAAAATAAAATGAACTAGGGATCCAATCTTGGGTCTTTGAAAAGGGAAAACTCAACTGTTTTTATCAAAGGTAGAAGTGAATACCATAGGCTTTTTATAGACTCGCTTCTAAAAATTGCCCCGGCTTACATTCTCAGCATGAAAACAGAAATAACTTTGACCGTTCTGTGATGCCTTTTGAGATAAGTGGTACCATCCTAAGAACTCACAAAAATCTTACTGCAAGTTATGAATTATGTTGTATTTGCTTGTGTTCATCATGGTATTGAGTCCTATACTTGTGTGTAACTCAGAGCTGACCCTCCCCAACTAGGTCATAGCAAAAGCAGAAAGGAACAGCAAGTCTACTCCCCAGGGTCATTGTGATAAAACCTCTTCCATTGGAGCATACACACATCTCTGCTTCATGCAGCCACACATCCATCTCATTGTTTTAACCAGAACAAAACACCAGCTCACAGGACATAAGTACTTTGCATAGCAAGCAGATAAAATAAACTATTTACAACAAGTTGTGAATAATTATGAATATTTATAATAATGATTATCTCTTTGATGGAATTACTATATAATAGACTGTTTAAAAGCTCTACTGCTTCTCTGGCCTGTATGATGATCTGAGTTTTTCTTTAATAGTTCACCATTTACCATCTCATAAAGTTGTGTTGTATTTTATGAGAATTTAGATGAGCGCAGTAAGCAGGTTATGTGTCTTCAGGGTATAATGTGACATAGTAGAAAGAAGAATTGTTTTGGAGGTCATACAAGCCTGTGTCTGAATTTCAGCTCAGGCAGTGGATAGTCTAGGACTTGGAGGTACTTATGTAATGCCTCTGAACCTCACCTTCCTCATCTATGAAAAGTGGATAATGATCACTACCCTATGCAGTTGTTGAATGTTCAGTGACATAATGTCTGTAAAGCAACAGGCACAATACCACAGACACATAGTAATTATTTATAGAACTGGGTTTGTTGAGAGGCAGAGATTAAAACATAGTCATAACAGGGCTTCCCTGGTGGCTTAGTGGTAAAGAAGCCGCCTGCCAGTGCAGGAGACACGGGTTCGATCCCTGGTCTGTGAAGATCCCACATGCCCTGGAACAGCTCAGCACACACCGCAGCTACTGAGTCTGTTCCCTGAAGCCCAGGAGCCTCAGCCGTTGAGCTTCCGTGTGGCAGCTCCTGAAGCCTGAGTGCCCTAGAATCCGAGCTCCGCAGCGAGAGAAGCCTCTACAAACGTGAAGCCCGTGCACCACATCTAGAGTAGTCCTCACTCTCCATAACTAGAGGAAAGCCCACACAGCGTGAAGACCCAGCATAGCCAAAAAAAGAAAAATCAATCTCAACTGGGGGTTGAAAAGATAGGCTTCCTATCTCAGAAATTCGAAGAGAGAAATTTCATAACCAACAGTATCATCTCAAGATAGTTGAACTGCACAGCGTCTCATTGTTCATAAGAACTTCTAGAAATAATATTAGAATAGAAATAGTATTAGAATAATAATAATATTAGAATAGAAATAATATAAGTATAGTCAGTGATTAGAGGTCTGAGTCTTGTTTATAGCTGTGGAAATATACCTGGGTCAATGAGGGGCCTGTGAAGATAAGTGGGATAACTGATGCTTGTGTAACACATAAAAATTATTGGAGAAAAAAATTGTTCGTATGCATTTATTCTTTTCCTCTCACAATAAACATTTGTTGATCTCCTGATGCTATGAGATGCTGAAGATACAAAGAAAAAGACAAGTGGCAGATGCTACCCAGAAGCTTCCCATGTAGTGGCCACTTAAGTTTCAAGAAGCCTTCTGTTTTGAAATGTCTTTGTCTCTGTATCACTATCTCAAGTCATTGTTCTCACTCCAGATACTCACATGCGCAGTACATGCTACGGTGGGATCAAGAAGGGAGTGTGTGTCCGGCCCTTCCCCGGTGCGGTGACCAAGTCTGAATGCTGCTGTGCCAATCCAGACTATGGTTTTGGAGAACCCTGCCAGCCATGCCCTGCTAAAAATTCAGGTAGACACCTTTGCCAGTTCCGTACCTGAAAAGGAATCTATCTAACCTAACATCAGATAGTTGGTCAAAGAGTACCTCGCCTCCGAAGTGTTTTGTCTATCTTTATTGAAGGGAAAGAAATCCAAATCTGTCTTGTTATGTGAGGCATATAGTAAGATCTGGCTTATATTTACTTATGATCTCTAGGGAAAGAGAACACATAAGTGAATAGGAAAATTTATCTTATGGTCCAATTATGACCGTTAAACCAGATTCTTTACATGAATATGCTAGCGTCAAAGTCTTTCATCTCTCATCATTCTGAAGATAAATAGCATAAAATTTACTTACCATTTCCAAGGTTATGATAAGTTCATGAGAACCTGATTTTATTTATTTATTTTTAATTTTTATGCAGAATGGCATTAGGATGCACTCTATCAGAAGTTTGGTCTATGGGGAATCTATCAGTAGTTCCAGAAAGTAATAAATTTCTTTCTGAATGTTACCATATGTTACAGGCACATTAAACAGTTTAATTTGACTATTCTGTGACTTGTTATTCATACTTTTATGAAAACTGTATTGAACAGATGTAAGTACAACAGGGACTCAAACACAATCTCTCTTTTTTTTTTCCCTTTAAAGTCAAGAAGAGTTGAAAATATAGGTAGGCAAATATATAAATTAGAACTTAGTATGATTGCTGCCTTGAAAAGAAACCTAAGGAACCAGGAGAGCACAAGGAAGGAGCAGTTAGTTCCTGGGGAGACTGGGAAAGACGGCAAAGAAGAATGCATACTTACTTTGGTCTCAAAAAAAATTAAGAATTTCCCAGGTAGAAAATGGAAGAAATGCATTCTAGCAAAGGAAATGGCTAGTAATTCTGTTAAAAAATACTGAATGGACTGTTAAAACCTTAGAAAATTGGTTAGCATCCCTCTGGAAGAATTGCTATGACGTTTTTTTAAAAAAAAAGAGTTAATGAAGTATCTTAATGTATCTAAGTGAATTATGCATATTATGAAAGAGGTATAAAAATTGATAGCTAGACTAGATAAAAGGATCAGTGAACTAATAAAATGAGTCTAGGAACAATTGTAAATATAAATGAGATTATAGAATAATACAATAAAGGTGACATTTAGATCAGTATGAACAAATTGAACTAAAAGTAATGAATATTGTTGATAAATATTGGAAAAAATATGAAGGTAATTCCCTACATTACATGTTGCAAAATAATTTTTTGTAGAAGATGCAAACTTTTTGTTATCTTGTAATGATAAGGACTCTCAAAACAAGCTCCAAAGACTAAAGTACGTGTATGAATTAGAAAAATATTTTCCTTAATTTATAAGGAATTTACATTAATCAATAGGCAAAGTTGAAATCCTCTATAGAAAAAAGTACAGTGTACACAAAACTTCACAAAGCAGAAGTACAAATGATAAGAGTGCCACATAAAAAGATGCCTAATCTGTTTAAAATTAAAAGAAAATTTTTTAAAGTGTCATTTTGTTTATAGATTGGTAAAAATGATTGATTCTCCCCGGTGTTGGGAAGGTTATACCAATATGGGTATTCTCTTACACTGCTCCTGAAAGTGTAACCTGGGATATTTTGGGAGAGGAAGACTATCAAAAACCTTAGAAGAAACAAACGTTGAGCAGTTTTACTTCTAAAAGATTAACCTAGTGATGTCTTGAAATTTTTATAATTTATTATATCAGTAATAGCCAAAAGTTGGACAAACCTAATCTCATTAGTAAGAGATTGAATGAGTATAGTACATCCACAAAACTGAGAAAAAGTATTAATCTATTAAATGGGTTATTATGTGAATGTCTGTTTTAGAATACAAAGGGTCTAAACCTACTCCCCTACTTATAACCTCTGTGACCTGAGCATATTACTTCCCATCTCTATTCCAACTTTCTTGGCTATAAAAGAGGGAAAATAACAGTATCTAGTTAGTGGTATTGGGAGGATTAAATAAATTATTAGATTCAAAATGCTAGAACAGTATCAGGCGTATCACATAGTAAATGCTACTTATTACATATGTTTCCTGTTATTATTGAGAGAAGAAAAAAAAAGCTTAAAGTCAGCCTCTGTAATACAATTTATATTTTTTTAAAGTTTCCATAAGTAGAAAATATTTGTAATGTTTATCAATATATTAATGATACTTAAGGTGATAATCACAGTTTTGTTTTTTTTACTTTTTTATGCTTATCTCTGATTTTGGAACTCTTAAAATAATTATGTGCTAGAAAATTGTGATTTGTTTTCAATTTTAAGTTATTTCAGGTAATTCTTTTTAATGATAGTTTTGAAGTTATGAAAGTGACTTGTGTATGAAACTGATGTAATTTAGAGTTTTTGATTTCTCTATTTGTTTTTATCTTACAGCTGAATTCCATGGCCTTTGTAGTAGTGGAGTAGGTATCACAGTGGATGGAAGAGGTAACAATTCAATTCTCAATCTTATAATAATTATATAATTGCATATCTTTATTATTAAAATATTATAGATGTGATATATTTATATTATAAAATATATCTGTGTAATATAGTGAGATAAATTTTCTCCTAGAAGAGTGGCTAAAAGCTAGATGATATTAAGTAGTATGTAGATGTTCATTTTTATGCTTAGTAGATAAATAATTATCTGTTAAATATGTGTTGTTAAAAATGTCACTAACAAACTACTGCCATGATTTTATGGATACCTTGCTTAAGAAGAAGCTGCAGTTGGTCAAAAAAAAAAGGGAGTCAGTTTGAAGAAAAAATGTAAAATGATGGCACTGACATAGTTAAAACAAAAATAATCTGTTATTTGATATGAATCTTTAAGAAATATTTGAGATATACTGCCCTAAAAATAAATTGGCTATTTATGGCTAGGAATTTGCTAAAATGTTTCTAACCATCTATAGAAGTACAAAGTTTCAATGAAGTTTTCTTCCTTTAAATTTAGTCCTATGATTAACAAAACTCCAGTATAGAACTTGAATATTAAATACATATGTGTTTATAATTTTAAAGTTCTTTTATATGTTAATATAGTGTCCTTTGTTTTTTTAAATAAACTGTAGGTGCTGTTCACCTTTAGTTTGCATAAATAGTCCTCTATTTTCATATTTGATGAGACTTTAGAAAAATTATAGATTAATTGACAGTAAATATCACATCTTTGTAAAGAACATCAGAAATCGGAATAAAAAAGCAAACTTTTACCAAGATACTTCTCTCAAAAACCAAAAGACTGACATTTCTGGAGTATTTAAGGCTTCCTAAATTCTAGAAAACAATAGTTACTATTAAAATTTGAGCATAGTGACCAAAAATTTTGTTCTACACCATTTTTTATTCTCTTTCATCGTTGCCTCCCCAGCAGAGCAAGCTGCCCGTTGGAACTTAGCGGCTTCTCATACAAGCACATCATTCCTCAAGTCCCACTTCCTGTCATGACAGCGAATAGTCCTGTTCATGGCTTATTGTAAAACATTGTGTTCTCAAATATCCACATTTGAACTGACCTCTCCCATCAATTTCAACTTATCAACAAGGAGAAACATTTACTAAGTATCATATTACTTAGTTGACTATAAAAAATGATAATAAAATAGAAATATTCCATGCCTTTGGAACCATAAAACTATATAGAAATCCTAATAAATCTTTGCCTTTTAATTAGATGGTTAGAGTACCTATCAAGTTGAGTTTTCCTTTGGGTTTTGAGCCAACAGCCTATAAATTTCTTTATTAATTTTATCATAAATGCCAGCACATTACATGGCTTAATTCTTTGAATTTCTGCCAGTTCCCTTCACTTTTCATTTTTACCAGGGAAGTGTCCCATATCTCTTGATTTTATTCTCACTCCTTTTTTTTAATTTCCTTTCCCTTTCTGAACAACAGCAAATTGGAGGGTTGCAGGGTTAAACGCTATGTATTTTGAATGATCTTTACTGGACATACATGTATCAACTGGGAGCATTAAACTTTGAATATTTAATGCAGATATCAATGAGTGTGCTCTGGATCCTGATATATGTGCCAATGGAATTTGTGAGAATTTACGTGGTAGTTACCGGTGTAACTGCAACAGTGGCTATGAACCAGATGCCTCTGGAAGAAATTGTATTGGTAAGTTATTTGTTTTATTATCCGGGAGACTTCTGTATAGTTTAGTCCCGTGGATTTTAGGAGGAATCAAACTATAAGTAAGTGAGTAAAACTAGAGGTCTTACAGTTTCTCTTGTTTCCTTTTTAGTATAGAGATATAAAAATGTTGGAATCAAATACTGTTACACAGTAACAGACTTTTTAGTGGCACGATTTAGTATTAATATTTAAATTAGGTTTTTTCCCCAGATGAATGGACATATAGTCAATTATTGGCCTGCTTTATCTGCGTATATCTTAATCCTATAATATTTTACTAGGAAGTGGGATTCAAAAATTAACAAGGTGGTATGTATGAAAAATACTATGTTAAGAAAATTAAATATTACAGGTTGACTTGGAAAGAAACAATCAATTGCTGCAACATGTCCAAATATGATAAATGAGATGGGTGCTTCCTTTTGTAATTTATAAGGGAATGTTTGAAAAACCTCAAGTACATAGTTTATATATTCAAGAATTTGTGAAAAATCTAGATTTTCTGGCTGAGCACTTGAGTCCACTTCTATAAAAATGAATGTTAATTGATCCTTCATTATATATTATAATTTTTTACATCTACCACTAATGACTCAAATACAAGTCTTGATTATTATGATTAGAAAAAATATATTTTTCCATGTCTATGGTTTTGAGTTTTATTATTGATATATGTTACTATATATCCATCTCACCTTGGGTTGAAGATACACATATAATGGATGTATAAAACTATATTAAATATCATGTACTTACAATAGATATTGATACCTACTGGCAAGGGCCCCAGCCAGAGATTGTTGAACACTTATAAAAATATGCAAACCACCTAGCTTTTATTCCCTAAAAGCAAAGTCATTTCCAGTATAGCATCTAAGTACAGCTGAGCGCATGGGTACCCTACTGAAAACAAGGAAATTCAATGAACATTCACACACTGAACATGGTTCATGGCAATGCTCAACTCTTTAAAGTAGGTACATGCATAATTTTAATAAAATTAAAACTTAGATTTTGAAAATAAAAAGCCAAATTTCAATTTTACTTAGGTCTGCCCTAACAAAGTACCCAAAACGGGGTTGCTTAAAACAGTGGGAATCGATGTTACAGTTTGGGAGTCGAAAGTCCAAAATCGAGGTGTCAGTGGGGCCATGCTCTCTCTAGGGGAGAATCCTTCCTTTCCTCTCCTAGGGGAGAAGGGCTCGGTGGGAGAATCCTTTTCCTCTTCCAGCCTCAGGTGTTTGCAGGCAGTCTTTAGCACTGCTCAGTTTTTAGATGTGTCACTCAAGCCACACGTCTGTCTTCCCCCCATGCATCCCCACATCAGCTTCCCTCTGTGTGTGTCTGTCCCTGTGTCATAATTTCCCCTTGATTACAGTCGTTGGTGTCCATAACTATACTGGACCACAGCCTACCCAAAGGATCTTATTTTAACTTGATTACTCTATTTAAGAATCCTGTTTCTAAACTAGGTCACATGCTGAGGTACTGGGGGTTAGGGTTTCAAAATATTTTTTTGAGAGACGCATTTCAAACCACAGCATGAACCGATGGGTAAATAAATTGTGATTTGGCCTCTTGTTTAAGTGTATAATCTTGGGGGAGACTATAGTGATGCTTAAAATGTAATACTACTGCAGGTCAACAAGTAAATGAAGAACAAAGTAGTCATGTGCCTTTTCCAAAGCATTAACACATGTCCCAGGGACTTTAGAACATTTTAAAAGTAAGCACATCTAGGTTGCTTCCATGTTCTGGCTATTATAAACAGTGCTGCGATGAAGCAACCCAGATACCCATCAACAGACGAATGGATAAGGAAGCTGTGATACATATACTCCATGCAATATTACTCAACCATTAAAAGGAATTCATTTGAATCAATTCTAATGAGATGGATGAAACTGGAGCCCATTATACAGAGTGAAGTAAGCCAGAAAGATAAAGACCATTACAGTATACTAACACATATATATGGAATTTAGAAAGATGGTAACGATAACCCNGAAGCTACAGCTGCACCTGCCCGCCTGGCTATGTGTTCAGGACGGAGACGGAGACGTGTGAAGGTAAGAGCACTTTGCTTCACTGTGAATAGTAAGCATCTTAGTATGCATGAACCTTAAATACATTATGAAGCAACAGAGCAAAAAGAATGTTGTTTGAATATGTTCTAAATTTCACAATCTCAGCTAATCTGCCAGTTTTAGAAGTAGCATGCATCTAGCCCAGCTTATAAATACCATCAGCTTTGTTCCATTCAGGAGAAATATCAACACACATTTTGAAGTTAATGAAAATAAGTGAAAGAAGCCAGTTTGTTTCACTTGCTGATAAAATACCAGATTTTTGTTTGTTTGGTTTTCCCTTTTTAAAACCAATGTAACACATTAGCCTAGGAGAACCTGAACTCACGACAAAGTCAGCTCTTAGGCATTTTATTTATGAAATGACTGATAGACCTCAGAGGTTGGCCCAGAAAATAGGCCAACCTATATTTGAGGCCTGAGTAAAAATGGTCACCTAAATTAAATTTATAGTCCAAGAAAATTCTCCTTTCCCTTTGAAACTTTAAGTTACAGCTTGAATTTAAGGCTCATGAATTGCTGTTTAAAAACCTTCCTTTTCTTTTAAGCTCATTTTCCTGCAGTGGAAGTTATATGAATACCTTAAATGCTTCAGAAAGGCCCCATTTTCAGTGAGATACTAGCTAAGCTATGAGTATCTTCAATTATATTTTTGTTCCTTGACCAGAGTACTGTGTATTTCAGGATAATTTGGTGTATGGCTACTGGTCATTGTTCTTTTTCAGTTGCACTATGTGGGCCCACAGAAGTATCCCATGACATTCTCAAATCCGATAACTACTTCTGAAAAGTAACTTAAAAATAAAAAATTTCATCTTTAGTTATTTGGAATAACCCTTTTTTATCTATTAAGTATTTGTCTCCTAGTAACTTCATAGCCAAGAAAACTGCAATAGTAATATTATGCAAAAAGATGTTAACATTCTCTTCTTCTTGTTTAACTTCAAAGCATTCTTATGAACAGAAACAAGTTAGGACTCAAACAAGATGCCAAAATACAAACGACTCAGCTGAAGTCAATGAAATAGAATTACAAAGTGCAATTCTAAGTTTGGATTGAATTTGAGGGACCAGTGAAAAATAGTAATTAGCCTGAAGAGAGGAAAAAAAGCAAAGAAAAATGAAAACCTCAGTATAAAATGCAGTTTTTCTAAACTTAGTTCTGATAACTGTTGAGTTCCCCTCCTGTCCACACCTTTTTCAGGAGCTCCTCAAAGAGAAGCATACTTTCCATTCCTGACTAAAGTGCTTAAAGATTCATTCATCTTATCCATAGATGAACAGAGACATCTGTTAGTATTTTTTTTTCTCTTAGTATCTTTTTTCATTAGTCCAAGCTTCCCAAGTGTATGCATCCAGAGTTTTTATCTTTTAGCACCCATACCCACTCTCCTTGGGCTTCTTCAGTGGCTTAGTGGTAAAAAATCTGCCTGTAATACAAGAGACGCAGGAAATACGGGTTCTATTCCTGGGTCAGGAAGATCCCCTGGAGTAGGAAATGGCAAACCACTCCAGTACTTTAGCCTAAAAAATCCTATGGACAGAGGGGCCTGGTGGGCTGCAATCCAAAGGGTTGCAAAGAGTAGGACGTGACTGAACATGAGCCCCCTCCCCTCAACACCTTTTATCCTTCAGAATTGCCATGAGAAATGCATTTTGTAAAAGAAAAAAAATTCCAAGCCATGAGTTTACTCCGTGAGTTTTTTGGGAGGGTAGGAGAAGGGATTTCAACAATTGTGTTTCCTTTTGTTTTTATTCCTGACTTTCTACGCCTCCTTCCCCCTGCCCTTTTTCAGTTTTATCTGTTGCCTATTGGAGTTATCTATTGCTAAATGTCAGGAAGCTCTGAAAGCAATAATAACTTAGGATATCATCTTCATTTAGCTGAGAAGCTGATGATTATTAGAACTGGTTTCCCTGTCTACAATGACAGTACACTTTTGTGCCGTTGTGAGGGAGACACAACAGGGAGCTACATGGATGGTCTCTGATTCCGTTTGGTCAGTTTGGTTTGAATACCAGGTTGTCAATATTTATAGCATGTTGCTTCCATTTTGACAAGTAAGATGAAGTTGAAGCATATTAAGAGGTGAAATATCAACACATAAATAAAAGGGATTCACCTACGTAGGTGAAAAAGTGAAGCGTGGTGTTTAATAGTATGATATTACTGCGTTTAATCGCTCAGTTGTGTCTGACTCTTTGTGACCCCATGGACTGTATCCCTGCAGGCCCCTCTATCCATGGGGATTTTCCAAGTAAGAATACTGGAGTGGGTTGCCATGCCCTCTTCCAGGGGAATCTTCCTAAACCAGGGATCAAACCCAGGTCTCCCACTCTGCAGGCAGATTCTTCACCATCTGAGCCCCCAGGGAAGCCCAAGAATTCTGGGGTGGGGGAGCCTATCCCTTCTCCAGGGGATCTCCCCAACCCAGGGATCAAACTGGGGTCTTCTGCACTGCAGGTGGGTTCTTTACCAGCTGAGCTACCAGGGTAGCCCCAGTATGACGTTAGATGATTACATAAATACTAATGCACAGTAATACCAAATCAAGCGGCAGTGATGGTTTCAAAGTGTGGTCTTTGCTTATTTTGCCAAAGAATAATTGTTCCTGATAAGCTAGCCTTTTCTTTAATATGAAAGTTGTTTTATATCTGTCATTCATAAGAAAGAAGTTCATGTTATGTAAATAAAAGAGAAATGATAGAGAAATATTTGGGTTCTAGCCTTATGACATTGGTGGAAATAAAAATTATTTATTGTGAAAAACTCAACCAGGCAAGTGTTATTTCTACACTTTCTTCCCACTGTTAGGTTATTTGCATTTTATTAAGTGTTTTGCAAAAAAGAAATAGACCTGAAGGCCATGGAAATCTTTTTCCCTTGGGTGTCCTCCTTATTTCTAGCCTTGCATTCACACAATAAATTTGTGTGCCTGAAGCAGTTCTCTGCATGCTGTTCTTTCTAAACTAATTTCCAAAGACTAGGCAGGGAGTTATTAGCCAATTCATTGTCAATTCTAGCTTTTTCTATATATACTTGCTATATTCACTAATTTTACTTGTCATTCATGTTTTCAACAGTCTTTTTAAGTATGTATTCAAGAGCAGTAATCAAGTTTCTCTGATATTTCAAACCGAAGTTACAAAAATTTATTTTACTTTTTTTGAGCCCTGAGAGTCTAAGTTAAAATTTTTACAGCAAGCACTGTGGTTTCGATTGTGTTTCCAGTGACATAACTAGTTAAATGTAAACCAGATGTGCTTTGAAGTTTATTTCCAGGAATGTACAGTGAACTGTTTCAGTTCCTGGTTCCATGACATTTATAACATAAAAACAATGTATTTAAAGAAAAATTAAACAGTTGATATCTGTAGCTGTCATTGCATGTGTTTATAGCTTTTGAGTTCATAATTGCTTAATATAAAGTAGGGATTTTGCACATTGATGATATTGACATTTTTCTTTGGGTTGTCCTCCTTATTTCTAGCCTTGCATTCACACAATAAATTTGTGTGCCTGAAGCAGTTCTCTGCATGCTGTTCTTTCTAAACTAATTTCCAAAGACTAGGCAGGGAGTTATTAGCCAATTCATTGTCAATTCTAGCTTTCTCTATATATACTTGCTATATTCACTAATTTTACTTGTCATTCATGTTTTCAACAGTCTTTTTAAGTATGTATTCAAGAGCAGTAATCAAGTTTCTCTGATATTTCAAACCGAAGTTACAAAAATTTATTTTACTTTTTTCGAGCCCTGAGAGTCTAAGTTAAAATTTTTACAGCAAGCACTGTGGTTTCGATTGTGTTTCCAGTGACATAACTAGTTAAATGTAAACCAGATGTGCTTTGAAGTTTATTTCCAGGAATGTACAGTGAACTGTTTCAGTTCCTGGTTCCATGACATTTATAACATAAAAACAATGTATTTAAAGAAAAATTAAACAGTTGATATCTGTAGCTGTCATTGCATGTGTTTATAGCTTTTGAGTTCATAATTGCTTAATATAAAGTAGGGATTTTGCACATTGATGATATTGACATTTTTCTTTGGGGGGAGGTTCTTAACAGATGAAATTAATAGGTGATATATAGTCTGTCTTCAGATTAGGTATCTGCTTCTTTTTTGGCTATCTGATTTGTTTTTTACTTTGTGGTTTTTTTTTTTAATTTAGTACTTTGGAGTAGATGTTTTTATTCCAAATCTGTGCTGTATTTACAAAACCTGTTCTTGTATTTTTAAGAGGCTTTCTTGCTACAAAGGACCTGAAAGAAAAATGCATTTATATTTCTTAAAAACAATTTCTATTTCAAGAATCCATTAAATACCTGGGTATTTATTGAGTAGTTTTGAAATAGCAAAGAGGAAACATAACTGTTTTCCACATGGATTTTTAAGTTTGCATTTCAAGTCTACAGACTTGAAAATCAGCAGTGAGCTCTTCCTTTTCAGAACCAATTTAGTTTATATTTGACTTGAGATGTTCAAGAGTAAATGTTATGATCTTCTAGTTATTTGCATGTTTTCCTCAATATAATATTCCTGTGTTTAATTTAAAGAGGTGTTTAGAAAAAAAAATAAATACTGTGGTGAATTCAGAAACTGTAGTGTTCAACAAAAGGGTGTCTTAAAGTATGTTGACCTGTTTCAGATAATTAACCAGTTATAGAAAGAAATCTGAGTATCTTTTCCTTAAATTGAGTTGTTGAATTTATACTGAAAGTCAGTCTTTGATGTTGTTTTTAGTAGTTTAGCTAAATCTTATATTTATTTTTAATTAACTTGTGTTAAACTATTTAATTTTATTGGTTTAACATCCTGTTTAGCCACTACTTGAGAACATAGTCTTACTCTAATTCTGTCATACTTCTGACCATCAACAGGAATTGTTTAGATTATGATATGCAATTTGACTTCAGACTCAAATCAATGATAGTAAAAATCTATTTAATACAATTAAAAGTTTATTTTTCCTCTTTTTTTTTATTTTAGCACAATCAGTTGTGCTTTAAAATGTCTCACCCCAGGACTTCCCTGGTGGTCCAGTGGTTAAGAATCCATTGCCTTGCAATGCAGGGGATGTGAGTTCCATCCCCAGTGAGGGAACTAAGTTCTCACATGCAACAGAGCAACTAAGTCCATGAACTGCAGATAAGACCCAAAGCAACCAAATAAATAAATATTTTTTGAAATGTCTCAAACCAAGCATGGAAATGTGAACAGGAAGGTGGATAATAAGGGCTAGAAGAGAAGGCTATACCTGGTGTTAAAGTTTCATCCCTTATTTCCTGATTTGTATCCAGGAGTTTGGAATTAAAACCAGGATTGCGATGTGTTGTCTCTACTATAGGCTTTTTAAATTCTTCCAAAACCTCATGGAATCAGCAATGAAGGAAACAGTCATCTTCGTGCACAGCACACATTGCACCTGGGAATATGTTGCTTTCCTGGAATCAGATCGAATTTCCCACAGGAAAATTATATCTCATTACCAGAGAAAATTAATCCAATTTATGTAAAGTTGTAGTGAAACAGTAAAGATATTGAACCCTTTCAAAACAGGCTGATTCCTGTAGTCCTGCTGAGTCCCCCAGCTGTGCACATGTGTATCCACACTGTAAAATGCACGTCTCCATTCCCCATTCACTTTATGCCTCATAGATCCATATTAAAATTACAAGAGCCAAGTTTACCAGACGTTCTGGCATAGCATGGCTTGTTGGAATAATATTTTCCAGAAACACATGGCAGCTCTAACAGAATCTTTTCCTTCTGGATTGTAGATATAAATGAATGTGAAAGCAACCCATGTGTCAATGGGGCCTGCAGGAACAACCTTGGATCTTTCAATTGTGAATGTTCTCCTGGCAGCAAACTCAGCTCGACAGGATTGATCTGTATTGGTAAGATCTGTGCCTGGTGTTGATGTTTCAGTTTCACTCCAAAGATAAGCAGAGACACCAAGACTTACTGTGGGTAAACAGTACATGATCACAGGAAGCTAATAATTCAGGAGTTAATTCAGTTGTTTTCTCTTGTTATCCAGGTAGGAGTAAGACATGATAGTATAAACTAGACAGACTCTTAAATTTTGTTAATTCTAGGAAGCATTCCTTTTGTGTAAGTATATATATATATATTACACCATAAGTTATAAGCGTTTCCATACCACACACATATTTATATTCATTCCCCAGGAATGCCTTAGGCAGCAATACAATCAAATCCTTACTGCATACTTTTTATAAACAACCTTCAATGGTAAACAAAAATGTGATCACATTTGGACTCAGTTAACAGGACAAGAACTTGAAGAGTTGAAACTTTAAACAAATAGAATTTGTTGGGTTTTTTTTAAATTTCTTCTATCAGTCATAACTTTATGAATGCCAAAGAATTCTTGCTTTGGAAAATCTCTAAGAGGGAAAGATTTGAAAACCCCAGGACTAACATGTTTCAATGTATCTCAAAACATAGAAGGTCAGTTCTTGATAAAGGCACGCGTGTGTGCTCATTCACCTCTGTCGTATCCGACTCTCTGTGACCCCATGGACTGTATGCAGCCTACCAGGCTCCTCCATCCATGGGATTCTCCAGGCAAGAGTACTGGAGTGGGTTGCCATTTCCTTCTCCATTGATAAAGGCAGTAGGACATAAATAAAATGAAATAGTCAGATCTACTATAATGTTACTATAAGCAACTCTTCAGCTTATGTAAGAGAAAAAAACGATCTCAGCAGTTCTTTCCTGCTTCTAGTGTCTAAGGCTACACTGACTAGATATACATACTTCACATTTTTACCTAGTATCCACTTTTGGTGGTGGTTTAGTTGCTAGGTCGTGTCCAACTCTTGAGACCCTATGGACTATAACCTTCCAGGCTCCTCTGTCCGTGGGATCTCAAAGTGAACTAAATATATATTTCCAAATAGTTAGGGAGGTGTTACAGTTTTACATAGTGTCAAATAAATTGGCAGTTTTTGTTTGTTATCTATTCAATATGAATTTTCAGTTTAGTTTTTGCTAAAGACAGTAGTAGTTTCCATATTATATCTGATGCTAACAGTATTTAGCTGGATACTTAGAGTACCTCTTTGTCACAGGAAGGAGAAATGATGAAGTCCAAAGTTTCAATGAAAACCTTCCCTTTGGAAATGCCAGCACTCCATTTCCCAATGAGGTACAGCTGGTGAAATTTGAGCCTTGCTCCACTCTCCATACTAGAAAATAGACTGCCATCTGCCTAGGGCATTACTTTTTTTCTCACAGAATTCCTGGTTGGGGGTTGGGGGGGCATATGGATTGGATCTGGTAAGGCAGAAATATTTTTGCTAAGCCACAGTTTCCAACTGAGATAGAATCATTTTATTATGCAATGGAAATAAACTCAGCATTAGTCAATTAATATCTCAGAAAACTAAATCTGTGTGCCACTTGGGCATCAAAGATACCTTAGAGCTTTTGCTTCAACATAAACACTTCTGGGATTTTGGCCTCTTACTCTTATAGTTAATTATTAATGAATAAAAAAACAAAGACAATTTATTTCCAAGTTATTATGTTGGACACCTAAATTCCACAGTATTTTTCTAAGCCAATGTATTGTGTGTGTTCATTCGTTGTGATAAGATTTGAGCATCTCAGCCAAAAACTGCTCTGAAAGAAATTTACTTAATATGTTTACATTTTAGACTTTATTTTATCTGCTTTTTTCATTAAAAATTCAAGTTTTAAAAATAAACTAAATAGTAAAATATACATAAAAAATATTATGAATGTACTTTTTAAATAAGACTGTCAAATGGCTTTAATCAGTGTTTAGCCTGCAAATAGCCCCTTGGTAGGAACTAAATCTCTAAATTTAGAACTGAATAAAAATCCCCTGATGTGATTACAAATTTAAAATTAATGAGAACATAAATGAATTCAGTTCAGTTCAGTTCAGTCGCTCAGTCGTGTCCGACTCTTTGCTACCCCGTGAATCGCAGCACTAATCACCATCTGCAGTGATTTTGGAGCCCCCCATAATTAAGTCTGTAGATACAAAGAATATTTCAGGATTTAGAACATATTCTGCAAGCTTCATAAACATAAACCAGTCTTCAGCTGTTCTATAGACTGCTTGAAGAGACTGTTATTTTATGCTTGAAGTGATGAAATATAATAGAACAATATATTTGATTAATTTTTCCTGCATTACACTGCTTCCATCTGATGGCTCTGCATAATCCATACCATTTCCCTCATCTTTGGCTTGGATCTGAGTTCTGTCCTCACATTTCATGGACACATCAGGGGCAGTGACCTCTCTGTTGTAAAATCCAGTGGTCAGTTCTTGTCCCTCATCTTAGTCTATTAACAGTATTTAACACAGTTCACCACTCATCCCCTCTCAAGTTTTTCCTTTTGGCATTCTCTTTTTCTCCTTTCACTTTCCTGGCCTCTTTCCTCAGTTTCCTTTGTTAAATCTTTCATTTTCTCCTGCTATCCAATTGGAAATGTCTCACAGGTCAGTCCTGGGGTCCTGGGATATTTTTGCTTCTCTGTTTTACATGCATGCTTAGATGGCCTCTACATTAACTCTCACAGTCCTCTCTCTAGCCTTAATCTCTCCACCAGTTTCAGACTTGTCTTTCTGATTATCTGCATGGTATCTCCACTGGGGTGTCTAATTGGCATATCAAACAGCATGTCTGAGACCAAATTTCTATCTTTAAGCTTAAATCTGGGTCTCCTAGAAGCAGTTCTGTCTTGACAAATTATAACTCTATTTTTATAATTAGAGTCATTCTTGATGCCTTTCTCTCAAGCAGCAGGTTGAATCCATCTAAATCCTGTTGATTATACTCAAAGTTTTTCCATATTTCAACCCCTTCTCACCATCAATTTCAACAACCCCCAAGCCAAGCCGCCATTTTTTTTTTTTTTTTAACTATTCCTATAGCCTCTAGCTTATCTGCTTACCCTGCTTAATTTTTTTGGAGAGCTTAACCAACCTCTGACTATATAACTACATCTATATTGTGACTGCATGTGTGTGTAGTTACATATATACCCAAACACACACACACAAGAAAAAGCAATAAGGAGAGATGGATTGTGTGTGTATGTATGTCTATTGATTTTGTGAGTTTTCAGTGTTGATACAATACCAGTGTAAAGAAGCACTATGTTGCAGAATGAGACCTCTAAAATCATACAGTGCAAGTCTGAATCTTGATGCTGACCCTCTCCTGGCTGGGTGACCTTCTTCTGGTAAATTAGTTGACCCCTGTGCCTCACTTTTCTCATCTGCAAGTTGTCTATATCTTATAGGGTTGTTTTAACGGGTAAATAAACTAACATATGGAAAGCCTTTAATAGTGCTTGTTGCTGCCTCAGTAAATATTAGTAAATATTGATCACAGTATATCTTAAAATGACTACAGTCAAGGTGATAAATCAGTAATTAACCCAGTTCTTAAAAGACCATTTAAATACACAGTAGCCTTAAACTATCATCTCTGTTTCCTCTATGCTGTGGAATTTGCTGGTTTAAACCTATAAAAAACTTATAATTTGATAGTTGATACAAATGCATATGTGCGAATCTCTTTCATTTGTGCACAGTTTTTATCCGAATTAAATCTCAAAATAGAAAAAAGCAAACAGACTACCCATCTCTTCTCCGCATCCTTGCCCCATAGCTTTTGTATTCAGTCAAGGACAGAGGTGTTTCCTTTGTTTTACCCTTGAGGTTTGATTACTTGGTCGGGAGGATCCCCTAGAGAAGGAATCCACTCCAGTATTCTTGGGCTTCTCTGGCTCATATGGTAAAGAATCCTCCTGTGTTTCTGGTTATATTGTTTTTATTGTAAAACCTTATTTGTCCTTATTATTAAATGAGTTTTAAATAAAGCAAATGCTGTAGGAATATGTTTTTACTTTGTTGTTTTCCAAGTCTGTGACTGTAATATGCTGTTAAGCTTTTTGTTCAGTCATTTTACATATCACCTGCAGAGAGACCATCTCAGCGCTTTTCACATGCTGACTCCTGGGCCACATACCTGGAGTCTTATGAATCTGCATTTTAGTAAGAAACTTGGTAATGTTACACACTAGAAACTGAGATCCACAGTACTGCAAGGAAATCATCACAGGACTTATTTTACCCAGTTAATACTTGCTATGTTAACTTGGGACTCCTTTTCTCTGCTTCAAAATCTTTTTTTTTTTTTTTTTAACCATCATTTAAGGAGGAACTTAAATTTGGTGTGGAAACAGTCTAAAAAGTTAGGAGTAGTTGCATCTGGATGGTAGCATTACAGGTAGTTTTTTTATTTTCTCTGCTATTTCTTCAAATAGCTTATCATAAATATGTATTACATTTTGAACTAGAGATGAAACTGTACATATATACCATAGAAAAAAATCCTGAAAGAAAATACATCAAATATATCCATGTGTGTCTTAATGGTGGTTTTAGAGGTTTTATTTCTTTTTTTTTTTTTTTCTTTTTTATCTTTAAGATTTATTTTTTTCAAATTATTCATCAAATGACTATCTTCAATCAGAGAAAAACTGGCTTCTCTGTAATAGAAGAACCATAGTGTGTGGTTTATTTGGTAGGGAATTGGGAGAGAAGGAGGTTATTTGCAGAGTGCCATTGGATAAAATCTTAAATATCAAAGTATTTGCCATAAAGAATAAATCTTACAAGTATTTTTTGTACGAGTAATGACCTTTTAACAGTCATGGGCTGTTATTTGCAAATCCCAGTATGAAGTCTTGGGCAGTAGCAGCTGCTCCTAGAATACCCAGATATATAATTGTATTAATTCCCATATCATGTGAAATTACCTGTATGTAATATGCATTTAAATGCATGTACATGTAAACGTGTCTAGGATATATAGAAGTTTTTAAGATAACTGTTTTGGTGTTTAATACTATCAAATAATGTTTTTGGTGTATAGAACTGAGTTATATTTTCTTCAGAGATGAGAACTCCCCGTTGTTTGTTATTCCTTTTCAGACAGCCTGAAAGGGACGTGTTGGCTCAACATCCAGGACAACCGCTGTGAGGTGAACATCAATGGAGCTACTCTGAAATCCGAATGCTGCGCCACGCTTGGGGCCGCCTGGGGCAGCCCCTGTGAGCGCTGTGAGCTAGGTAGGCGCCTGCCCAGTAGGATTCTGGGCTTCGCGTCGGAAAGCTTCCTCCTCAACTAAGCACCTCTTTCTCTATATATTTACCTAATGAGGAAGACCATAAGATCATTACCCTCCCTAATATGGTATCCTTTCTGGTAAAATGTATTCACTTCTTGAAATATGTGTTGGGTTTATCCTCTTATAAGCAGACCTTCTGAGTATTTTAGACAAGGAAGGAAGTCAACTAGAATTTAGGTGCTGGATGACTGTCCGTATCCTCCAGTATTCTTGTTTGCGTGTGTCCCAGTAGAAAATGATCTCTTGTTCCTTTAAATCTTTTGTTTACTTATGATTCAGTTGACAGCATGAAAATTTAAAAAAAGGGAATTGTAGGGAAAATTACGAGAATCTCAATGTGGGTCAAAACTGATAAGACTTACCACAGCTCCACTGAGTTGAACAAAGGCAGCTGGAGTCCTTTGCCTCTGAAACCCGGATTGTGGTTTTTATTTAGTTCAATTTTGATTCCATTATTCTGTTTGTTGCGCTTAGGACAGTTGTCTTTTCTTTTGTAATGTGGAAAAAAATGTGTCCTTCGTTCTCACAGATACAGCTTGCCCAAGAGGGTTTGCCAGGATAAAAGGTGTTACTTGTGAAGGTGAGTAGGTTTTTGAAAACATCGTGAATCTTTAGGAAAGTATTTAAAATTGACATTCTCTCCCATACTTTGGAGATAGTTATCATTCTCAAAAACCTTGGAATTTCAATAAAAATACTCTTATGTTGTCAACAAATGTTTTAGAATAATACTCCTAGGAAACAGCTTTGAGTTTCCCACTTCTGCTCTTTATGCTCTGGGGTAAATTTTCATCCCTCGCCTTTAAGGCATAGAGCAGCTGGCAAAGAGCTCGTCTCGGCTGTGTTTTATGGATGAGCAAGGCTGTGGTAGTTTTCACAGCTGGTACCCAGGAGACCTGGTAGCTTCGTTGTGAAATGTATCTGCTTAACTGAGGTAATAATCCACATTATTGCAGAATGAATATGCTATACAGGAAGTAAGATTACACCTGCTTTTTCAATCTGTGACATCTTTATTCCTCTGCTTGCTTCATTTCCCTGCAGACGTTAATGAGTGTGAGGTGTTTCCTGGCGTTTGCCCAAATGGACGCTGCGTCAACAGCAAAGGATCTTTTCATTGTGAGTGCCCTGAAGGCCTTACATTGGATGGAACTGGCCGTGTGTGTTTGGGTAAGATTCATAAACCAAACATACATTTTCTTATTTTGGAGTGGCCTGAACAAATCTATTAGGTTGGTAGCTGGAAAACTTGCTTTAAATGAAATATTTTGGAGGAACTCACTAGAGAATATTTTTCAAATAGATGAATTTAAATGAAATGGGCTTCCTCGATAGCTCAGTTGGTTAAGAATCTGCCTGCAATGCAGGAGACCCCAATTTGATCCCTGGGTTGGGAAGATACCCTGCAGAAGGGAAGGGCTCCAGTATTCTGGCCTAGAGAATTCCATGGACTACAGTCCATGGGGTCGCAAAGAGTCTGACATGACTGAGCGACTTTCACTTTCACTTTTCAATGAAATGGTTTCTGTGTAATACAGAAAATTGGGACTGCGCAGAAATTAATCTCAAAAATTCCTCCTCCCCAACTGAAAACTCCGAACCTATTAAATACTAACTTCCATTTATCCCCTCTCCCAGCCCCTGGTATCTATCCTTCTGCTTTCTGTCTCTGTGGACTTGACAGCTCTAAGTGCCTCATGTGAAAGGAATCAGATGATGTTTGTCCTTCTGTGACTAGCTTGTTTCACTTAGTGTGGTGTCGCCAGAGTTCATCCATGTTGTAGCATGTATCAGTATTTCTCTACTTTCTCAGACTGAGTGGCGTTCCATTGTATGTATCTACCACACTTTTTTTGTCTGCTTACCTATTGATGGATACTTGGGTGGCATCTGCCTTTTGGCTGTTGTGAATAAGGCATCTATGAGCATGGGTGTACAAATACCATTATATTTACAAGTTTCTCCTTTCACACACCTGGCCTTGCCAGATGTCTCAAGTGTTAAAGAATCCACCTGCCAGTGCAGGGGATAAAGGAGATGTGGGTTCAATTCCTGGGTCAGGAAAATCCCCTGAGGAGGCAATGGCGACCCGCTCCAGTATTCTTGCCTAGAAAATTCCGTGGACAGAGGAGCCTGGTGGGATACAGTCCCTGGGTCACAGAGAGTCAGGCCTGACTGAGTGACTGAGCACCTGTGCAGTATATCCAGTGAGCTGCTCACTCCTGAGACACTTCTGTGAGCCTGGTGTATTTAAAAAAATAAAACTTACATGCACAAAAAAAATTTTTAAGTTTTTTTAATCAGATGTTTTAGTTCTGTTTAATCTTTTATACTGAGTCAACGTAATAAGAGAACTTATATGTTAAACATAGAAGAACAGTTGGAGACTCGTGTTTGAAGTTAACATTCACCAGTCCCTTGCAGCTATGCTTCTAGACAAGACAGTGGGGAAAGTCGTGGCAAAGTTATGTGGCTTCTGTGTGCAAACACTGACTGAGCCTGTCTCTTTACCCTCTTCAGAGTTTAAAATTTTCTTAATGCTCCATTTTTTAAAAGATTGTAAATAAAGCAGCTCTATCAACATTGTATTACAGAAATGCCTAGTTGACTTTATTTATCAGTGTCATCCTTGACTAAAGCTAAGCTTCATGATTGAAAAAGAAACTTCTAATAATTCTATGTTGTCTCTGAACAATTTTTTATTTACCTAAGGAATTTTTTCCCAATGTGTTATGAAACAATAACTTTTTAGTTTGTAAAATAGCTTTACATAGGCTCATATTTGAAATTGAGTTTGTAGACAAATTGTAATCAATGGTAGTATTATAGTCCAAATCTTCAAGGTCTTTAAGTAGGTATTTTAAAATTATAAATTAAATAAGTGTTCAAATAATTATACATTTAAAAATATTCAAAAAGCTATATAGTAANGAGACATCGCTTTGCCAACAAGCGTCCATCTAGTCAAAGCTTTGGCTTTTCCAGTAGTCATGTATGGATGTCAGAGTTGGACCATAAAGAAAACTGAGCGCCAAAGAATCGATGCTTTTGAGCTGTGGTGTTGGAGAAGACTCTTGAGAGTCCCTTGTACTGCAGGGAGATCCAATGGGTCAATCCTAAAGAGAATCCGTCCTGAATATTCATTGGAAGGACTGATGCTGAAGCTGAAGCTCCAATACTTTGGCCACCTCATGCAAGGTGCTGACTCATTAGAAAAGGTCCTGATGCCGGGAACTATTGAGGGCAGGAGGGGAAGGGGTCGACAGAGGACAAGATGGTTGGATGGCATCACTGACTCAATGGACATGAGTTTGAGCAAGCTCTGGGAGATGGTGAGAGGTAGGGAGGCCTGGTGTGCTGCAGTCCATGGGGTTGCATAGTCGGATACAACCGAGCTACTGAACAACAGCAACAGTATGATCAAATAACTAATGAAATCAAATTGCCTTCAGTAACTAAATGATGCTATGTATGAATTTATATCACTGATTTTCAGTTACTAAAATTCTTAGTAGTAATATCACTGCAAATGATACCTTTGTAACATTCAAAGAGGATGTATTGGATTTCCTTCATCCTTATACCTTGATTAAATACATTTTGTCACTATTTCAATTTTGCTACAGTAATTCACTGTGGCTGTGGATGTGAGATAGTTTCAGGAAAAGACTTGCATAGGCAAATGGGAAATGTTCTGCAAACAAAAGAGATAAGCTGCTCTGATAGAACTGATACCAGTCCTGCCAGGGAGGGACTAAGCAGGTGATCGGTATGTGAATGTTGAGTGACTCTTGACAGCTTAACCTCAATCTGTGGTTCCCCCTCCCTGTAGATATCCGCATGGAGCAGTGTTACTTGAAGTGGGATGAGGACGAATGCATCCATCCTGTACCTGGGAAGTTCCGCATGGATGCCTGCTGCTGTGCGGTCGGAGCAGCTTGGGGCACAGAGTGTGAGGAGTGCCCCAAACCTGGCACCAAAGAGTATGAGACCCTGTGCCCGCGGGGCCCTGGCTTTGCGAACAGAGGGGATGTCCTGACCGGGAGGCCATTTTACAAAGGTAACTGTCAGCAGCGCATGGGTCCCTCCACACTGAAGCTCACCTTCCGCGTTCTCTGCGGCTTGATTTTGCTTTAAACGTTTGGTTCCCCACTGTATTTCCTCTGTTAGAGCATACAACCTGCCTATGGCCCAGGAGCATAAATCCCCTATACAAGTTGGTACTGAAATGAAGACACTGGGACAGCTGATAACACTTTTTTTACATCCTTTTACTGTACCACTGCTTTTCTCAGCACAGCCTGATGAGATGCAGCCCTGATGTTGCAAAAAGTTCTCTGTCCCCCCTAAACTTTACAAAACAAATGGTCAGAAGTAAAGGGATCAGAACACTTCATTACAAATACAAACTCTTTTTCTGTGTGGCATCTGTGTAATCACTTAAAAATTTACCGCCACCACCCCATTTTCACTTGAGTACATTAATTTCCATCAAGGTAGGTTCTTAACTTAAAATGATGGACCTCCTCTCTGGTTTCGAGCAGCTCTTCATTCCAGCTCCGTTCTGCTTGTAGATATCAATGAGTGCAAAGCGTTTCCCGGGATGTGCACCCATGGGAAGTGCAGGAACACGATCGGCAGCTTCAAGTGCCGTTGCAACAGTGGCTTCGCTCTAGACATGGAGGAGAGGAACTGCACGGGTAAGCCTGTTCTTCTGTTGTCTTAGGTAAACCCTGCCTCTCTTTCTTTTGCTGTTTTAAAAGTACTGCTGCATGCATACGTACATCCCCTCCCTCGGAGGCCTCCCTCCCACCCACCGCCCCATCCCGCCTCTCCAGTTCATCACGGAGCCCCAAGCTGAGCTCCTGTGCCATACAGGAACTTCCCACGAGCTATTTATTCCGCACGTGATAGTGTATAGATGCCAGTGCTACCCTCTGAATTCATCCCACCCTCTCCTTTCCCATTTGCTTTGTAGCCTCGTGCACTTCTGAATGCTGTTCTCCCTTCTTCTGCCGCATATATATATGTATACACACACACACATATATATCTCACACACATACACACATATCACACACACACACACACATATATCACACACACACACACACACATATATCACACACACACGTATCACACAGTCCCAGTGTGGTTCTCAGTGCCCCTCACCACTCTGCATCTGGAAGGCACATCAGAATTTCTTGAGTGTGTCTGTGTGTGTGTGTGTGTGTGTATATATATATGTTTTATATATATATATACTCTTGCAAGCACCTTTGCTAGGTTCAAAAATTATTTCTCCCGGTGCCTGTTCTCCTTGATCTCTGGCCAAACCTTCTCCGTGATTTTCGTCCCTCTTTCTTTTCATGCTGTGTCCCTCTCTCAATTGTCCTGTCATGATTGTGATGTTCCCTTTCTAATCTTCACAGAGTCTTCTTGCCTTTGGCATTTTCCAGAGTCGTCTGCTCTCTCCACATTCTGCCTCTCAGAATTGCGTCTGCCACCATGTCTTTTTGGATGGCCTCTGTCGAGCTGACTCCGAGGTGCTGTCTCTAGCCCTCTGTTCCTCCTGAGTTCCACTCTCAAATTTCTGACTTTCATCTAGACAGTTTCTTTTTTCATCTCCCTTTCTCCCACCCCGCTTCCTCTGTCTAGGGTCTCCTTTACATGTATTAATATTACCGTTTCACTCAGGATTGCAACCTAAGACTTAACTTAACCCCTCCCTCTCCCAACAGATAAGTGACAAGGTTTTGTATATTCTTCCATCAAAATGACTGTTGCAAGTATTTCTTCTACACTATTCCTGATGCAAGTTCAGCTTTTCAGGGCACAGACTTTGAGCAGAGATGAGCATGCTGGAATCTTATTAGGAATTGGTTTTGGGGTCAACGACCTGGGGAGGAAGGGAAAGGAAGCAGAAGGGCCTGAAGGAAAAGTTAGGCTGTGATGCAGTCCCAGTGTGGTTCTCAGCACCCCCAGTGGCAAAGCTTTGCATCTTTCTGGAAGATCTTTCACATCAGAATTGTCTTGAATTAGGACATCGGGGCTTGGCGTTGACGTAGCTGCATGATGAATATTTGGGTACATCTACCCAGAGGAGGCTGTGATTGTGGGGAGCTGTCCTATTAGCTGAGTTTTCTCCTGAAGGTAGCCCCCACCTCGGGACTTTCTGGCAGCCACAGTCTCACAAGCAGAGGGCAAGGATGTGTGAATACTTCCTTTCTGAAGCAGGATCTGGGCAGCATCATAGTCTCTCCTACACTGCGGATTCCTCCAGCATCTTTCACCCCCCACCCTGTAACTTCCCCCAGTCAGATCCTTAAGTTTCATACCCACCAGGTTTTTCATGCTAAAAAAGTAGGGCTTAGATTGTGTAACTTCCCACAGAGCAACTTCCATTGACTCAGACCACCCTAGACCTGGATAAAGAAGCTTCTCCAGTTCTGACTGCTCTGTTTTTGGTGTGAAATCAGCCACATCATTTAATGACACTGAAACTTGCCTTGTTTAAATTGTTCAAGAGAGAAGTTTATTAACATCACTGTGGGGCTGTGGGCTATAGTGTGAAAGGACAGTGGGACATGGGTGGCTGCCCTTCTTCATAGCACAGAAGGCCCATCTGCTGCTCCCCACATTGTCACCATAGTAACCATACCTGTCTTGCCTAAACTTGCATTCATCATCAGCCTCTCTGTAACCCTGTTCTCTCTGAAGTGCATTAATTTTCTTTACCTAGGCATTTTATCTCTTGACTTTCTATTTGTTCTACATCCTTAAAGTTAGAATTTCTGTGTAGATCTTCCAGGATCAATTCAAAAACCACCCCCTTCAGAATACTAATTATTAACAGAGAAGAGCTTATTATATGTACAGCACTCTGTATAAGACTAAAAAATGTCGATTCGCTTACTCCTATGAGACAGGTTCTAACACACGCCCCATTTTACAGATAAACAAACTAAGGCCCAGAGAAATTAAATGATTTCCCCAAGACCCTGCACCCAGAAAATGAGAGTAGTGGGATCTGTGTCCAGCTCTCTGGTTCCAGAGCTCAAAATCTGCACTGTGCAGCTCCCACCACATCACAGCAGCCAGAATTTGTCCCTCCTCTGCCATTGAACTTGTTCTGTGTTTTCATATGGTTCTCATTACCAGTTCCTAGATACTGGTAGATAAAAAATAAGGTAATTAGCATGCACATTATTTACCTGCTTAATTGAATCAATTGATTTTGTTAAGACTTTTGTTCAAAAGAAGGTACCTGGATTTTCAGGATATATGTCCTGCAATTGGGAAAATCAATAGAGAAACACCAAAAGCTGGGAGAAAGCTGGGACTGAGACCACCCTCTGCCCAAGGAAACATGTGCAAATTAGCTATTTATAAAATCCTGTGAGAGAAAAACTTTAAAATTCACCAAAATAAACATATGCTGGCAGTCACATTTTTGCCCCACTTGACAAAAATGGTTAAACAAGTCATATTTTCTTTTTTTTTTAAACAAGTCATATTTTACAGATACGACTACTCTGTTGAAAATCTTGATTTTAGGAATGGGAGATTTCTCATAGAATCCTGTTTTTGAGAATACATGTGCTACTATTAAAGATTCTTATTCACTGTGCTGTATAAAAAGTGACAAACACAACAGCCCATCATTGTCCTTTGTTTTCAATTTTAAAATCAGATCAATAGGCTCTTCCATCTAAATATTACACAAAAGCACGGAGCATGTTCCATGACCCTGCCTTATGTGTGTGTTCTCTGGCTCAGGGTTCAGTACTTGCATCCACCTCTGAAGCTGTCCCTGGGGCCAGCCCAGCCACCCCTGCTCAGAGGCAGAAGGCCTCACAGGCCCCCATCAGGGGTTGACATGGCTAGTACATCAGAACTAGCATGGCCTTTGGGTTGTGCATGGGACTCCCATCTATGTGGCCACTGCTTCCTCATTTGCCACCTGCCTTGGTCCTCTCATACCACAGTTGCTTGTTTCATCCTTCTGTTACCATTTCTAAACCATAAAGAGAAATCCACAATTTCAGAGTTCTTAAAGGCAAAAAGACAGCACCTGCCCGTTGGCTGTGACAGTTTTGGCAGTTGGGGAAAGGAATGTGCCTGCAGCCCTGTCCCCATCTAGGGGATCTCCTGAAAACACATCCTCCTCCTGCTCACCCGATTTCTCCAGCACTTTCACTTAGAAGGCCAAATCTCTGTTCCTTGACACCTTCTAGTCTCACTCTGGTTTTTTTAAATTTCTTTTAAACCCTGTGGACTAGACATCGACGAGTGCAGGATTTCTCCTGACCTCTGTGGGAGCGGGATCTGTGTCAACACGCCGGGCAGCTTTGAGTGCGAGTGCTTCGAAGGCTACGAGAGCGGCTTCATGATGATGAAGAACTGCATGGGTAAGCCGCTCAGTTTTGGAAACAGGTCTAGCACAGACTCGTTAGCGCGACCTTGGCTTGTCTCCGAGCTGTTAACAGTGTGTTTGGCAGGGAGCTGTGGCGAGAGAGCACAGATCTAAATGTCAGACAGGAAATCTGCTCCTCTCTAACTGTTAGGGAGCCCCAGCCTCTTGGCACCTTAATGGCAGAAAGATATTGAGGCTGAGTTCTGTTTATTTATAGAATCTGAAATCACCACAGACTACCTACTGAGCAGGGATTCACTTTAAATGTATGACATTGGATGTTGACCCCAAATTTATTTATTGTTATGAGAATCCCATCTTCTTTTCCTGACTTATGTGTTATTACACAAGCTCTTGGCATTGCCCACCTTTTAGCCCACTGTTCCATTTATTAGCAACTTTTAGGACTCACTTCATGGGATATACAAAGTGAGCAGTCTTAAGATTTTTCTATCACTTTGATTAGAGATAGAGACATATGATGTCTGGAGTTTAGACTGATGAAATGCGAGCACTGTTTATTTTTTAACCTCTTGTGAGCCTGGTCATTTCATACAAGTAAATGCCTTGAGAGCTCACTGTCTTTCAAAGGAGAACGTGACACTTAAATCCACTAATCATAGGGAAAGCGAGGAGAACCTGATCCCATTTGGTGTTGACCCCGCTCCTGCATTTGAACCGCCATGACTCCGATAATGACTCTTTCTCCCAGTCTGTGTCCGTGAACAGTGTTTCCTCAGAGTTCTTTAATGGCTCTCACGTTTTTACCTTTCAGACATTGACGAATGTGAACGTAACCCTCTCCTTTGTAGGGGTGGCACCTGCGTGAACACTGAGGGCAGCTTTCAGTGTGACTGCCCACTGGGACACGAGCTGTCACCATCACGTGAGGACTGTGTGGGTGAGTTTGTCTCCTCGGCACATAAACCCTCCCAGTCCAACCTGTAAAGATCATAAAGATCAGAGGTTTTTCTAGTGAACTGGTTTGGGGCATATGAAATCTAGCTGATTAAAATTTGGGAGTTCAGAGACCACACATCTGGAGTCAGGCTGTGTGTCTTTAGAGAATGCTTTGGTGATGCACTCAAATGAGTGGCATTACCCCTGTTCCCCTCTTTTTTGTTACCAGCTTTCTGGAAGGGACCCTGCCTTGTGTCAGGCCTTATAGTTCCCTCCTCCGGGTCGGCTGGATAAATCAGCTCCTGTTGGAGGGGCTACTCCCTGACAGATCACCTGTGAGCACACCTGTGCACAGTCCGATAATGACTCTTTCTCCCAGTCTGTGTCCGTGAACAGTGTTTCCTCAGAGTTCTTTAATGGCTCTCACGTTTTTACCTTTCAGACATTGACGAATGTGAACGTAACCCTCTCCTTTGTAGGGGTGGCACCTGCGTGAACACTGAGGGCAGCTTTCAGTGTGACTGCCCACTGGGACACGAGCTGTCACCATCACGTGAGGACTGTGTGGGTGAGTTTGTCTCCTCGGCACATAAACCCTCCCAGTCCAACCTGTAAAGATCATAAAGATCAGAGGTTTTTCTAGTGAACTGGTTTGGGGCATATGAAATCTAGCTGATTAAAATTTGGGAGTTCAGAGTCCACACATCTGGAGTCGGGCTGTGTGTCTTTAGAGAATGCTTTGGTGATGCACTCAAATGAGTGGCATTACCCCTGTTCCCCTCTTTTTTGTTACCAGCTTTCTGGAAGGGACCCTGCCTTGTGTCAGGCCTTATAGTTCCCTCCTCCGGGTCGGCTGGATAAATCAGCTCCTGTTGGAGGGGCTGCTCCCTGACAGATCACCTGTGAGCACACCTGTGCACAGAATCCACCCTATGCCCTGTGTCTCTCATCACAGGGTCTGCTCACCTGCGTGTGAGCACATGCGCTCCCTCCTGCCCGCTCCTCACAGAAGCCCTGAGGCTTCCCTGGCCCTGAGCTCAGCAGGGAAGGGGGTGTGATAAAAGAAGACCACCGCTGGTCCTGAAGCAGTCCACAGGCTTTAAAACGTTGCCTTAGCCAGGAAACATTTTCTTCACAGGAAATCTTTCTTGAAGGTGTAAGCAAATGAAACAGTTTAAAATAAAGCAGATCCCACACTCCCAAATAAAAGCATTTGAACACATCCCTGTCTACACCTGTCTATTTATAACCCATATTTATATCATTGGGCCAATGATTAGGTGAATCTTAAATCATAGACCAGGCATTTTATTTACTTTTTAAACTTTTAATGTTTTTACTGAAGGAAAGAGTCTTTAAATTTTATAGAGCTTTACAATTTTTAAAACTTTTGCATATGCGCTTTCATATAATCCCATAATAACTCTTTTTTTATCCCACCCCTATTTTGCCCCTCCCGTCTTTCTTCTCCCCACTGCTGACCACTAATTTGTTCTCTGTATCTATGAGTCTGCTTCATTTTTCAAAGTCATTATAAAAAGGTGAATTTAAAGGTTTTTAATATTTTAAATTCCACATTAATAATAGTACAAAAAGGTATTTCACAGATAATTGCAGAATATTTATTCATATTTGTGATACTAGTGACTCAGATATGTTTCTTAGTTCAGAAATTTATTTTGCTAATTAATTTTCATATTTTTAATGAATTTTTTATGACTGGATTTTATAGCTGAAAAAGTTTCCCTCAATGTTATAGTGTACATTATAAGATATGTATTTTTGCATGTTCAGTAAAATATTTCGTGACTATGAACATAAATCTATCACATCATCCTCGTGATCTTGAGAATTCAAAGTGAATTTCTTGTTATATCTGATTTTTTTCCTAGATCATGTTTGACAGGTAACTTGTGTAAGGAATGTCTCTCTACCATTTCCTTGCTCTTCTATTTTTGCATTATTAGTACTAGTTTCTTCCACAGATCTTTTCAGGAGTGTTTTTTTTCAAGATATCTGCCCATCTTATAATAGTTAGCTTATTTGAAAGCAGTCAATATAATCTGTAATCCACCTGTCCAGGCTCACTAAACACAATGCCATGAAAACTTGAAAAATGAGGGCCCTGTTTCCAGCCCCTCTGTTCTGTGGAACCAGCCGTCTTCCCTCCGGAGCCGTCATGTTATTTAGACAACAAGTGACCATCCTGTTAGGACCAGCTGAGCATGCGAATTCATACATTAAGTATCATCCAGCTTTATTTCTGGCATGTGCTAAGTGGAGGGGGTCTAATGTGGTACTCACTAGCCACATGTGGCTATTTAAATTTGATTAAAATTGAATAACGTTAAAAATTCAGTTCCTTAGTCATACTCTCCACGTTTCAAGCCCTCAGTAACAGCTACACATGGGGCAGCATGGATGTGAAACAGTTCTGTTAACATAGAAACTTCCAGCGGACAGTGCTGTTGTAGATAGAACTAGGAGAAATATAGATTGTTGCAGCATTTTCTTTAAATTTCCCCAGGAGATCATCTCACTTCCCCCTGAAGTATTAATAAATAAAACCCTTTGGATAATGACAAAGCCCATTGCTCCAGTGCAGCATATTCTTGATAGTTAAAATGACGTCGTGATTTCATAAACGTTAATTCTGTGTATCTTTTTATAGATATTAATGAATGCTCTCTGAGTGACAATTTGTGTAGAAATGGGAAATGTGTAAACATGATTGGAACTTATCAGTGCTCCTGCAATCCTGGGTACCAGGCCACGCCAGACCGGCAGGGCTGTACAGGTAAGGAGTTCAAGGAGATCTGGAACTTGTATTCCTCAAGTCAGCCTAGGAGTGCTTCTGGTACTGAATATATAATGAAGTCGATGGGAGTCTTTTGTCCTGAAAGTGAATCTTAAGTATGGGGCAGATCTCTAAGATGCCATGGTTTGGTGGTTTTGCAGAGGAACCTCTGCTTTTAGCCTAGAAAACGTCCTATATTTCTGTCTATGTATATTTCATCTTAATGTGTTTCTGACTTCTTTAAGCATAGGTTAGTAGAACTAAATACGTGTCAAATGAAACACTGTCTAAAAGGAAATGAAAGGAACTAAGAAAGACTAATGGTACAGTGATAAATCAGCATGAATGAATGGGGGAGTGGGTGTGGAGAGAAAATCCAAAACTGTTTAAACTTTATCTGTTTAAAAAGAAAAACTCTCTTTAAAAAAAAAAGGGGGGGGGGGAATAGCTCTGACAAGTAATGTGGTGGTAATGTTTTCACAGATATTGATGAGTGCATGATAATGAATGGAGGCTGCGACACGCAGTGCACGAATGCGGAAGGAAGCTACGAATGTAGCTGCAGCGAAGGGTATGCCCTGATGCCAGATGGGAGGTCATGCGCAGGTACAGAAAGGAAAATGCTCAGACTGTGTGTGCATGTGTGTGTCTGGTTAATTTTATCGTACGAATCTGGCTCCAGATATTTTGAGTGAAACTGGATGGAAAAAAAAGATACGTGAGCTTAATCAAAGCCGTTCTTGTTTTCATTTGATGTTGAATTTGTGTCATCAGATATTGATGAATGTGAGAATAATCCTGATATCTGTGATGGTGGGCAGTGCACCAACATTCCTGGAGAGTACCGTTGTCTGTGTTACGACGGCTTCATGGCTTCCATGGACATGAAAACCTGCATTGGTGGGTATCATGCGAGCGGGATAGATATTTATGTCCAGTATGCACACACATACATACAAAGAAGAGGCTTTTTTGGTTATTTTTAAAATTCAAACCATTGTATTAGAAGGTGTAAAAGTGGAAAAGGAAGAATTGTTTGAAAGAAAAGCCTTAAAAGACAGAATACTTACCTGCAGCACTGGGTCCTGCAGATATTAGACATTATATTTGAAATTTTGTTTGTATATCTCAATATTATTCTATTCATTTTTTAAAATAGCTTTTTAATCTATGGAATGAATGCGTATTAACCATGGCATTGAAAATTTTCTAGACGTGAATGAGTGTGACTTAAATTCCAACATCTGCATGTTCGGGGAATGTGAGAACACCAAGGGCTCCTTCATTTGCCACTGTCAGCTGGGGTATTCAGTGAAGAAAGGGACCACTGGATGCACAGGTAGGTGTCAAGCTTGTATCCCCTGGGTTCCAGCTTCTTGCATTTCAGAGGTTAACCTGCAAAACCGCTTGTTCCCTGGAATGTCTTGTGCTTTCACCCACATCGGGTTGTAGCAGTAATGTGATGAGAAACGCCCAGAGCGCGTGTGATGTGTTTGGTCCTGCCCTGTGGTAGATGAGCATGATCTGAGCCGCCGAGCCACAGACCTCACTGTGAACGGGCTTGGACGCAGAGTGGGAGGGTGGGTGTAGAGTGTGGCCCCATGGTTCTCACGTGCTCTCGGGGCAGCATTCACTTTCTTAATTAACCTGCTGCCCCAACAGGAGATACATGTAAAAGAAGGAGCACCAGAGGACCTGGAGGAAGCTTGGTTGTCACCAAGTTTCACAGTGCTTTTAAACTAACAGAAATTAATCTAAATGTTATATTTAGACTCTTTTTCTTCCTTTCTTTCCCTCATCTTTTCCTTTCTTCTTTTCTCCTCTCTTTCCATGTGCTTTTGCCTTCTTTTCTCCCTACCCAAATTTTCTCTTTTTGCCTTTGTTCTTGGTTCATCCCACCCACTTCATCTCTTACTCTCTCTCTACTAAATAATTTCAGTTTTCTAAAAGAGGGGATGGGGCTTGAAGTCCCAGGGTCAGTTCTTTGGGCCAGATGTCCATCACTGCTCAAGGTTCTTGTAGGGGTATTTTGCTCAAGCCAGGTGGTAAGTGACTTAGACTGTAGCCCAGACCTTCCTTAAGCCTACACCTGCAGAAAAGAGCAAATAAGGAAAGAACTCTGCATGTTCATAAATGTATATGTGTACACATACAACACACACAAGGCACTGTATACATATACTGATAAGCATCTGGTCATTTTCCAGAAAACATTTCCAGGGGATATTTTTGTATATTGTGGCTGGCAATTTCTTTCAGGGAAGGCCTTGTTTGACTTGGATCATGCACTTCCAGATTCTGCTGGAGTCTAAACATATTAAAAATTAAAAGTCAGGTTATTTTCTCTGTGTTTGCTTTAAAACTTTGCCTGTACAGACATATCTTGAAAGTAGAATTAATTAGGTTGTCTCTTATCTTCTCCACATTCACTGTGGTTTCTCAGATGTGGATGAGTGTGAAATTGGTGCCCACAACTGTGACATGCATGCCTCGTGTCTAAACGTCCCAGGAAGCTTCAAGTGTAGCTGCAGAGAAGGCTGGGTTGGAAATGGCATCAAATGTATTGGTGAGTAGTTTGCAAATGTAAATAAGCTTTGCTAAGACGCAAAATTCCTAGAGGCTGTTCTTTGCACAGTTGTTAACCCACATACTTGAATAGGAACATGCCTCTTATTTTCATTTAGTCTCTTGAAAATCAAAGGCTGTATTTCATTGCAAGATAATTCCTGTCCAAGAGTTTCCTTTAACCTTTGTATAAGTGATCAAATTACAACAATATGCCTTGGCATCTGCATTTTAATGTGTTGTTGTTCAGTAAGTTATTTGATGTGCAGCCAGAAATCCAAACAGCTGTAGGATGAAAAATGACTCATATATTTTTTCAGTCTTTTTCTAGAGTAATCATAAGATATAAAACCCAGTGAAATAAATGAAGGGAATGTAAAGGGTTTTTTTTTTTTTTTTTTTTTTTTTCAGATAACCTAAGTCTGTCATAACTGATTGATAGCAAACTTCTTAATAGAAAATAGAATTCTTCTTCCAGGGAAACCTAAATGTTTTGGATTCCAAGAGGCCAGATTAGAAGGAGAATGGGAAGACAGTTGCCTTTCTCCAAGTTTTATGGTTCTTGACCAGAGGCTATTAAGTCCTTTATAGCTGGGAGGCAGGGAACTGGATTTTCCTCTTGATATCATTCATAGTGCTGCTTAACAATAAAGTGTGTTCCAACATATAAAAATTATCCAGCTGAATTCAAAATACCAGTTAAAGCAGGTGAAACTGTCCTCCCCACAATTCCTCATTAAAACCTGATGATAAGCCTGCGGTAAGGATTTGGTGATAGTTTTAAGATCTCTTATTAAAAACGTATTAGTTTATTTGAATGTACTTTCTTATCCACTCAATTGTTTTATACTTGTCATATGTTTGTAGCTGACTAGAATTTGAATTACCATAGTTTCTAAATAACTTTGCTAAGGAACATTCTATCGTGGCATCATTAAGTCCACTAGCTCCCTATCCTAGTCCGGACATCTTTCTATCATTGATCCAATGATTTTTCAGCCATATCCCCATTCCCGTTATTCTAGTACCATTTGTTCACTCTTTTTCTCCTTTTCTAGCCTCCTTTTTTGGTGCTGCTTGTCCATCTGTCACTTTGGCCAACTATTTGGAAAATAGCCTGCCTTCAATACAAGAGATTTAACCACATGCAGGCACCAGATCCACCTTCTTTCCAACTCCATCCCCCTTCTCTGTTGCAGCTGTTCTGTCTGTCTCCCCAGCCGCTTCCTCTCTGTTAGTTGCCTAGAAGACCTCCTCATATGTTTGCTCGCTCCCTCTCTGGTCCTCCTGCAATCCATTCTCCACATAGCAGCCAGACCAATATTTTAAACCATGGGTCTGATTTCTTCATAATTGTCATTTTAGCCCATTGAATTCCGGATAAAATTCAGCTTCCTTCACATGGTTTAGAAGACCTTGTGGCATCTTGCTACCGTCTCTCCTGCTTCACCTTCCATTATCCTGCGTCTCCTACATTGTGCTTTATCACTCTGACCTCCTTTAATTGTCACACCAAGTGATGTTCCTTCTCAATGTCTTTATATGTGCTGTTCCCTCTGCAGGGAAGACCCATCCCTACTTCTCTTTAGCAGGTCAACTCTTGCTCATCCTTCAGGTGCAAAGTTAACTAAAAATAATTTGTCAGTGGGACTTTCCTAATTCCTGCATTCCAGATTAGACTCCTTTTCTTATTTCCTCATATTTCTTCATGGTATGTGTATGACAGTGTTTAATTTAATTTTCTGTGTTTAGCATGTGCCTTTTCCATTAGACTAGGGGCTCCATGAGCTTCCCTGGCAGCTCAGTCTGTAAAGAATCTGCCTGCCAATTCAGGAGACCCAAGAGATGTGGGTTCCATCATCCCTGGGTCTGGAAGATCCCCTGGAGGAGGAAATGGCAACCCACTCCAGTAACCTTGCCAGGGAAATTCCATAGAGAGAGGAGCCTGGCAGGCTACAGTCCATGGGGTCACAAAGAAGTCGGACACAACTTAGTGACTAAACCAGGGGCTCTGTGAGGTCAAGAATCATATCTTGGTTTCCTCATCTATAAAATGAACTTGAAAACTGTATGGTAATTGTCCTGCTCTGAAGTTCAATATTATCTTGAAAATTACCCACGTTTTTAGTGACAAAGTAGCCAATGATAAAATTCCCCCTAAGTAGAAATCAGAAGGAAATCTAGCCCTGGTTTTCTTTTAAACATTATAATTCTAGTTGATTAGATAGCTCAAAAAACACTTGAACTAATTATTTTGGCCCATGTTTGTGGCACGAGCATTTTGGATCATAGATCGGAGGTCTTAGAAAATTAGAACTGTGACTTTACCAGTCAACTAAAACATATTCCATTTGGCCACTTTACATTTAAATTAAGACAAATGAAAATCTTTCTGGGTGTTTAAATAGTCCATCTTCATTTCTGAACTTCACTGCTGTGTTCTCTTGACATGCAGATCTGGACGAATGTTCTAATGGAACCCACCAGTGCAGCGTAAATGCTCAATGTGTTAATACCCCAGGCTCCTACCGATGTGCCTGCTCCGAAGGATTCACTGGAGACGGATTTACCTGCTCAGGTGGGTGAGGTCCTGATTTTCACAGAGCCCTGTATATGTGTTTGTCATTGGAAGAAACCTGTAGTTAAAGGAGATTGAAATCACTACCTCTGTCTTTACACTTGACTTGTAGGTGAATGTGTATTTTTGCTTACGTTAAACACAAAAACCGAGAAATTTTTTAAAATAATGGCATTTATTACTGTTATGTGGTCTTAATGACTTAATGACTTAATGTGGTCATTTCCTTTTATTCATTAGTAAACACGATGGCCAAAAACACAGGTTCTGATTCAGACCACTTAGATTCAGACCTTGCCTGTGCTGCTTACCGGCTGTGTAGCCTTAAGCGAGTTCCTTAACCTGTGTGTCCTTAGTTTCTCCATTTTGGAATGGACACGGTGGCAGTAATGATAATGATACTATTTCCCCCCCTTTTTTTTAATATCACCGAATGAACGACATGTGGGAAAATTATTCAGCTTCTTAAAATCTATGACCTACCCAATCACGGTTATTTATTGTGTTTATAAAAATCTCAGTTTATCATATGGTTTTGAAAGGATTAAATGGAATGATATAAGTAAAGAGCTTAGAAACATGCATCATAAGAGCTCAGTAAATGTGGCTAAATTCATACTACATTCTTTGAGGATAAAACATCCATTCATTATATTCATGTAAAAGGCTCGAATCATCTTTCTGGACATAAAGAACAATACTTCTCAGCTTGAAAGATAGGTGTTTCTCAGTTTAATGTACATACATTTAACCCCAAATTAAAAGATAATTTTTTGTTGTGATTATTGATGTCAAGAACTCAGACTTAAAATTCTCTAATGCCTCTTTAAGAAAAGATGTGTATTCAGTTGTAAAGCTTTCTTCCTTTTAAACCTTGGGTGCTGCGTCTTTCTCAGCATGTCTGCACTGTGGTGTGAAGGCAAGGGCCTGGCCTTGGAATCAGACACAGCTGCTCTCAGACCCTGGCTCAACCGCACATTAGCTCACTGCGACTCCCACGGCTCAGTCGCTACTCTTAGCCTCGGGTCCTTCCTCTTCTAAACCTCACAGGGTTGGTGAACTAAATAAAAACATGCATGTCAGGGAACTAGCACACTCCCTGGCAAGTGTTAGGCCCTCAATAAACATTGGTTTCTGCCTTTAACCCCTTTTTCCATGTGATAGAGTCAAATGAATTGTCTTTAAGATCTATGAATAATGCTCATTTGTGTAATTAAAATAAGAATGAGACTCTTCTTTTTGTAATTAAAATTTAATGAGATCGTAATGGCATGAAAGAAACTTTCCTCATTCCCATAGAGTGTCCCTGCTTTGCTTAAAAATGCTTGAATTAATGAAAGAAAGAGTTGTTCATTTTAACTCTAGTGTTTTCAAATGAATTAATGCCATTTTAAGATTAATTCCAACGTTCTTGGCTATCTGTAAATGATGTTGCTATAGCACTGATGCATCAAATTAGCCTTAAAGAGAACTAAGACAGATGGGAGAAACATCTCATACCTCATTCCTCCTGTTTATTGTGATGGAATTGCATGTCATAGATTAAATAGCTTTACTGTCAAATGGCATACCTTTATTTAGGTGTGTATGGATAATTGTTCGATGTTAATGAACACTAACTCAGGCCAGTGAGATTGGTTTAGTTATGGAACAGAGAAAAAAATGTGTCAGGAGATTTGGAACTTTAATAGAGATGTAATTTGCTCCTTCAACAGATGTTGACGAATGTGCAGAAAACATAAATCTCTGTGAGAACGGACAATGCCTCAATGTCCCAGGCGCATATCGCTGCGAGTGTGAGATGGGCTTCACGCCAGCCTCAGACAGCAGGTCCTGCCAAGGTGGGTCACCAGGATTCCAACTCATTTCCAAGTTGGATCAACTGCAACAAATGAAACCACAAAAAGGGCTGGAACGGGCTCCACCTGGAAGCAGAATACACAGCACATGCTGCACATATAAAAGTCATTTGTTTAAGCATGGATTATTTTGCCGAATGAATAATGATGAAGGCGGCTTTCATCTCTTATGAAGTTTTCCTGGCCAAGAGCCAATAGTTGGAACTTTGGCTTATTCAATTTTTTTTAACTATTTCTTTTTTTTTTACTTTTCTTTTGTTTTTAATCACTAAATGAATGACATGTGGATAAACTGTTCAGCTTTTAAAATATGATACATTATGTACCTCAATCACTGCTATGTAATGTGTTTATCAGAATCTAGGTAGCTCATTTTTGGCGTTACCTTCTTACCTGAGTTGACTATCTGCATGTCTGGGACTGGAGGTCCTCCAGGAACTCATCAAGAACTACACCTTTTGCTGAATAGTCATGTCGCCTTCCTCTTAAGTTATGACATCACCCCCTTTCCTGGAAATGGGACTTTGTAACTAGTGTGATATCTTTCCAAGTAAAAGAAGTTGAATTTTCTTTTACATTAGAGACTCAATTCACATTGCATTGAGTTTGGGTCATCACTGTGTTCTCAAGAGTACATTAAAATGTAAATAAAGAAAGGAGAGGACTGAAAACGATTCATATGCCATAAAGTTTTTAACGAAATTAGTGATTCATAAAAAGCCTTAAAAAAATAACTCAGGCTGGCTGCTAGGCAAAGATTTTTTAAATGAAACCAGATTATAGGCTTTCCCTACGTGAGTCCCTAGTCAAATGAACAGAAATAGTAAATGCCAACTTACACACACACAGGCATACACTTCACCAACCAAATGAAAATTATACAATCTGGCGCAGCTTGAACTAGAGCCTGACTCTGCCCCACCACCAGAAGTATCACTGAAGAGAGAAAGTGTGCCTAAAAGATCATGGAATTTTCCATAAATATCTACAAATTTGGATTGAATCAGAAGAAGAGAATGAGTAGTAGACTCTGGGAAAATACTAGAAACTGAAAGCCTTTGTGCTTCTACTTTGACCTGCTAGGTTGAGCAGAATCTAAACCATTTTATACAGAGCAGCTGTAGAATGAACTTTTTTTTCTTCTTTGTCCTGCTGCTTTCTAAGCATTGAAGCCAGTTAGTAGAAACTGTGAGTCAGTATGGTCATGGAATTACATGATTTATTATGCACGTCAGCTAGACAAGAATTGGTGGGAAAAGGAACAAGTTACCCGTATCCAGACACTTTTGCTAACATAAAATTTCAAAATTAATCCTTTATACTTAAGACAACATTTGCCCTTCGTAGTTCTATTCCAGTATCTATGGCCTAGGCCCTTCTAAAATTTTTCCCAGAACCTCCCCCAAGGTGATACTAAATAGTTTCTATTTACTGTACTTCTTTCCTGTGTTGACTTTCCCCAAATATGTCATTTCCATGTAGAGAAATCCCAATTGCCAGGGCATCTGAGAATAGCACACACATAGCTCACCCTCTGCTCCATTCAGATGGATGTCAACTTTTGAGATCCCCAAAATGTAATTCTGTGATTCTGCCTTTTTCTCCTTTGTTTTGTCATTTCTTTTTCTGTGAGGTCTGGCACGTCTAGACAGTTTATCCTGAGTTACTACTTTAGTTTCTTGACATTTTTCCACCTTACTATAAATTTATATCCCTCTGAATTAATCCTCTGGTCAATATTGTGCATTCAGCGTCTACGTCTAATTTCTGTAGACTTGAAAAGGTTGCTAGAGTTGGCCATTTCTCAGTATTCTTCACCAAAATGGAAGCGTGCAAAATCTGCAGGAACCTCCTCAGGGACAGGTTAGGACTCCTGTCAGGTGGAGTGAACGCAGACAGAGCATTTCTCATGATGCCTGAAGAGAGATCAGGGGCCAGGCTCATCAACAAAGACCACACAGAGCCCAGCAGAGGTCTTCCCGTCCGTGTTCCTCACCTTCCCCTACCTTGTGAAACTCTGGGCCACAGAACAGAAGCTTTAGGGAACCCATACCCCAAGCTGTCTTCCAAAGAGATCCTAAGGTTAAAAAAGAAGGGAAGATGTCAAGAAGCTCCATCGAAACTGTATCGGAGTACAGTTGACACTTGAATAATGCAGGGGCTGGTGACGCCTACCCTCAGCGCGGTAGGCGATCTGTGTTCAACTTGTAGTTGGTCCTCGGTCTTCCCCGTTCCTCTGTTTTCCTGGATCTGCATATTTAACCAACCGCAGATAGTGTAGCTGTAGTACATACACTGCAGTATTTACTACTGGGGAAAAAAAGCCATGTTTAAGTAGACAGATGCAGTTCAAACCTCTTGTTCAAGCACCAACTGTATATAAAAACTCTTACAAGAGCTGACCAAGTAAAGTGTACATAAGCTGAAACAACAGCTACTATGCTGTTATGTCTATGGAAATAACAGAAGAAGAACATACAAAAAATATAATCAATTCAGAGTAGAAGAAAACTAGTCAAGGAACAAGAGCAGATTCCATGTAGGTATGTTGTACCATAGATCATCTTAATAAAAGCATATGATTGCGCAAGTTCAAAGTAATTATAAGAATAGAAAAGACATTGCAGAATCAGCGGAAACAAAAGACACGGGCCAATTGAGGAAAATCAGAGAACTATTAAATAGACCCAGCAAAGAATAGAGGAGATGAAAATGTAATTACTAGTGAGATAATCACAGTGAAAAAAAAGGGGGAAATAAATTAAGAAAAGACAAAGGCCATAAGCTTAAGTATAATGGGTGTTTCTGAAGTGAAGAGTTCCTAAAAGTTGAATAGAAAAACGTATTGAGATTCCGTGGGAGAAATAAAGAAAGAAAAAAAAAAAAAAAAGAAAAACGTATTGAACAACTAAACATTTTCCTAAAATAGAAGAAAGAACTGAATATACAGGAAGGGGTAAATCATAAGACAAATTTTTAGCTTTATTGTATTTGTCAGCTTAAGTCATAGAGATGCTTCAAACTCCAGATAGAAAAGACAAGCCTTGAACAACAAATACACATTAGAATGCTGCCTTCCCAGTTATAAGAACACATGTGACAAGAAGATTGTACCTCAGAGTTAATTATATAGACAATAGACATATCCTTACATGTGAAATAATTCAGAAAGAAAGCACCTATGGGCTCTCTTTTTTTTGTCTTGGGGGAAGAAAACAACACAATTTAGCAGCAATGAAATGGCCAAATCACGGAATATAAATGGGGAGGGAGGAAGCAGTAATTGGAGAAGTGACAATAAAAACATTATTGGTTTTAAAGAATTAGTACTAAATTCTTTAGAGATTATGGTAAACGGCATGAACATTTAAAAACTGAAAATAATATGAATAACAAAAATGAGTTGGAAGCATATATATATTCATGCTAATTTTAATCATCATTGTGTAGAATCCACTAATACTGTCTTAAAATCATTTGAATTTAACATAAAGCCAAAAGGTGATAAGGTTTTAGTATTTTTCATCAATTCTTTATGCTAGTATTTCAGAAGCTACTGACATAGTGAAAAATTGATTTGATGCTTGAACATGGTTCACTCTCTGAATATGCATTGAGAAATATCAGTATTTGAAATATTGTTCATCCAATTATGATAAGTCTGGATAGAAGCATTTTTGAGTGATTTTTGTTTTTGCTGTCTTATTTTCTGTATTGTTTCCTATCTTTTCTGTTTCTTCAATACTTTTCTATATTGTTCAAATTTCTGAATATACATCAACTTTATAAAAACAAGATAATATTCTTTTAAAAAACCTTATTTCACACAACTTTTTCATTATTCCAGTGGAAGTTATTTGTAATAAAATTCATTTAAAAGTAAAATGCATACACATAAGGCTGATAATACATTTACAGCTTAATGCAACTCAGTTATTAAACTAACTTAATGAGTCTTTACTCATTTATATAAAAAGAATAACTTTATTGCCCCAACACAAGTAAAGACAACTTTACACATCAGTTGAACTTCTAAACACAGTTTGAACCATACTTTAAATATAAGATAATTGAAATGCTTTATTTTGACTATCATGAAAGACCCTTTTGTACTTAAGATATAGCTGTCTTGAGACAGCATTTTAGAATGACTTGTCTAGTCTTGCCTGAAATGGCATGCCTGGTCTGCATTCTCAGAATATGAGGTTATTTGTGTACAAAAATGTCCATCCTCTTCCTCTGAGTAAAAATACAGATTATTTCTACAGCTGGACAGGCATACATATGCCTTCATTTTCATATGAATGAAGAGTAATAACTTCTCATTTATTTTGAGTTAAAGCTTCATGGAAGACTTTTATAACCTGAATTTATGACTTCAGGCCAACAGAGATGTTTTAATGAAATTGAAGGAATGTGGGGCAATGATGATCTTATTACACACTACTGGGGAAAAAATTCTTTTTCTGTTTATAATTGACCTTATTAAAACAGGTCAGATTACAGAATAAAAAAGTTTAAATAAGTTAAACTTAAATAATTTAAAAGATACATTTAATATTTAAAATGTTATATATTTTACATGTTGCAGATATTTCTAAAACATCTCATGTTTTCATTATTGGAATCTTTGAATTTGTTTTTATTTTTCATTTTTTTGTAATCTTATTCCCTTCACATGTTTGTACTTAATTTAAAAAAAAAATATTTAAGCCCCAGGCCCATTTTTTCTTAAGTATTTTGCAACCCAAGACAGTTAAAATACTGTCAATAAAATGAAATAATATCCTTTTATGTCTTTGCTCCATCTGAATGTTAGTTGGTTGCTGTTTACGTGACATCTCTGGTCAAAGTAAATGAAAATTTTTTGCTCCATAAAAACATCTGAGGAGATGGAATAATTTATTAATGTCACCCAGTAAATTGAAATCTTTATAATCAAGAGATTACTATTTTTTTTAATCTCCAGATATTGATGAATGCTCCTTCCAAAATATTTGTGTCTTTGGAACATGTAATAATTTGCCTGGAATGTTTCATTGTATCTGTGATGATGGTTATGAATTGGACAGAACAGGAGGGAACTGTACAGGTATGCCAGTTAAGGGCTTAATTGTGTTGTTATTAAATGAAATGAACCTTTTTGTGCTAGACATAAAAGTTCCCCAAATTTCTGCCTAGACTGCTATGCCTTAGGTTATTGAAAAAGGAAATTATATTCTTATATATTTATTTCTAACTGTGAGGTTGATTTATTGTAATGTAAACAGCTTAATTTTAAATATCCAACATGAAATTAGTAACATATCTCTGTATATATTTATAATGTCCACATATGTGTACAGTTATACATATATTTACGTTTAATTCAAGCAAGAAATGATACCGTGATTTTCTTCAGAATTGCAGCTTTTCAATATAATTTACTTATTTATTTATTTATTAAAGATATTAAATGATACCATTGTGAATACTGTCTGATTGACATATGGAAATGGCTTTAGGTGTGTACAAGTATTTCATTGTGCTGAATCCCTCCTAAAGATTTTTAGTCTGCTGACTTTCAGAATTTCCACCAAATCCTTTGGAAGAGGAGTACGCACAAGGAAAGTAAAGATGTTGATGTGGGCATTCTAAATGTTTTTCCTAGATATTGATGAGTGTGCAGATCCAATAAACTGTGTGAACGGCCTGTGTGTCAACACTCCTGGTCGCTATGAGTGTAACTGTCCACCCGATTTCCAGCTGAACCCCACTGGTGTGGGGTGTGTTGGTAAGTAAAAGCAATATGAAACCAACAGATAGAAGCACACAGAGTTAAATACTCATACTCTCTTGGTAACGAACTGTGATATGAGCATTTGCTACAATTAACTTAAAATAGTACTCCTTTACCTGAAGTAAACTAGATTGCCAAAATACATGGTCACTTTTATCCTGCTAATCTTCCAAGTCATATTTTGAAACAGGAATTTTTGAGACATCTCACAGACTTGGGAACCGGAGCCCTAGAGGTGCAGTCACTTGTTTTAAGGTCACAGAGCTTGCAAATGGCAGGGCTGAAGCAGTGTCCCCAAGTTGCCTGGCTCCCTGTCCAGCGCATTGACCAGGACAGATGCCTTTGAAATGTGGACTCAGTTTTACAAAATGAATATGTTTTAGGTTCATGCATGACAGTCGACAAGGCAAGCAGTTAATGGTACTTATACCTTTAGTTATATAATTCTTCAAAACCAAGAAAAAACCTGTATTTCTATAGGTATAAGAAAAACCTTTCTTTGTGTGTGTGTAAGACCTATCTTTATTTATGTATGTATTTCTTCCTTCCCAGGCAGGTATGTATTGCATTTTGTTTGTTATTTTTGATTTCCTTTTCATTTTTTTTTTTAGTTTGTTTGTGCCTTTTTCTTATGCAAATTATTTTCAAAATTACTTACAAATATGAAAAGTAAAAAGGTTTGTTGGATACAGATGGCAGATAACAGTGACTGTTTTTCCTGAGAGGAGAACCAGCAGTTCCTCTTGAGGCTCTTTATATCAAAGAAAGTAATATCATCACAGACCCTTCCAGAAACACAAGGAAACATGTTCAGTGCCTCGTTATTTGTGGTGGCAAGAATTTAAAAACCAATTTTGGAGAGTGGGTTGATTAAAAAAGAATGGCACACTACAATATTGTAAAGTAATTAGCCTCCAACTAATAAAAATAAATGAAAAAAAAAAAAGAATGGCAGTTGGGCACTGTGAGTTGACAGCATGTTATAAAGATAGAATGAGGCAAAATACCATTCATAGAAATTTAAAATGTGCACCAAAAAGCCCCCCTAATATACTAATTTTGCTACAGGACAGACCGTAAAAAGTAATATTAAGCACTTTCCAATGTTTGAGTAGGGGAAGAGGAAGGAGAATGGAGAGCAGGGATAAAAGGGAAAGAGTGATAGGGAGGAAAGAAGGAAGGATGAATGAATACAAGCCTAGTAAGAGCAGAACCATGAGTTAACCCTTCTGTTAGCACCTGAGATTTGGCAACAAAAATAAAACTTAAAAGAATTGAGAAAAGAAAGTAAAAGAATAAAAAGCTGCCCAAGTGATTATACTGTGCAGCTGGAGATGAAAACTACTTGGTAGACTGTAAAGAACCTTGGGTTGTACTCTGATTTGAGATGGGACGCCTTTGGAAGTGGCCTGACCCAAGGTAATGCTTCTGAAGGAAGCTATGGTAGGAAAAATAGACTGTAGGTGAATCAGGAGATGAGTTAGGAAACGGTTGCTGTAGTCCAGGTGAGGGGTGATGGTGGCTTGAACTCAGGTTGCAGTGATGTTGAAAGCAGTGGTAAGTCATCAGATTCCAGGTATATTTTGAAGGTAGTGTTGACAAATCTTGTTAACCGGATTGAATAAGGAGTCAAAGTTTGACTCCAAAGTTTAGAGCCTGAGCAGTTTTTAAAAATGAGTTTTCTGTTTATTGAAAATGCAAAAAAGCCTGCGAGAGAAATGGAGCAGGTTTTTTATGTGGAAGCAAGAGTATCAAGTGTTTGACTTCAGACACGATAACTTTAAAATAGCTCTTAGATATCTAAGAGGAGAAATAAAATACTCGGCACTTGGCAGAAAGATCTGGAGTTCAAGGGAGAGGTGAAAGATGGAACCACAAATTTGATTGTGGTTAGAGTGATGGAACTAATGAGGTGATCTAGATGATACTCAGAGACAAGAAAAAATTTGAGAGTCACTTTTTCTCTTAAATATCCTTTCTAAGCTTGTAACAGACTGACTCTTCCCAAACTTGCAAAACTTGATGTGCAAATTGAAGCAAAACTTTGGGAGAATAAAGATTATGGGAAGGAGAGGAAGGAGGTTGCATTATCACTATTTTCTGTAATAGGATACATTGTTTTAACTTATAGTGGATTTCATTTCCTTTGTTGATAAACTCATGATATAGACTGATTGAGTATTAGGAAGCGTTTTTTTGCATTCATTTTATTAAAGGTCTAGAATGTCCCAGGTGAGTAATTGCTTACTCTGTTTAGCCCATGATCTATATGGATGTCTAAACATGGGAAAGTGTTGGAGTTGATTTAATTCCTACAACTTGGAGAAACTCTAAAGCACGTGGTGATTTCGTGCAGGGAGTTGATGTGCAGAATTGGAATTTCATCATTTGAGCGACCTTTCTCCAGAATGACATTCTTAGCGCTGTAAGGACCGTTGTAAACTCCTGTGTTTTTCTGCAGACAACCGCGTGGGCAACTGCTACCTGAAGTTCGGTCCCCGGGGCGATGGGAGCCTGTCCTGCAACACTGAGATTGGGGTGGGCGTCAGCCGCTCCTCCTGCTGCTGCTCTCTGGGGAAGGCCTGGGGGAACCCCTGCGAGACCTGCCCCCCTGTCAACAGCAGTGAGTATGAGGCCGAAGAAGGGGACAGGGACCCTCTGGTAGCTGAAGACTAGCTGCCGAATTCTTCTGGTGCTGGGGACGAGAGAGGAGCGAGAGTGAACTTTGAATCTGGACTGCTTTCAGTGATTATGCTGAAACCAGCCAGGAAGCCTTCATAGAAAAGGAATCTGAATTCCTCTCCTCGTATTGTTTTTCTTGATATGATGGGAAGAGAAAACAATTTTTAACCACAATCCACTATGAAGGATGATAATATCAGTTCTCCCTGGTATCACAGATAAAGGCCATTCCTGCTTCTTTTCCAGAGTTGTTTTAGTTCAGGATCATAGACGCATTGTATTCCTCAAGTCCAACCAGGTTATATCTTAAATTGAAATGTGTGTCCTGATATGAGCATAGGTGAAACTTAACATTGTTGAATCTTTGAGTTTTCATTTACTAGCCAAAATAAGTTGTTAATATAAATTGTCTGAAAGTAGTTTTTTTCTTTAATTAAAAACAAATGGGTTTTGTTATTCTACTTTGTAATTTATGAAGTAATGATCTTATTTCAAGTAGGATGTTAATATTCTTTTAAAGATACTGTGTTTGAAAAGGCACCTAGGAAAACATAGACACATCCCTTAGGATATGTGCTTTGAGCTTGGCAGTCGTTAAGTACTAATTCATTGTCTCAGCCTCTTGCACGCAGGTTATCAAATTTCTTTTTCCTTCCCTCGTTTTGTAGCTGAATATTACACTTTGTGTCCTGGAGGTGAAGGCTTCAGACCTAACCCCATTACAATCATCTTAGAAGGTGAGTATACCTCTGATGGTCACCAGATTTAAACAAGAGCTTACTTTTAGAGAAAAGCTGGTAGAAAAGTTAGTGTGCAACCGTCCAGACAAGATTATTTTGCAAAATTACAGGTAGACAGTTGCCAGTTTACTGAAAACTCATTCGTAAGTCAGAAAGACTTTGATCCATTGCAGTGGTGTGTGATTGTTCTGCGGGGAAACTCTTTTTATAATTATCCCCAACTTTCATCATTGTTAGATTTAGTTATTCCTCTTTTCAAATTATAGCAGAGTTCCATGACTAAGCCAGGGGAATTCATGATCACAATAAACCTCCTGTCTTAAGTGTGCATTCACTTGGATACATGGAAGTCTGCAGGTCTTGCAGTACCATGCATTTGAAAGCTCTCATAGTGACTCTTGTCTTTCATGACAGTATCTGAGCTGTCTCCCCTTTTGCAGATATTGATGAATGCCAGGAGTTACCAGGACTCTGCCAGGGTGGAAACTGTATTAACACTTTCGGTAGCTTCCAGTGTGAGTGCCCTCAAGGCTACTACCTCAGCGAGGAAACCCGCATCTGTGAAGGTGAGATGAATTCATACCTAAAAATTATTAGTGCTATTTAAAACAAAATTACTGGTCAGGTCTGGAGAAAAGAGTCCATCTTCAAGTTTTATCAACAGATATGATGAGACTGGTTCATTGTTTTTTTCTTTTCCGTCAGTGCTTCTAAGTTGTATAATGATGCATGCATGCCAAGTCACTTCAGTTGTGTCCAACTCTTTGTGACCACATGGACTGCAGCCCGCCAGGCCCCTTTGTCCACAGGGATTCACCAGACAAGAATACTGGAGTGGGTTGCCATGCTCTCCTCCAAGGGATCTTGTTGACCAAGGAATCGAACCCGGGTCTCCTGCCTTGCAGGCAGATTCTTTACCATCTGAGCCACCAGGGAAGCCCTGTATGATGATGGCTAAATTAATTTACAGATTATTTGCAGTAACTTACTATTATTTTTCTCTGAGTAAATTGGTTGATGATAAAGGGAGAAAGCTGAAATAGTATGAAAGCATTCAATATAAGTTTAACTCAAATTAACTCATATTTTACCTTTATATTTTATATAGAAAAATACGTATGTTTGAAGTGGGACCGTTAGGTTAATACTTTCAGTAACTTTTTAATGTTGAACAACATCACCTGAAACAGTTCAAAGGTTATGCAGATGCCTTTCTTGGCTGCATCCCCCATTTCTCATGTGGAAATGTAATCAGCCTTTAGGGGCCTGGTCTTCCCACCAGACTGCGAGCTTCTTGAAGCAAGGGCCACATCTAATTCATCCTTATAGCTATAAGTTCTGACTTACAGTAGAATCTCAGTATTTATTTATGGAATGAATGAATGAATGTTTCTAAAACTAAACATTAAACATGTAGTGTAATTATTTCCATTATAACTTTCCTATTGGAACATTTTAGATAAGCACATCTGGAAGAAATGCTTTAATAAGGAGAATAGCCAGAAACTGTGCTACTTCGAGAATCTCTGAATGGGTGTTAATTTGAAAGGAGCTCTAAAGAAAAAGGCTTTCCTAAGTGCCTTCAGTTTAAAGTTGGCACTAAAATTTGATCTCAGTGACGTAAGAGGAAAGTAGCTTTAAAGCAATTCCATCTGAAGAGTATGAAATTTCAGTTTAAAAATATAGGCACCATTGAAGTTATTTTTTTGCCACTTTGGAATAATTTATTTTGATCACCTTTATTTTTAAATGTTAGATTTTTATTTTTCTGAAGAAGGGCATCTTGTATGTGATATAAATGTATTTTTGGGGTGTTTCCTATGTAATTGGTTTAAATTCTAAATTTTATAAAAAGTAGGATGAATTCTATAAAAATAAAAATTGGGGGGCTCAGCCATATGCTTTGTTCAGTTGTTTAAGTCACTTAAATTCATGGGGAAAATATTTACTAATTAATGGATATCCTTGCATCCCATAGATATTGATGAGTGTTTTGCACATCCTGGTGTGTGTGGACCTGGGACCTGCTACAACACCCTGGGAAATTACACCTGCATTTGCCCACCTGAATACATGCAGGTCAATGGAGGCCACAACTGCATGGGTAGGTAAAGCTCTGAAGTTGAGGAGGTCACTGTTGCTGACTTCCTGGTCATCAGTTATCTCTCAGAGGCAAACGTTTCACAATTATTCAGAAAGTTTGGAAGTTAAATCTCTATGAATAGTAAAGTATTTCAAAGTCTTATAAACTTATGGCTATGTATCATATTTTTAAAATATTTTGGCTACATAGTTACATGTTATAAAGCATGAGTCTGAGATAGAAAATCTTAACAAATATTATAATTATATATTCTTAAATACTTTTATTTTCCATTCATATAAATTGAACATTGTTTTACAAATAAGAGAACAATTAAAATCTAATATGTAATGCTTTTTAAATTAAATAAATGCATTTGAATAGAGAAATGTCTATTAACTTTGTCCCCCAAGAAAATTAAAAGTGAAATAAATCCCTTACCTAAAAACAGGAAAGACGCTTAACTAAAAATGATTTGTGTTCAACTTATAGAATTATTTTAAGATACTTACACATGACCATGGAACTTTTCAGAGGTAGTCGAGGAATTTTAGTGTCTCCAGGTGTATGGGGTTTATTATTAGCTACTTGCTGGCAGGATGGGTTGGCATTTTTGTTTTTCTCTATGTAGACATGAGAAAAAGCTTCTGCTACCGGAGCTATAATGGAACCACTTGTGAGAATGAGTTGCCTTTTAATGTGACAAAGAGGATGTGCTGCTGCACATACAACGTGGGCAAAGCCTGGAACAAACCTTGTGAACCATGCCCAACGCCAGGGACAGGTAAGCACACAGCTCCTGCTTCTGCGGGCGGCCAAGCTAGTGACGAAGGAGGTACGCTACACTAGGGTGAAAGCAAAGGGCTACTAACAGCAGACATAGTTCTGCAAATATCCAAGAGCTCATGTGCTTGGTTTCTCAGGCAGCCAGTCCTCTTTAAGGTCCAAACACTAATTTCTGAGATGTCCCTTGAGTAAAGTCTGGATCCTGAAAATAAGCCCCATTGCCAAAGAGTTAGAATTTTATAACACCAGTCCATTTAAACATGCTGCTTTAATTACTCTTCTCTTCATAAGAGAAGTATTTATTGAGAATCTATTTGTGTCATTGTGTTTTACTTAGAAGATGTCATTTTGATAAATTGTGATTACTTAAATTCCAACATGCTCATTAAGTTTGGTCTTGGAAAACATGCAAAAAAAAATGGATTTGATGAGCAAACTTTACGTAAAAGCAACTTTGGTATCAGAGTTTTCCTTATGCATCCATTCCCTCAAACTTACATGAAATTTTTAGACAGAAAAGAGAACTGGTCTTCACACAGTAAAATTTTTTTCCAAACACAGATTCTCTTGAAAGAAAAACTGAAAGGTTATAGAGACCAGAGCAACAGAATCATCTTAAAATTGTTGCCCACTCGGGTTCTTTTCTATGACCTGAAAAGTAGTCACTCTTAATAGCTGTAGATACTAAGAGTTGAACCAATAGGATAAATAAGAAACAATGATTATGCATTTGTTACCAAATATAGTATTATTTCGGGTACAGTTATTAAAATATTTCATTTAACATGATGAGATGAAATTAAGGAGAGATGATGAAAAGTGACATACGGGGCCTTTTTCAGTGGCTCAAATTCAATGGGCAAATGGATTTTCTCTTTTGTATTGAAGTACAATTGATAAATAATATCATATTACTTTCAGGATTACAGCATAGTGGTTTGAAATTTATATATATTATGGATTTATCTCCACGATAAGTCTAGTAACCATATGTCCTTGCACAATTTTATTGACTGTATTCCTTATGCTGTACATTACTTTGCTGTGATTTATTTATATTATAGCTGGAAATATGTACCTCTCAATCCCTCACATCTATTTTGCCCTGTCCCCTACTCCCCTCCCCTCTGGCAGCCACCAGGTTTTTCTTTATAACAAAGATTCTTATTTATGTTTTGTTTGTTCATTCATTTTGCTTTTTAGATTCCACATATAAGTGAAATCACACATCGCTCGTCTTTCTTGGTCTGACTTACTTCACTTAGCAAAATACCCTCTAGATTCATCCATGTTGTTGAAAGTGGCAAGATCAACAACATGGCTGAATAATAATATGTGTGTGTATATATATATATACACGCACACATACAGTATACCATCTTGTTTATCTGTTTGCATATCAGTGGGCACTTAGGTTGCTTCCGTAGCTTGGCCCTTGTAAATAATGCTACAGAGAACATAGGAATGTATATGTCTTTTTGAATTAGTGTTTTGTTTTCTTCAGATAAATGCTCAGAGATGGAATTGCCAAACTATGACAGTTTTATTTTTAATTTTTGAGAAACCTCCATGCTGTTTTCCATAGTGACTGTACCAATTTACGTTCCCACCAGTAGTATACAAGACTTGCCATTTCTTGTTATCTTCACCAGCACTTGTTATTTGTGATCTTTCTGATAACAGCCATTCTGACAGCTATGAGGTGATGCCTCATTTGCATTTCACTGACAATTGGTGATGTTGAGCATGTTTTCATGTGTCTGTTGGCCATCTGTATGTCTTCCTTAGAAAAGTGTCTATTCAAGTGGTCTGCGCATTTTTAACTGGATTATTTGTATTTTTTATATTGAGTTGTGAGTATTCTTTATATTTTGACATTAATCCCTATTGGATATATCATTTGCAGAAGTCTCATTCTATTCAATAGATTGCCTTTTCCTTTTGTAGATGGTTTCCTTCACTGTGCAAAAGCTTTCTAGTTTGATATAGTCCTGTTTGTTTATTTTTGCTTTTTCCCCCCTTGCCTGAGGAGAAAGATTCAAAAAAATATTGCAAAGACCAATGTTGGAGAACATCCTGCCTATGTTTTCTACTAGGAGTTTTATGGTTTTCAGTCTTATATCTGTTCAGAGTTTTATTTTTTATATGGTGTAAGAAAGTGGCCAGTTGCAGCCTTAGGCAAGTGGCTCTCATTTTTCCCAGCACTATTTATTGAAGGGATTATGTTTTCCCCACTTAACAATCTGGGCTCTCAGATGTCACTTAGATTATAGTCTTCTGTATGTTACCTGATACTGTTTTCAACAGTTTTATTCCTGTTTGTAGCAGTGGGCATTCGAAGAATTATGCTACTTAAAAATTAGAATTCTTTTAAGGTCCTGTTAGTTTGGTGAATTACATGTAGTAGTGACGCTCATGCTGCTGCTGCTAAGTTGCTCCAGTCGTGTCCGACTTTGTGCGACCCCATAGACAGCAGCCCACCAGGCTCCCCCATCCCTGGGATTCTCCAGGCTCCCCCATCCCTGGGATTCTCCAGGCAAGAACACAGAAGTGGCTTGCCATTTCCTTCTCCAATGCATGAAAGTGAAGTCGCTCAGTCGTGTCCAACTCTTAGCGACCCCATGGATGGCAGCCTACCAGGCTCCTTGGTCCACGGGATTCTCCAGGCAAGAGTACTGGAGTGGGGTGCCATTGCCTTCTCCGAGTGACTCTCATAGTCTGTTTTATTCCATGAGACGTTGTTTTTGGTGCCTCAAATTTCACGTTCCAACAAACAGACGTTTATGTTAAAAAAAAAGTCATGGTTCATTCATTACTCATTGTGAACACATTTCACCACTACAAAATTATCTTTGCATGCCTATGCCTTTGTGCAATTCTAATTCCTTTTTAAATTTGTACACTAACTTAATTTTTCAATTTACATACCTTGGACCATTTTTAAAACCCTGCATATCAAAATAAAAAGAGTTTAAATGCCTTAAGTAGATATTTTGAACTCATAATGATTTACTTATTTTCTAGTATCCGAGCAGTAAAATGTTAATGATGATAACAGCAATAATAATAATGATAAAAGAATGCCTAGACTCATTCACTCCATGCAAAAACTGATATTGTAGTCAAATAAATACAATTGAATTAAAGTGTCTTGTTGTGAATAATATAAAATACATTTGTCAGTTAAAGTAATACTATGTAAAGGGTTTTTTGAAGGAGTATGAGAATTTTAAGAGTGTATTTGCTTTGTTTATATTTTAAAGCTGACTTTAAAACCATATGTGGAAATATCCCTGGATTCACCTTTGACATTCACACTGGAAAAGCTGTTGGTGAGTTTTTCTAGATTATGTTTCTTTTAATACATATATGTAGCATTTTGTAAAAATTTGTTCAGTGTTTTTTAAGTTTAAAGTATCATAAAAGATAATACTCTGGATTTGGATCTGGTATAGACAAGAAAGAAGCAGCATGTTTACAGATAACCAAGTGTTAATAGTGGGATTAGTCCATCAGCCTGGAGTGGGTTGCCAGCCTTGGGATTGAGTTATGATATAATAGTTATGTGACTACCTCAAGATTTCATACATATCAAGCTAAAGCTTTAGTTTTTCTCATTATGAATATTGTATTATCAATACATGATTCTAAGTAATCCACTTTATTTTATTAACCTTTATTGTGTTTTCATGAGTATATGTTTAAGTTTTATATGTATTTTTACAGTATTTTTCTCCCTATCTACTTAAGAATTTGCAGAAGTATTAATTATATAAATTTCTTTCTTCTGAATGTGCTTTCTCTTGCACAGTCTACTTTTCTTCCTCAAAGATTAAATGAACAATACAGTTTTAAATGTCCATTATCAATGCACAGATAGCAAAGGACATAAAATTAGGAAAATACAGTTGGCTTTATCAAATGAGTAGTAGCAATTAGGTAAGCCTGACATGTAACTTAAGAGGAGGCTTGATTCCCTAGGAAGTTCATTTGCCCTATTGACACTAGTATCACTTGGTATATTTGATCAATTGCTTCCATTCTTTCATTACTGTCCAAAGGAAATAATATTTTGTAGTCTATATGCTTTCGTAAACCACAAAATCACTCATACCAGTATAGGATTGATTTTTGAGACTGAGTGTGTGTCTAGCATTATTCAAAGTTTTATGATAAATACATTAAGCAGAACCATATATTTGACCAAATCTGTTCAATTGCAGACATTGATGAATGTAAAGAGATTCCAGGCATTTGTGCAAATGGTGTGTGCATTAACCAGATTGGCAGTTTCCGCTGTGAATGCCCTACGGGATTCAGCTACAATGACCTGCTGCTGGTCTGCGAAGGTAATCTGAGCAATGAGTGACCTTATCCAGGAAAGTTCGGCAGACATAACTGGTTTCTAGTTTTCTGACTTACTGTTTCTACTACAACATTTAGGAGTTGATCACCAGATTGATTAGGTGAATGTAATATTGGTGCCATAATGAAGTTTTAAAAAGTGGAATTGTTGCTCTTTCAGATATCGACGAGTGCAGCAATGGAGATAACCTGTGCCAGCGAAATGCAGACTGCATCAACAGTCCGGGCAGCTACCGGTGCGAGTGCGCGGCAGGTTTCAAACTCTCACCCAACGGAGCCTGCGTAGGTAAGGAGAGAATGACTCATCCTTTGATACTGAGCACCACTGTAGGCCTCTGCGGTAGCTCAGATGGTAAAGAATCTGCCTGCAATGCAGGAGACCCGGGTTCAATCTCTAGTTAGGGAGGATCCCTTGGAGGAGGGAATGGCAACCCACTCCAGTATTCTTGCCTGGAGACTTCCATGGACAGAAAAGCCTGGCGGGCTACAGTCCATGAAATTGCAAAGAACTGGACACAACTGAGTGACCAACACTTCCACTACTTTCACCACATTCTGTATACTTACTTCCTGCACTGAAGAACTGCCTGTGCTCTCCTATCAAAAAAAAAGATATTTTCAAATATAATTTTGAGGAGATTTTCCAAGTAAATCTATTCATTATATTGAATCTATTTCACCATATCTTTTAGATTCTTTTGTTAGGAAAGGAAGACTCTCAATGGATTTTTCCTAGAATTGGAACTAAAATAAAATAATGTCCTTGAGATATACCAATCAACATGTAAAAAGATTGCATGATTTAAAGAGAGGCTTGTATACTTATTGCCTTATTTTTATTCAACTCTTGTTATGGTTCGTTTTCAGCCTATCTGTAATAATTACTAGCAGGCTATAGAAACAATGCCTGTGGGAAAAAAATGAAGGCATGTTAATAAAGATCAGATATGTGTAACATGTGTTTTATTTTTTTGTGTTAGATCGCAACGAGTGTTTAGAAATTCCTAATGTTTGCAGTCATGGCCTGTGTGTGGATTTACAAGGAAGTTACCAGTGCATATGCCACAATGGCTTTAAGGCTTCTCAGGACCAGACGATGTGCATGGGTAAGAAGGGGAACATTATTTCCAGGGGGTGTCATGGAGCTGAGACTCCAGAAGAGATTACCATTCGGTCACCCGCCACAAGTAACTATCCTGTCTCTGTCCGAAAGAGTCTTAGCAAAAAATGAGCCATGTGAAACTGTTTATGGCTTTAGTCAATGTAAAATTTGTAAGCAGGACGCACCACAATATGTTCTTGGGTTCAGTGGTCACAGCTTTCTTCCCCAGATGGCTTTCACATGCTTATTAACCTGAGCTTTCAGACACTCATGGAAATCGCCGTGGTACCAGGTCTCCATTTACCCCTCTTTGTTCCCACTCAAAGGGCTTCCCAGGTGGTGCTAGTGGTAAAGAACCCACCTCTCAATGCAGGAGATATAAGAGACATGGGTTCGATCCCTAGGTCAGGAAGATCGCCTGGAGGGAGGGTATGGCAACCAACTCCAGTGTTCTTGCCTGGAGAATCCCCATGGACAGAAGAGCCTGGCAGGCCACAGTCCATAGGGTCACAAAGAGTTGGGCATGACTCAAGTGACAGCACACAAGCACAGTTCCACTCAGAAAAGCCTTTTGGAATGCTAGCATGCAAGGGGGTAGTAACGGTGACAGTGTTGAAATGAACACATACACACACACATATGTACATATGCTTCTTTCCCCCAAATCACTGAACATATGAGATATATCTGCTTGCTTGGTTGTTTCAACTCTTAAAAACAGTTCTTAGAAGCAAAGATGGTGAAACTTTGAAAAGCCCCAGTACAGTAGCTAATGTGATGGTTAGTTAAGCAATAATTGTGTTCAGTAAGTACTTGCTGAGCTGATGATTAATAAGATTTCAAAAGCAGATGGGCTTTTGGAACTCAGCTTAACTTCGGAACTCACCTTGGAACTCAGCTTAACTCCTTAAACTGATGTCAGCCACTGGCTCATCTCCACTGAAGCACTCTGCACTTGCAGGAGGAAAATTAAATTTAAAAGTTGACTATTTATAATTAGCATGTTCTCAGTATAGAACAAGCTGAAGTTGTTCATCTACTCATTTGGTATTCAAGATGCACTATCTTTTTGAATCGTACAGACTTCAGTACAGCAGAACGGCAGAATTAGTTTCCTTTATGGCATATCTGTACATGAGCACCCCCTGGAGAATGTCTCCATTCTTCCAGTGCCTCCTAAGAGATCCCTTGCAGACATCTTCCGTGGTTGCAGGAAAAATTCTCTAGGGAATGCTTGTGCAAAGGACACATGGAGGATGTGCCCCTATTTGCATGAACTGTCTGAGATGGCTTGCTTATATGTTTCTCCTGGCTGTTCTCTCTGAGAAAGAGGATATGATTTGCTAAAAATATATATATATATATATATACATACATGTGATATTTATGATTCAGAAATTCATATGGAGAAAATCTGTCCTCAGTTTTAACAATTCGCCCATGATGAAAATCAGCGAGATTCCTTGGTAGTATCTCTCTTAAACAAAGCTTCTTTCTGAAGGAACAATAATACCCCCTTTTTTTCACAATGGAAGAGTTTTAGCAGCCTGGAATTCGTAGTCTAGGGAGTCTCCTCCTTTATATGACTGTGACCTTTCTAAATATTAATTTTGTGTTTTTGAAGGCTAATAACATTGAACTCTAGTAGACTTCTTCAATTTAGAGTCCACTGATTCATAAAATTTAGAAAGTTAAAGTTTACCTTTGTTGTGCTGATAAATTAAGATATGAAAATTTCTGGGGAAGCATTTATAATGCTTAATAGAACAAATTGTTTCAGTGTTTCAAAAGATTTATTTCCCCATAATTGACAAGCAAACTTATTCATTAAAAAAACTCACTAAGGAAATGTAGACTAATCTCACTTGCTTATTATTAGTCCAGTTCTTTTCTGAGTCTTATATCTTCCTGTAAGTTATCAAGTGCCAATTTTTCTTAATAATTTTCTACTTTAGAGTTTTCTCTACCTCATACTTACTTTCCTCAAATAAATGTGGGTTCTTAGTATTGAATGAGAAAAATTTAAGTAAGCCAGTAGTTTAAAAAAATATATCTAAAAGTTTGATAGGCTACATTTTTCTGGTTAAAAACTGAATTCCTTTGAGCCAATGTTTTCTTCCTAGATGTTGATGAGTGTGAGCGGCATCCATGTGGAAATGGAACCTGTAAAAACACCGTTGGATCCTATAACTGTCTCTGCTATCCAGGCTTTGCACTCACTCATAATAATGATTGCATGGGTAAGTACTCAGTCCTTCATTGCTTCTGTTTCTTGTCTACAGAACATCCTAAACACAGAATAAAGGCAAAGAATGAATAAATTTTTATTATTCAAATTCCGAGCATGTGCCATAAGAGATGTAATATCATTGACTAACTTCTGGTTAACTGAAGTCACAGTATTGCCTCCAGTAATCACAAGACAGTCTGCTGGGTTTAGTACTTAGGTCAGTCAAATTGATTCAAGGGTAAAGGCCATGCAGATGATAGTAAACTATTGGGACTGATTTATGGTTTGGGGTTATCTTTACCACTTAGATGGTATCAAAGGCAGACCTCTTATGGTTTCAGGTTTATTGCAAGTATTTCATGTAATCCATTCTTGATTTATATTCAAACACTGACAGTCTCCAACTTAGAAACATACTGTGTCTTGAAACTATTTTCAGCCAACTCTTGAAGCCAGGGCTGCCTTTTCCCACAGGAAGAAAGCATGGTGACTAGGTTTCTTAACCAGCCTCAGAAACCTATTTAATCTCTGTGAAGGACTGTAAATTCTCAGTGGAAGATAAAACTGTCTTCTCTCCATGGCACAGAATTTTAGTCTTTGCCTCTAACAGGCAGTGATTGAAATAAAAATTGAAAGTGACTGGAGGAGGAGGAAGAGGATCCTATAGTTGGTGGAGAAGTTAGTAAAAGATAACGACAAAAAGCATTAATGATATTTCATTTAGCACGTGCCAGACTCTATAGTGCTTTCCTGGTAGCTCAGATGGTAAAGAATCCACCTGCAATGCAGAAGACCTTGGTTAGATCCCTGGGTTGGAAAGAGTCCCTGGAGGAGGGCATGGCGACCCACTTGTGTATTCTTGCCTGGAGAATCCCACGGACAGAGGAGCCTGGTGGGCTACAGTCCATGGGGACACAAAGGATCAGACAGTACTGAGCGACTAAGCACAGTGCACAGACTCTATAGGGGTGCTTTCCGACACAGTATCTCTTACTTCACCTAAAATCCCATGAGTTAATGTGAAAGCCACTCAGGCTTCCTGCTTTTATGGAACAGTATCACTGGTCAAACCCACCTCCTAATTTATTCCAATATGTATTCTTTAATTTTCCTTGTTTTTCAAAATTCTTCAACTGTGAAAAATTCAGACCTGATTGAACATTTAATTCAACTACCACCTTGTCGTCTCTAGTTTCTCAGACACTTTGTACAGCTGAGCCATACAGAAATGGCTCCGATTGAATTATCATCTGTAAACAAACAAAAAATTACTCAGCCCTGAGCTTAACTGCAAACCTAACAGTTTAGAACATTTTTTTTTCAGATTCTGTTTTGTGTAAGCAAAACATGTCAGCAATTTCTAGAGTGCTTTTCATATAATTGATTTTTCTATATTTTATATGCTTTGTTATTTGTCCTTTGAATACAGTCAGCTTATCTCCAGATACAGTTCTCTACAAACTGGATAATCCAGTTAAATCCATGTGTCCTCTTAAATCCAGGAAAAGAGCTATTTTTTGGTTGGAGAGAATGGAAAGCTTAAACCAGCAGGAGAGGTCTATGTGACATTATTAGTCACCTGATCCTTATGATACAAGGCATTTTTCTCTGTTGATGAGGGATTGTAATGTAGGGTTTTTGTAAATGTCTACCAATAAATATGTTTTTAGGTTGCAACTTGTGATACAAAATATATGTAAGAGCTCTCTCTGAAAAGCTAACTCTTATTTACTTACAGACATAGATGAGTGCAGTTCCTTTTTTGGTCAGGTGTGTAGAAATGGACGGTGTTTTAATGAAGTTGGCTCCTTCAAGTGTTTATGTAATGAAGGTTATGAACTTACTCCAGATGGCAAGAACTGTATAGGTAAGTATCTAAACAACAAACAATAAAATAAAGTCTTTGTGTTGTTTTGTAAAATAATGATGTGACTCCCCCCACCCTCAGCACAGCCAACTTTGGGACTCATTTGCATTTCATTTGGTCATCTGAGTACATGGGCCAAGATAAGTTTCTTGGGAAATTTTGGTAAAAGGTATAAACCAAAGATTTGGAATTGTATGCAGTGTTTTGATTGGGACAGAGCTCGAGGCTATCTGTGACTCAAAGTAGACAAAGGAAAATTAACCTCTTGCCAAATAAGTAATACTCAGCGTGTCAAAAATCTCTGAGGGCATATTTCCCCATAGTAACCTGGCAGATCAGAGGGCTTGAGTTGAATTCATGTTACTATCATTTGGCAACAATGATGTCATCTGTAAGTCATCTTTTCTTCTTGTTTCTCTTTAAAGATACGAATGAGTGTGTTGCCCTGCCTGGCTCTTGTTCTCCTGGCACCTGTCAGAATTTGGAGGGGTCTTTCAGATGTATCTGTCCCCCAGGTTATGAAGTGAAAAGCGAGAACTGCATCGGTAAGGCTGATGTTTGAGTCCATAAACTGTTTAGTATGATGAGACCTGGTACAGACTCTGTGCGTATATGTTAAACCTAGACCACTGTAAGCATACTGACCCAGGGAGTTAAATGCCTAGCTGCCTACATCTGTTTTATTGAACCATCAGAAATGATTTGAAGGTGGAATGGTGGGAATAAAGAATTTGAGGATGAGGGATTTTTTCATTAACAGAAATCTTATACTAGTCAAAGAATTTTCAGTGCACTCTAATCTTTTTTCCAAATGTCAATAGAGACCTTCTACTGAATTTAAAGAGTGTCTACAAAAATTGTAATCTTTGGCAACCAATTTTAAAACAGCTATTAAAGGTGTCTAGAGTCCTAGAAATGTGAAGCAGAAAATCTTGACAATGCTGTTGAGACCTTTTTTTCCTTGGGAAAGCCGCATGTCAAAACAGAAAATATTAATCCATTTGTCATAACAGATGTTTCTCTGTGGAAACCCTCCCAGCGTACAAGAAATCTTGTAACCACATCAAAAGTGAGTCCCAGAATTGCCTGGTGGGCATGATGAAGACTGACCTTTTTACAGTTACTTTCTTTCACTTTTGTACAAATTATTTTTAACAGTCTTGTTGAAATTCAGAAGCACCAGCATCTTAGTGTGGTTCTTCTAACATGAAATGATTGCTGAGAGTTTTTTGCCTTTGATTTACTCAGTTTCTTAAATTCTGTATAGCTCTTCTGTTCACATTTAAAGGACTTATATAGACAGAACCTAAGGAAACAGTTTACATAGTAAATTAAATTATTTTTCAGATCGTATAATTATAAATAATGGGTATCCTTAGTCATTCTAATTTGGTGTTTATATCTTTTCCCCATTTTTGTCTGATTTGTATAGTTCATTGTAAGATTTTCTAGTGTTTTTAATATTTACAAATAATAATAACACTAGAAGCATCTTAACAAAAACTTTCTTGAAGAGTTTAAGATCTTTTCTTTCATCTTCTTTGTTTATACTTAATCTTCATCATCTCTGTGATCCATCTCTTTATGGAATAAGCATACTAGCAGTGTGTGTTAGGAGAGAAGTAAAAATACTTGTGCCTCTTTGTATCAGAAAGACTTGGCTACCTTTTATCTTAGTGAAAAAACAATCTGTGATTCAATTAGATGTTTTTTAACCTCGGGAGTATTTTATTTTCTTTGTCCACTGATAAACACCACCACTATTTCGCATGTCTTAAAAATGTGTTTTCAATTAACTTACTTCACTGTAAGACTATTTCTTTTAGCCTTGAGTCTTTCTTCTACCAGTTTTTCTAGATGAAATGCTTCCTACCACGAATTCTATGCACGCGCGCACACACACACACACACACACACACATCCATTCTGACATTCCGTGGACATTACTATGGACATGTAGCATCTTTTAGATGCTGGAAATACAAAAATGCAGCTTTTGTCAGTAAGTAAGGTAACTTACTGCCTAAGAGAAAAGACAGATTTTGTAAATCACTCCATGTTGTAAAACTGCCCTTACAGTCCAATGTGACAGACACTGCAGTGGGGTCTGTTCAGGATGTGGGTCACAGTAGGAGGCTGTGAATAATGATGATGGTGGTGAGAGGATAGCAGGTCAGGAAGCCTAGCATAAGGACTGGCGACATTTGAGGTGTCTCTGAATTTGATAAATTTACTAATCAAACAGGGAAATGGAACAGAGAGGCAGCTTGCAAACAGAGGCAGAACAGACGTGGTAAGGGGCGTCGGTGGCCAGCTCAGGAGATGGCTCTTAGTCCTGCAGATGGCATAGCACAGTTGCAGGCTCTTTTAGAGAGGAAGTGATATGACTCACTCACTAAAATTCTGCCAGTATAAATTGAGAACGCGGTATGTGCCAGACCCTGAGCTGGACCGTGCTGAGGGTACAGCAGTGATCTAGACAGACGCATAATGTCCTCGTGGAACTTATGTTCTCGTGGGCCTGGAATCGTGTAGTGTTTATTCATTTAGTTAAAAATGACCCATTAAATAAGCACTTCCAGTGAAAAGGGGCCAGATATCACTGGTAAGGAATCTTTGTCTGTTTCAAGGAATCATTCTGGGGTGAGGTGGAAATGATAAAATTCTCATCCCAACGTCTAAACTCCCTGGTTCTGTAGGCACAGATTCTCAAATAGGTACGTGTTTTAGAAAGCAAACCCTGGTGGAGGTGTGGAGGGGGGAGAGGGAAGTGTAGCAGTCCACTTGGGAGACGTGATAATCCAGGTGGCAGATAATCCAGATGCTGAGTTTGAACGTAATGAGAAGGCCACATATTGCTTGATTGTGAAAGTTGAACGATTAAGGAGAGGAAAGAATGTGACTCCAGCTCCCCACTGTGGGTTGCCGAGGGCAAGGGGCATCAGAGAAGAGGACCAGGGCTGAGGATGTGATGCCCATGAGACACGGAAGTGGTCCTCTCAGGCCTGCAGGACATACAGACACCTCCTAGGAGTTAAGTCCAGAGAACTGGAGACCAACTTAGAAGTCTGGGTCACATGGATCATTGAAACTGGATATAACCTTTGACATTTGAAGCAATAACAGTTTATTGTAAAGATAAGCTAATCATATAGACAGTGTAATATATTATTTCACATTGAATATCCAATGGCTAGTGAACTGTTAAAATGTGGACAAATTATTTTCAGATATTGAGCAGTGTATTGATTTGATTAAATCAGTAAATTATCTTGCTGATCTGCAGATATAAATGAGTGTGATGAAGATCCCAACATCTGTCTTTTTGGTTCCTGCACCAATACTCCTGGGGGCTTCCAGTGCATCTGTCCCCCTGGGTTTGTATTATCTGATAATGGACGGAGGTGCTTCGGTGAGTTTTGAAATGACTTCTCTGTCATCATCAGCCCTCAAACTTCAGAGCTAGGCAGGAAGCCATGATGTAGTACTTGTCACTAAAAATATGTCTCTGGCAGATGCATCATCTGTAAGTTTAAAACATAAGGTCCCGAGTGTATATGCACTGGGCAGTTTTTAAGGTGCTTTGAATTATTCACTCTGTTTCTACATTTTAAAAAAAATTCCGTACTAAAAGAAAAATGGTTGTCTTATTTCATCATTTTCATTTTGTTGTTGGCATAAATTTTCTGTACACTGATGATGAGTTGCTTCTGATATGACATAACTTACTGAAAGCTACGTAGGTTTATTTTGTTAGGCTATAATGTAACAGTGAGTAAAGAAGACATGGAAATCATTTTAATATTGAGCATAATTTCTAAAATTTCTGAAGCACATTATTAAGATATATAATTAAATGCAGTTTTATAGAGTGGTCAACTTAAACTGGCAAATGACATCGGCAATTAAGAATTTCCAGGCCTATCTTTTAACTGCGAGTATAATCTGCACCACATGTTCAACCCATGAGAAATGTTCTATCAGTCACAGAATTATGTGTAAATTATTCCATCTTTTTAAATGGCCAGTAAGGAGGTCTGTGATGTTTGCTTTCTTGATTAGATACTCGCCAGAGCTTCTGTTTCACAAACTTTGAAAATGGAAAGTGTTCTGTACCCAAAGCTTTCAACACCACAAAGGCAAAATGCTGCTGTAGTAAGATGCCAGGAGAGGGTTGGGGGGACCCCTGTGAGCTGTGCCCCAAGGATGATGAAGGTAAGAGTCGTGAAATAAAAAAGCCACCTTGTACTAGTTTTGGGCTGTCTGGCAAAACTCAAGTAATTATGAATGTTTTGAAGATGAAAGCATCCCCTCACTTACAGACCTTCATGGTTCAGTTGGCTCCATAGCATCAGGAACTTCTTTCAGCTTTCGTATTCAGAATGTGTAAATGCAGGACGTTACCCCATTATTTCATTGCTTCCCCCAAGGTTAGTATTACTTGCTTTGAAAGGAATGAATTTGAAGGGTGAAGGGCAGTAGATCCAAGGAGGGGGGTGAAAATTACATTCCAGCTGGCTGCAGGAGTCCCACGTGGGTATTGTATCACAGGCTGGGGCTCCCAGAATCTTATATCAAATTCTTGGAAGCTGAGTCAACACAGTAGCCATTTGCAAGAAGAGACCACGAGCCTCACTGATTTTATTTGCAGAGCTGAACAGTACAATGGTTCCCAGTAGGCTCGGAGCTGGCCTGGTCTCTAGGTCAGAGGTGGCTTCTGCGTGTAATGGGCAGGGTGCTCTGTTAGTTGTTCAGTCATGTCCAACTCTTTGCGACTCTGTAGACTGTATCCCACCAGGCTTTTCTGACTGTGGAATTGTCCAGGCAACAATACTGGAGTGAATAAGGCTCTTTGGCTGCCCAGAATTAAATGAGCAAGTAGACAGGATCAGACACCCTGAGTGGTACCCATAGGTGGCCACCCCAAGCTCAGGTGACCTTCTCTAAATATGCTCAGTGTTGCTTTTGAAATAAATTACAAAATAAAGACTCTTACTAAAAATAGCTTTGTAGAGAAAAAATAAGTCTAATTTTATGTACATCATTAATCAGTTCTTAAGTTCTCTGATGGTTGAGACTCTTTGATAATCAGGAATTTGTCTTTTTCTCTGTAGTGGCATTCCAGGATTTGTGTCCCTATGGCCACGGAACTGTTCCTAGTCTTCATGATACCCGTGAAGGTGTGGTTTGATATATTTTATTTTTATAGTCTTACATAAATACAATATTGTATGTTTGTTTTATAATCATTCTGTACTGTATTTACTGTGTTTTTACTGTTTTTACTGTATGTGCATTTAATGCACATACATGATATTTATTGTATATCATATGCACTATATCATAAGACTATGTTGCAGCATATGAAATACATGTTTCTCTGATAAAAGAAATGCTCATATGTTTTAACACTTTTAAGCCTCTTTTGAACAGATACATGCAGTTTTGGCATACCGTTTTATATAAGAAAGTTCATGGATGATTCTGTATTTTAGATGTTAATGAATGTCTTGAGAGCCCAGGCATTTGTTCAAACGGTCAGTGTATCAACACAGATGGGTCTTTTCGCTGTGAATGTCCAATGGGTTACAACCTTGATTACACTGGAGTGCGCTGTGTGGGTAAGTGCTGAGTTAGTGTCACATTTCACACTTTTAAGGTTTTCTTTCTTATATTCAGCAAAAGGTCTCTCAGGCACTCTGGGTGGCAGTGGGATTTACAAAGCCAAGATAAGTAGCCATAACTGCGTTTTCTCCCATTCTACATTTTCCAGCAACATGGGTTTATTTGAAGATGGAGTGAGTTGCCCAATCTCTGCCTTCAACCAGATACACAAACTCTGATGTGTCTAGAGCTTTATAGCTGCCAAAACCACTAACTGGGAAAGAGGTCTATTTTACTTTATGACTTTCCACTCCTGCTCTTGTAGCAGAAGATCACATCCCTCCCTGGGTTTGTGATTCTTTTTTTTAGGGCAAGCACAGCTGTCTGAAAGTTCAGAGCATTTCACACTTGACCCTCGGGGTTCTCTGCCCTGCATAAAGGCTGGCCAGCCAAGACCAAGGGCGGGGGTGCAAGAGTTGTGTGTGTCCTGCACAGATCTGGGACACTTGTGAGGGCCAGATGGATATTCCTGGGCATACTTTTATTAAACTAAAACCGCCACATTTTGTGTCACTTTCTTATTCTTTTTCAGATACTGATGAATGTTCAATTGGCAACCCATGTGGAAATGGGACGTGCACCAACGTTATTGGGAGCTTTGAATGCAACTGCAATGAGGGCTTTGAGCCAGGGCCCATGATGAATTGTGAAGGCGAGTGATACTTTAGTATCATTTCTTCTTGATATAGAAAGAGTTTTTAATGCCTCAGCTTTTGTTTATATTGTTCTTATGTTCTGCTGATGATTATATTCATCACAAACATATTTTCCTTTACCACAATGAGCACAGTTACAAAAGCTACTCTGTAGCCCTTGTCTGATAATTCAGCATCTCTGCCCTCTCAGAATTGGCATCTATTGCTTATTTTTTCCCTTGAGATTAGGTCACATTTTCCTGGTTCCTAAGTCTGTTGGTTAATTTTGGATTATGTGCTGGGTATTGTGACTGATATCTTCTGGAATCAGTTACATTATTGCAGAGAATATTGATGTCTTTGTCTTAGCAGGCAGTTAATTTTACATAAAGTGGACTGTCAGGTCTGTGGAAGACAGTGGTTCACATTTAAATTATTCCCTTTAAACCTTAGTGGCTAGCTTCTTTGATTTTGGCCCACACATGACATGGTTAAGTCAGCAACTTGTGCTGAGTTTATGCAAAAAAATGAAAAAGGTATTTCTCCCCCTCTGGCCCTCTCATTTCTGGGATTCCTCCACACTTCTCAGCAGCCTTGGTTGCCCCAAGGCTCCCTCCCCTGATTTCTCGGGACAGAAGCTCAGAAAGTTCCTATTGGAGATTTAGCTGCCAGATGCTACTGTGCCAGGACTGATGTGATCCACAGGAAAAAAAAAAAAAAACTGAGCACCTCTACTCTGCCATGTGTTTACTGAGTTTTAACTCACCGCTATAAACCACTTCAGGTGTTGTTTTTGTATTTATTTCAGAGTTTATAGTTGTTATTTGTTGGGAGGATGAGTTAGGTGCCCAGTTCTCCTTACCAGAAGTAGAAGTTCTGTTATCCTATTACTTTCTGTGTGACTGCCAAATAAATACATCAGTGTTTATTTAAGCGAGTAATTAGAACTCTAGGCTGAGTGCATACCTGCCTGTTTCCTTGATCAGATATCAATGAGTGTGCCCAGAACCCACTGCTGTGTGCTTTCCGCTGCATGAACACCTTCGGGTCCTATGAATGCACGTGCCCGATTGGCTATGCTCTCAGGGAAGATCAGAAGATGTGCAAAGGTAAGGCCCCAGACCAGAGAGGAGTAGGCTCATTATTCGTAATGCTGGAAATATATTTTAATCATTTTGTAGCTCTCAGCTGTCTTGTAGAGCTGTGCAGAAATGTATTCTTTACAGCATTGCTGGTAGATTTCCATTCTAAATAACAAGATAGTTGATAGTCTGTCCAGTCAAGTAAAGAATAAAGATGTCACATTCTTGAGCTCTTACTAAAGCAAAGATAGCCCTTCCCTAAACTTCTTATCTTGAGGACCAGTGCTGAAATTTTTATAACTCTAGAATATAGCCAACAGTTGAAACTGGGCTCCTCCTTTCTCTGTCACATAAGAAGATTACATATTGAGAGCCAGAAGACCAAACGTAGGACTTCAAAATACTCAACAATAGCCTGTTCATGAATTTGTCTTATTTTTCTGCTTTTCCTATTGAAAATATTTTCTAGACCTGGATGAGTGTGCTGAAGGGCTGCATGACTGTGAATCTAGGGGCATGATGTGCAAGAATCTGATTGGCACCTTCATGTGCATCTGCCCGCCTGGGATGGCCCGCAGGCCTGACGGAGAAGGCTGTGTAGGTAAGGCTGTTCGGGATGATAGCTGCTTCCTTAACACTCCTACTCCCAGTCAGAAACACAGGAATTTTAGTTATCACAGTGGAAAATACTGTGTATTGTTTTCTGTGCAAGTAGCCAAAGAGATTAAAAAACTACAAGAATCTGTTAAGTTCCTAACACAGTAATGCGGAAGGTAAAATATTATTTATCTTTTCTATTGTTAATTGGTTTCTGTAGCAACTTGGAAAATCTTACACTCAAGAGAAATTTTCCAACATTTGTTTTCATTGTCAGGAAAAGTTTTTAAAAAAAGAAAGAAAATAAATGTAAGATTTGTAGCAATCAGATCTTTTTAGATACATTTCTGTTATGCACTTTGAATTCAAAGCAGTCAGCTGAAACACTAATCAAAGGTAACAGCGTTAGGATAGGATTAGATCAAGAAGGTGGATTTAAACCTTCATATTCTAGAAACAAGAAACACTATACAATTTTTTAAATCCATAACTTAGTTTAATACTTTTGTATATACTTTAAAATTTATGCAGAAAGTTTCCTAAAAGAAAAAAATACCTTTAATGAGAAAAAACATGTGTCAGAACACTAGGAGCAAAGTGAGAATTCTTAAAGCTTCCCAGGGAGCAAAACTAGATTTCCTACAAGTGACAGTTAACAGTGGGTAGAAGAAAACAATGGAGCAGCAATATTTTCAAGGCATTCTAAGGGAAAATAATTTTGAACTAAAACTTTATATTCAATCTAGTGATAAAACAAAAATATCACATTGTCAGACATGTGTTTTAGAACACTTATCACCCACATACCCTCTGTATCTTATATCCAAACTGTATCCTCCAATATATTTTTTAAAGTTAATTCGAGAGGAAACAATGATAAGCCAAGAAACCAGTAACCCTCATTATATGGTTTAAATAAATGCTGGTGTTCCATAAAAGAAATATAACAAATCAGAATTTCTAGACTGTGTCAGCATGGCAGGTAGCACAAGGAGAGAGAAGAAAGAAGTAAAATCATACCAAGGGTACTAGCTATGGCCAGAAGCTATTGAAACAGACACTTCTTGATGTTAATAGAAAAATGTTTGTTAGCAGTGTGTGTTGAAGTTGTCTCATGGCTACCACTGGAAGAATAGAAGATTACAACTTCTAGACATGAGCTGGGGATGACAGTAGGGCAGAGAAAAAATTCGACTGATCTAAGAAATATTGAGAGAAGGGGACAAGTAGCCTGGTAAATATTAAACAGCATAAAATGACAAGACTCCAAACATGTCAGTAATCACCATAGATAGAAATAGTTTAAATTTCTGGTTAAAAGGCAAATGTACTTTAAAATATTCTTTTAAAAGTGCAGCTTCGTCCTTTTTACAAGAAATGTACCAAATCAAAATGTGAGATAGATGGAAGATAAAGGGGTGGAACAAGATATCCACGGCAAATGTTGATAAAAAGCAAGTGCATGCAAGATAAATATTAATAAATTAAAGATTAAAAAGCATAAAGATGAAAGGAGAAATTCATCAAAGGGATTTGTCATGAGCTCTCATGCCTCTGACAACATTGATTTGAAACATACCTCAAACAAAATGTACAAAATGTCAAATAAACACAGTAAGTAAAGATGTAGGAATTTTAATGTAACGGTTTTGTTCTGATATATTTATTTGTCAGAAACTAAAAGAGCAGTGCTGTCTAAATTCCTTCTTCCTCTGGCCGCCCTAACACTCTGCATGGCTCCTGTGATTTTCACTCAAGTCAGTGGAGGAGCTTGTCCTTCATCCCTGGCCTGAGTGCTGTCCGCATCTCCCTAACACCTGCCACCACTCTGCCCTCAGCCTTTCTCTCATGTCACATGAATCGGTATCTTCTTTCCCAAAGTTCTTTCTCCTGGTCGATAATCCTTTTTGGAGCCGCTTTTCCAATTTTCCATCAAGCATCACCTCTTTCCCGAAAAGAGGAAGAGAGAAAGAAAAGCGACAGAGGGTGGGCGGGAACACTTTGTTAACCTAGAACCCACCTTGGAAGGATGAGGTAAATTTAAATATGATAAATTTAAATGTGATGTTATATTTTTAATATAATACTATAAATTTAAATATAATTCATATTCTATCATATTAGTATTTTGATGAAGAAGTTTTAAGCAAGATATAAACCATTAGAAGATACATTTGTAAATTATAAACTTTACAGTCTATTCATGAATCATATTATTTGTTTCTCTAAAGATGAAAATGAATGCAGGACCAAACCAGGAATCTGTGAAAACGGGCGTTGTGTTAACACTATTGGGAGCTATAGATGTGAGTGTAATGAAGGCTTTCAGTCCAGCTCTTCTGGGACCGAGTGCCTTGGTAAGTTGATAAACAGAGTATATTTTACTTGGTGAATAAAGCATGTGTTTTGTGATGTAATCACAAAAGAGTTCTATATATATATCTTTGTCTGCAAAATAGATCCCCCAATCTGAGTAATCCATGTACCTCTTCCTGAAGATAGACATCTATTAAAATGATGTATTTGTACACGTGTGTGTAGTACATACATCCATGCTTAATGTAAATAACCATCTTAAGTAGTCTTTCCAAAATTAAGATTAATTAAGCTCTATGGAAAATGTGACTCTAGTAAAACTTACATCAGGGAATGATTTAATTCCAAAGGAAAATATTTGCTATGTGAGGTAAGTTTTGCTGTATTAATAATATTAAAGAAAATGCCACATTTCAGAAATGCAGTGAGAGTTAATTTTTATTTTATGATACAGAGAAGTGTTTTACAAAATATTTTCTTGTGGAAAATATAAGTCTCAGGCATTTTAATGATAAAATGCATATATCATAAACCATTTAGTTAATTATGAGCAGGTGTAAAAGTATGAAGTAGTCAAATTTAAGGCAAACAGAGAAACAGCACTCATCATGGGTTTTGATGCAAAAACAGCACATTTCAGCTACATCAGATTGTTCTCAGAATGATGTCATCCGCTTCAAATCCTTGGAAATTATTAGTCATGAAAACATATTTTGTTTATTATTATCTTCAATCTGGATCTTCATTAACCATCAGTCTTTTGGAAATAGAAAAGATGACCTACATAGAAAGTGTACTTTTCTGTCCATATTACTAACAGTTCATTAGGATGGTTCTTAAAACTCCATTTAAGATCTCTTTGCCAACTTATATCAGTAAAATCCCTTTATTTATAATAATTTAAAAAACTACTTAATCCAATGTTTAAACAGTCTTTTAGATGTCTAAAATACAGGAGATTAGATTGAATATGTACTAAGATGATAACATAGTCCAGAATTTGCTTTTCAAAAACAAATCCTGTTCTTGTTTGCTTATTTAAAGGGAAGTATTTTTCTTTGATTTTTCCTTTCAGTTGGATTCTATAGGAATGGTAGTTTACTGTCACTTAACTGCTGAGGAAAAGAAGAAAAAACTCACCTCTCTTTCTTTAGTATCAGTTATTAAATTTAATAAACTGTTGCGAAAGAGCACTGTGAAAAGAACCTCCAGCAGAACATTCTAATCATTGTCTTAAGCAATATGACTCTTCACATAAAAGAATATTTAACTTTTAAAAAGGTATTGCCATGGGACTTCCCTGGTGGTCCAGTGGCTAAGACTCCCCCCTCCCAATTGCAGGGGGCCCAGGTTCAATCCCTGACTGGGGAACTAGATCCCACACACCACAACCGAGAGTCCGCATGTGGCAGCTAAAGATTCTGTATGCTACAACTAAGACCCCGCATCACCAGAATAAATTGATATTTTAAAAGTATTGTTATGAAGGAAAACATTGATTGTCCTTTTTAATGTGAAGACCCAGATAACCAAAGTGTCAGTCCCTTGACACTGGTGCTTTTTAACTCATTGTCATTTCAGACAATCGACAGGGCCTCTGCTTTGCAGAGGTGTTGCAGACCATGTGTCAGATGGCATCCAGCAGCCGTAACCTTGTCACAAAGTCAGAATGCTGCTGCGATGGGGGGCGAGGCTGGGGTCATCAGTGTGAGCTCTGCCCACTCCCTGGAACTGCCCAGTACAAGAAGATATGTCCTCATGGCCCAGGCTATACCACTGATGGAAGAGGTAAGGAGTTGAGGAAATCCATGCATGTTATCAACACAGTGCACATTAATTTACATTAATTTGAAGGAAATAGGATAATAGCTAAAATATATGTAGATATGTGTGTGGTTGTATATGCTTTTCACTAATGCTTCAGTAGCTTTAAGAGGCATAATCTTCGTATGAAATCTAAGAGGTAGAATCTCTTATTATTCCTATTTTAGCAGATAGAAACTGAAGCACAAAGCTTAAGTAACAATAAATAAGTGTTCCCAAGATCACAGCCTTTTTAAAGGTTGGAATGGAACAAGGAATGGAATGTATCTGTCTGACCCCAGAGGCCATCTGCAACCCACAAGCTACGCGTGCTTCATTTAAGTAAAGGTTGCTATTTGTTTGTGCACAGGAACTCATTCTGTTTGCAGCGTATTTACAAACCAGCAAGTCTCACAAATGATTAATAGTTTCCAGGTTTTTTGGTACAACCAATATGCTAATGTCATAAAAATAACATTTTCCTCTATTCCTATAAAGATTCTAGATCTTACCGTTGATTACATTGTTAATGAAACCCTTTCTTAGGGTCTAATGCAACTGAATTTAAAGCCAATCCATGGAATACCATCACAAATTCCAAATTAGTGGAACTTCAGAAGAGTAGCTTTCTATTGATAGCGTCCCCCCCAAAAATTCATGCTTAGATTATAGAACAAATAGACTCCAGTGGGGCTTTCAACATTGCCTTCCTTATGTTTGTCTTTTCCTATCACTTCAGACTCTTTTTTTATCTCTTCCTTCTGTGTTGCCACTCTGTTGAATGATGAAAAGGTACACCAGTACAGTTATGAACGTTGGTTTTTAGTTATCTCTCAATTCCTTAATTTCTTTTAGCTTCTGACCAGTTTTACTCTTGCATCTGTATTAACTTCTGTTTGTTTTTGCCTTGGGGTTTTTGGTGCACAGATATTGACGAATGTAAAGTTATGCCAAATCTCTGCACCAATGGTCAGTGCATCAATACCATGGGCTCGTTCCGGTGTTTCTGTAAGGCTGGCTACACCACAGACATCAGCGGAACCTCGTGTGTAGGTAAGGAAGGACGAGGCATCTCTGCATGTGAGTGGTTGTTAACTGCTGTCTTCTACAAGTCCTTTACTCTCAGTAGAATATCTTTTGTTACAGTGTTTGGATTGTACATTTTGCTAAAGTGATGCCATTCCTTTCATTAGTGCGGTCCTTAATATCATAGGAGTTGTCCAAGGCCTTGTCTAGTAATGTGAGACCCAGAAGTATTAGATTTATCAAAAAGTCTGTAAAGTTAGGGAAACATTAAAATTATAAAAAAATATACTTTCAACATTTTACATTTAGTTTTAGATGTATAGAGGCATGTTTGTTTTGTCATTTTTTTAATGAAAGACCAGGACTTTTGATTGTGAAAGTATGTTTTTGCATATGGAGAGAATGCTTTTTGCTTGTTTCTCGTTGCAGTTATTTTTGCATAAAATATACCAATTAAGCATCATCTAAAATTGCCAGTTGCAAAGCAGTCTCAATATAGAAAACCTTCTACGTTTTTACAATCTCTTTTTCTAATTTATTTTACTGTCTCATCCACGGAGCGGGTGGTAGCTTGCCTTTATTGAGTCTTTCCAAAACATTTAGTTTTCATTAAAGAAAAAAAATCTTTTCTCCTTCATAGTTCATCAGCTTAATATCAACTTGTTTTAATAACAAGCGCATCTGGCATGAAAAGGGTAAGAAGAACCAATCTAAATCTTAGTAAGCATTCAACTCACTTGTTTGGGCAAGATAATAATAGAAACTAGGCTATCAGTCATGAGCTTTTAACATTCTTTGGGCATCAATCAATGTCTTTTAGAGGGGAAATGTAGATTGTTCGCTGTCAGAGTCCTAGCAGAAAAGAGGTGGCATATTGAAATGAGGACAGTTTAAGGAGACTTGTTTTTTTAACAAAAGGACAGTGTATAAAGGTGTGAGCAGAGTGTGCAGGAAATACTAGGAATAGCGCTGAGTTCTGGGGCTATTCCACCTCTGGGCCAAAGATAAGAGGGAAGGATTACTGAAATCTGGAAGATGGAGAAAGTTGTTCCCAGAGGCCTGCCTTTAGAGCATCTGTGACCTCTGACCCCATGACTCAGTCAGCCTCAGCCCATCTTGCGAGAAGGGAATAGAGGAACTGAGAACCAGACTGAAGACAGAGGGCAGGAGGGCCTGCTAATGGAAGCTGAGTGCAGTTCAGCCTCCCGGGCCCAAGAACAGGGTGGACCAAGGTGAGGACTGCAGCTGGAAGGGGAAGTGCACGGTCTCCAGCATATTCTGTGATGCCAAACAATTCCTGGGGAAGTGTCAGCTCAGAGACTCTGAGAACATTTGCCACATCCACATGTCAAAGAGAAGAAACTCTATGATTCTCAAACTGTAAACCGAAGTACACCAATCTAAAAAATCTGGTGTCTTTTTTTGAACCCAGTTGTCTGGATATTTTCAATATTTGCCCAAGAATCGCCTGACTAAGTTAAACCAGTAAATTACTTTAGAGAAAATTGTTCTGTGCCTCGTTTCTCTCTAGCTATTTTCCATTTTAAGTTGAAGAGGAAAACAATGAGTGAGAATGTGGAGGGAGGAAAGAGCCTGGTCGTTCCTTCTAACCAGTAATTTAATCCTCACATCACTTTTACTCAGATCTCGATGAATGTTCGCAGTCCCCAAAACCCTGCAACTTCATCTGCAAGAACGCCGAGGGGAGTTACCAGTGCTCCTGTCCCCGGGGCTATGTCCTGCAGGAGGACGGGAAGACCTGCAAAGGTGATGAAGAGTCTATATGTGGGACCCTCTCCTTTTTTTCAGATTGAAAATCAGTTTATCGGGGATCTTACCACATGCCTCACTTTTATGGGGGCTTCCCTTGTGACTCAGATGGTAAAGAAGCTGCCTGCAATACAGAAGACCCGGGTTTGATCCATGGGACAGGAAAATCCCTTGGAGAAGGGAAAGGCTACCCACTCCATTGTTCTGACTTGGAGAATTTCATGGACTGTATAGTCCATGGGGTTGCAAAGCGTCAGACACAACTGAGCAATTTTCATTTTCACTTAATAGGATTAAGTAACCAGCCATGTACTCAACTGTGCATTAAATACAAATATTATAACCTTTGAATATTAGCTTTGAAAACAGTTCATGAACATCACTATATAATTCATCCTTTCAGCTTTTTATTTTTAAAAAATTTTTGTTATATATTATCTTAGCCATCCTGTCTTAGTAGCTCACAGTATCTACGCTGCTTAAGTATGTGAAAAGAAACTCCTTGCCTTATGCATATGGAAATCTATAAAGCTTCCAACAAAAATCTAGACAGAATACTCCTGGTAGAACACGCACACCTCTCCGTGGCTTCATGAGAAGGGAAGCATAGCCAGATAACTCTGCTCTGATTTTCATTGGCTTCTCTTTCATTGCAGACCTTGATGAATGTCAAACCAAACAGCACAATTGCCAGTTCCTGTGTGTCAACACTCTGGGAGGTTTTACCTGTAAATGTCCACCTGGTTTCACACAGCATCACACTGCTTGTATTGGTAAGACAAAATTACAAAAGGGAAGTTCTGCACACTACTGGTAGAAGCCTAAAACTGTAGTTAAAAATGATAGAATAATGGTCGGTACTTAGTATTAAAATCAGTCCCTCATAATTAGTGGTTTAAAAATGTTAATAATTTATTTTTTCATAAAAACAATATCCAAGCATAGTAGTCCTGTGTAGTCCAAGCACATGCACAGTAGTTGTATTCCAAGCAGTGCCTTTACATTGCATTCTAAATGTAGTATGTGTTCGGATAAAATATGAGTAAAAGGCTCACTATAATTTAGAACATGCTAATGAACATGCTGGGATTTTTTTTATGTCAGAAGACACACAGGTCTTAACCTTAACTTTCAGTCTGTGCTATCAAAAACCATGTCCTCAATTGAGCCAAAATATGCTCTGATTTCCAGCCTCTTGAAATACACTTCTTTCTGACCATTTTTGTCTTTAATATGGCCATGAATAGTAGCATACTTTTCTGTAAACTCTGTTTTCGCATCGTGGAACTTAGGCTTTCATACTTTACTTTTTCCTTCATGTAGTAAGATTTGAATCCTATAATAATAGGAAAGCCTGATGCTCTTTCCGTTTTGTCCTTTGCTAGACAACAATGAATGTGGGTCACAGCCTTCACTTTGTGGAGCAAAGGGAATCTGTCAAAACACCCCTGGGAGTTTCAGCTGCGAATGCCAAAGAGGGTTCTCCCTTGATGCTACTGGACTGAACTGTGAAGGTGAGTTTATTTATTTAAATATTCTTATTCTAATACAGAAAACTTTTTTCTGTTAATTTCTAAGCCACTCAATGAGAAATTGAGATCATCTCAAACAACAAAGATTAACAAAGTAAAATCCAGAAGTTGATTATTTTTTTTTGTTTATAAATTTTCACATATCATTTTGGGGACAGAGGAAAACCTTAATGTGATGAAACAAAAATTCTGTGAGTACACATGGGCTTCTGAAATAACTGTTTACCTAGTTACTAATCTAAAAAAAGAATTGAACTGAAAACAAATTCTGTACCTAATTTAGTTGCAGTAAACCAGAAAAAAATCGGATGCCTGTTCCAGGATACTTGAATGTAAAATATATAAATGTTAAGTATAAGATGAAGAACAAGTTATAGAGAACTGGGCAGATGAACAGAAAGCGCTGGGGAAAACTGATGGCGGTTTTATTTGTCTGAGAGTCCCGATTCACTGTCTTTTCTATAAAGGGCATTTCCTATAAAGTCTTCATCACAATAGATATTTCGTGTTAAATCCAAGGGAAAATTTAAGTGGGAATAAAATAAGAATTTGCCTGTGGCCAATAAAATGTTCTTCAGTATTTTCATTGCAAGTTCTAGCATATGAGATAAATATACTACGATTAGTAGCTTTTACAAAATACTCATGCCAGAGGTTCTGAGAGCATGTACTTCCCCTTTATATTTTTATATACTAGTGCAATTTACATCCTTATTGATTTTAGTCACCCTTGAATTAATTATTCTTAGAAATACATGATTTTGAACTCTAGAAATAGATTTAGAGGTTTTAATGTAGTCTGAGAACTACAGGACTTTTACATGTATCTAATCTTCAACCACAAAAAATTCAACTTAAAAATTTCTATTAATATTTTGTATTTGAAGTCATTGAGACTTTGAAAGTATTCTGACCATACAGCTGGTTGCCATGTGTGAGTTCAGCTTGTGACTATCTACATAAGATACAATTTATTAATTATCCCTATAAATTTGTTACACATATATCAGACATGCCAATTTCATTTCTCTTTTTATGGGTAAATTTCAAAGCCTCAGTTGTCATTCCAGAAGAGTTTGCGTGTATAAACAAAGAAATTATTCCATATGTTTCACAATACTGTATCATGTCTAAAAATAATGTTTTTAAATACTTTAAATTTGCATCTAATTAATCTCAAATAGTAATAAATTTTTTGGCATTCCCAACCATTATACTTCTTTAGGTATTTCTGTAATGCTTGTATCTTCCCAAAAATGAGAATTAACATGTCAATCACTTTTGAACTTACTGGAATATGTGATGCAAATATATTTATATCATTTACCAAATAAATCATACCATATGTAGTTAATCCATCCAAAATGCACAACATTTGTGGTTGCTATGGTTGATTTGCTGAAATTAAGATATTATTTGAAGCACTGACGTGGCATGGCTGGTGGATAGCATGAGAATGATGTGGTTTCTTATCTCAGAACCATTCTCTGTACCACCACTGACTTAATAACCATGTGACTTGGGAAAAATCACAGCCCCTCGGGGTGTCTTGTTTGTTTGTTCCTCTGGTAATCATTACCCCGTGTTGTGTTTGGAGTACATTTAAGAATAGTAGAAGAAAGGTGACATACAGATCTTGCCGGGATTGTTTTTACAGATGTTGATGAATGTGATGGAAACCATAGGTGCCAGCATGGCTGCCAGAACATCCTGGGAGGCTACAGGTGTGGCTGCCCGCAAGGATATATTCAGCACTACCAGTGGAATCAGTGTGTTGGTGAGAACCCGCTTGTTACATGGCATCTGCTTTTCTTGCCTTAAACTATCTTTTACTAAAACAAATGAGCAATAAAGATTGTCGTTTTCAGTGTAGCCTTTAAACCCTGGAACTTAAAAAACCAGCACTTAGGACTGATGCATGGGAATTCATTAAACTACTTTGTATACTTGTGTGTATTTGAAAATATACATAATATACTTTAAAATGTTAAGTACCTAAAAGGTAACTCAGTTAGAGCTTTGATAATTTTAATTTTCTGCTAGCTGATAATTTTACGTTTCTGAAGATGATGTCAAGACTCATTTATATCATCTTCATTTGCTAAGGTCAAAGGCTTTTTTTTTATCAGTAATTTAGTATCTTTAGATTTGGGGTTGAAGGGTTGCCCATCCATCTGCTCATATAAATCTAAAAGGAATCAGATCAAATTAATGAGCATCATTCATCTTTGCTCTCCAGTCACATATTTAATGAAGGGGGTATAAAGGATTTTAAGGTAGAAAAAGGAACTAGTTATAGCAAATACTGTTGAAAACTACAGACAAAAAAAGTGTTTGTAAAATAAAATCTGTAGACACTCAACTCTCTTTCTTGCACTGATAGAGTCATGGAAGTGCTCCTTTTTTTTTTTTTTTTTTTGGAAATTCTCCTTTTAAGGAGAGTTTGATCAAAGAGAACATTACTGTCTACTTGAATAGCCAGCTGACTTAGCAAACGCCCAATTTCTTGGCTCCATTTGAATGCCCTTCCTAGACGCAGCGTCCAACACAGTGAGACAGTAGATAGGGGCACAGCTTGAGCAGAAGGGGGAACAGCGGGCCTGCTGAGAAGCAGCAGGTTGCTTCCTGTTTCTCTGTAGTGATTGAAATTACCCCACGTGTATTTCAAGTATTTTACTCTACGGGATCCACTAAGTAAATTAATTTGATTTTATCCGTGATGATCTTCTCAAAAGAAATTTCTAATGACAGTTTAGTGAATTGAGAAAATCAAGACAAATTTCAGAGGTGGGAAAGCAGCTCTGAAAGTTGGTGCAGCTCTGCTGTGGCTTTGTGCCAGGCCAAAGACAGATGCTTAGCGGTACCAGCAGCACACTCTCCTGGGGGAAAAGCAGAAGCCAGTGATGATCTGGAAGTTAAGGATAGAGTTTGAAAGGATTATCAAAATGATGACTTAGGCTGTCCATCAAAATGACTTTCTAAGTTCAGTTTCCTTCTTTTCTCTTCATAGAAAAAAGATGCAGAAGTTATTATGCCCCAATTTATTGATTCATAAACAGATAAAGTATAGGGACACTCTTCAGAACATAGGAAATGGTCTTTTTTTAGGAAACTAAGCGTGCAAAGTGATTTTTATTATATTGTGTTGTTTATAAAATGAGAGGCTCACCCCCCTATTCAGTTAATACCATGGACTTCTTGGTTACTTCTGCAGAACTTAAAGCAGAAGAATGATCTGTAATATTTCACATGTATCAGTTTAAATAAAATCCTTGTTTTTAAAGTAATCATAAGTAGAAATTGGAATGTGCATGGAGGATCAACTCAATTTCTGAGTTTTTTAAGTTTCCTGGAATTTCTGCCTGTAAGCATTTAGTGTGAAAATAGACACACAGGTTTTCACTGAATATGGTCTGACTTAAAGTCAGGGCTGTGTGGTGTACCCAAGTTGTTCTTGGTGGGATCGTTGGAGTAGGTACTTAAGCAAGGCAGTCACCCCAGAGCAACTCACGCTGGGATTCAGCCAGAAGCCAGTGGGCCTTCTAATCAGCAGAGACCCCCATCGACAGAGGGATAGTGGTTTCAGAGATGAATTAAAAGCTGAAGATACATAAGCAGATACCCCAACTGTAAGAATAAATGTTAGCTTGCTCTGCTAAAATGGGCACCTCTAAGCCGCAAGCCTCTGGGTAAGTAAGATGAAACAGGGATTTATTTTGAAATATTAGAGATTCTTCTGTGCGGGGTTGAGCAATCCAGCTCATCACTAATAAAATCTAACTCTCTTGCAGTTTTGAACCCACAGAACATTATAATTATAACTCAAATATATTTCAGCAATAGAATCAAACAACCATCAGGAACTAATAAAAGCAACAAGTTAGCAAAATAGCAATGTTATAACAAAATGCAAATCGAAAGGCCACAAATCATTTTTATCTGTCACTATGAGAATGAATATCTTCAGTTATTCATATGATTGAAGAAGAAATATCCCATGAAGTATCTCAGACACATTTAACTGGGGTCCCCTTGTAAATGGACACAAACATTACATCAGATAACTTAACTAGTAGTAAGCTGTAAACCTTCACCGGTGTTAATACTGCTGCCAGTGTCAGGAAAATGACAGCATTTGAAGTGTTAGGATTGAAAAACATTTTAAATTCAAGTGGATACTTTAAGAAGTGTTCATCCAGTTACCACAGAATACTTATAACATTCTGATACATAGATTTTACAGATTTAGGAACATTCCCATGTGTTCCTAAATAATATGCAAGCATTATAATTATTCTAAATTGAAAATAAGGTAATATTACTAACATTTGCATATGATTGCATCTTAATATATGAAGCTTTGGTTTATTTGGTGTTAGCAACTTCTAGTTCCTTCTATGTCCGTTTCAAAATAATTTGAACATAGCTTAGTGAGACTTGAGTCAGCTCAAAGTAGGTTTCAAACCGGAGCATATTTTCACATTCAGATTACCTATGCCTATAAAATTATGCTATGGCATACATTTATAGGATATAAATATGATGTCTGTCATGGTGCCTCCAAAAGTTTTAACTGTATAAAAATGTTCTTGTCAGTGGTATGTTTAAATGCAGTTTATTCAATTAGTTGCCTTTCTTGGTAATTTTTCCACATTAGCACAATATCTAATACTATGTTCTAAGAATCTAATACATATATCTAAGAACTATGGATGGAAGTTCGTGACATTGTACAGGAGAAAGGAATCAAGACCATCCCCAAGAAAAAGAAATGCAAAAAAGCAAAATGGCTGTCTGAGGAGGCCTTACAAATAGCTGTGAAAAGAAGAGAAGCGAAAAGCAAAGGAGAAAAGGAAAGATATACCCATTTGAATGCAGAATTCCAAAGAGTAGCAAGGAGAGATAAGAAAGCCTTCCTCAGNATATGGCAAGATTTAAATATAAAATAAGAATGGTTTTAGTTTAGTTCAAAAGAAACTTTATAAATTATTCGTAAGAATAGAAGTAAAAGGTAAGATATTAAAATTATAATGCTTTAATCAATGATATATTAAATTATAATTTGTATTCTTCATCTGTATTTTCATTCAATTAACATTCATTAAAAACCTCAGATATGCAGATGACACCACCCTTATGGCAGAAAGTGAAGAGGAACTAAAGAGCCTCTTGATGAAAGTGAAAGAGGAGAGTGAAAAAGTTGGCTTAAAGCTCAACATTCGGAAAACTAAGATCATGGCATCCGGTCCCATAACTTCATGGGAAATAGATGGGGAAACAGTGGCTGACTTTATTTTTCTGGGCTCAAAATCACAGCAGATGGTGATTGCAGCCATGAAATTAAAAGACGCTTACTCCTTGGAAGGAAAGTTATGACCAACCTAGACAGCATATTAAAAAGCAGAGACATTACTTTGCCAAGAAAGGTCCGTCTAGTCAAAGCTATGGTTTATCCAGTGGTCATGTATGGATGTGACAGTTGGACTATAAAGAAAGCTGAGTGCCAAAGAATTGATGCTTTTGAACTGTGGTGTTGGAGAAGATTCTTGAGAGTCCCTTGGACTGCAAGGAGATCCAAACAGTCCATCCTAAAGGTGATCAGTCCAGGGTGTTCACTGGAAGGTCTGATGTTGAAGCTGAAACTCCAGTATTTTGGCCACCTCATGTGAAAAGCTGACTCATTTGAAAAGACCCTGATGCTGGGAAAGATTGTGGGCAGGAGGAGAAGGGGATGACAGAGGATGAGATGGTTGAATGGCACCACCGACTCAATGGATGTGGGTTTGGGTGAACTCCGGGAGTTGGTGATGGACAGGGAGGCCTGGTGTGCTGCGGTTCATGGGGTCGCAAAGAGTCGGACGTGTCTGAGCGACTGAACTGAATACTATGTTCATATCAGGATCATTTTGTTAAACTATAACCTAACTCACATTCTGTATCAGGAGAGAAACACCACATATAAAAATTGTGTCAGATTTAATTATAAAAGCAGATGAACCTTTGAGGCAGAATTCCAAGTCTTTGATATATAGAAATAAAATAGTAGTTATATTTATGTCATAAGTAGCAGGTTTGATCCCTGGTCTGGGAAGATCCCCTGGAGAAGGAAATGGCAACCCACTCCAGTATTCTTGCTGGGAGAACCCCATGGACAGAGGAACCTGGCAGGCTGCAATCCACGGGGTCGCAAAGCGTTGGACTCGACTTAGCAACTGAGCAACAGCGAGCTTACTTATTAAGAATTTATTCATATGCTTTCTCCCTGTGAAATGAAGGCCGAGAATTTGTGCATATTAGGTAATCATGGTATGTTTCATATCCAGTGATTAAGAATGCTGTATTTGGCAGTTTGGTTTAATTCTGAAACTGTACTCATGAGACAGAAATGTGCCTAATAATATTGGCCTTTTCAACAAGCTCTGTATCGTAGTTGATGAGGTATAATTTCCTGTGTGAGAGGCTTTTCCAGCGAGGCTCCATCTGCATCCTCCGTAATCTCCCTGAGCTACTGCAGATAAGCACTTCGTTCTAGCTGCTGTGTCCCAAGGGCACACCTAATTGCAAATGGGCCTGTTTCCCCACATGAGCTAAACACGGACTTCTCATGTATTTGGTAAACAAACACATTATGCTCTAGTACAGTCACAAGAATATGAAAGAATTCCATGGACCAGACATGACTGGTGCCCAGGGTGAAATTTGGATGATGATGAAGCCCACAGGGGTCAAGCCACAGACTAGGTATCAACCAGACAGTTAAGAGCAAAATTGTCATCTCCAAAGTTAAAAGCAGAGTCAAACTTTGATTTTGTAAAAATGATAAGAGTAGCTGAAAGTATTAACCTGAAATCCTCTTGTTGTCAGTCATTTATGGTGTAGCGTCCGTCATTACACTAGTAAAACCCATGTAGGCTGATGGCTTGGCACAAACCCACATCAGAAGGCAAAGCATGTACGCCATAGGTTCTCAAGTGGTTAAAAGTGTGTGAGGCTATTGGTTCAATAGGTTCAACTAATGTTTACTTCAGTTATTTTCATTTAGAATATTTAGATATTTTTATATACTTTTCTCTCCACATATATAATGAATGCTTTGTAAATTGCTAGGAGAATGGATAAAAAATACAGATATAAATTGAGGCTTTTTAAACATTGAAATATAATTCACATACCATAAAATTCGCCTTTTAAAGTGTCCAGTTCAGTGATTTTTAAGTATATTCTTACAGCAGTGTACAACCGTCAGCAACACAACATCTTTACCCCGAAAAGAAGCTCAGTACCCCTTAGAAGTCATTCTCTGTTTCTCCCTCCCTACAGCTCCTGGCAAGTAGTCATCTACTTTCTGTCCTTGTGAGTCTGTCTGAGGCACAGACTTTTGAAGTAACCTTCTGAAAAGTGAATAGAAGAGTTACTCAGGAGTCAGACTGCAAATATCTGTGCCCAAAGGCTGCCAGGGTGTTCAGAAAAACCTAGTACAAACAGAATATAAAAGCGTGGGGAAGCTTTTGTTTAAGCCATAATTTTAGAGGAATTTGTCGGGTCTTGTTTTTGTTTTTTTTTAATTTCATATGCTTTGCAAATCAAACATCACGGTAAACATTTTAAAATGTGGGTCTAAAGCAGCTTCCCCTGTAAAATCATAGATTTTTGATACTGGGGCTCTTCTTTGCCCCACTTCCCTCCCCTCCACTTGTAAAAGGCTCTTGCTTTATGTTCTTAGATGAGAATGAATGCTCCAATCCCAATGCCTGTGGCTCTGCTTCCTGCTACAACACCCTGGGGAGCTACAAGTGCGCCTGCCCCTCTGGGTTCTCCTTCGACCAGTTCTCCAGTGCCTGCCACGACGTGAATGAGTGCTCGTCTTCCAAGAACCCGTGCAATTACGGCTGCTCCAACACGGAAGGGGGCTACCTCTGCGGCTGCCCACCTGGGTACTACAGAGTGGGACAGGGGTAAGGCCCTCCCCCTCCCCACACACGGGAAAGTGAGCGGGGCTCAGTGCCTGGCCGCCTGGCACTCGGGGAAGGTAAATGGTGATTAAAAGTTGACTAGGGAAAAGCACTGATCAGAGCCTTTAGGTGTGGGAGGAAGAAGCTCCAGGAAGGCATGTGGATTCCCTGCTTTGTGGTGAGCACAGGACTCGAACTTGTATACGGGTATCATTCTCTTGCCTTTTAAAATGGCCTGAATAAATCCCTTAAGGCCAGAGACAACAGATGTGGCTCCTATGTTATCACAGACACCTGGGCTAAGAGATACAAATGGAAATAGCTTCGCCCAGATTCTTACATGAATTTTGGCAGGTACTAGCCCTGTGCTCGGAGAAGGCAATGGCACCCCACNACCCCTCTCCAGTACTTTTGCCTGGAAAATCCCATGGACGGAGGAGCCTGGTGGGCTGCATTCCACGGGGTCGCTAAGAGTCAGACATGACTGAGCGACTTCACTTTCACGCATTGGAGAAGGAAATGGCAGCCCACTCCAGTGTTCTTGCCTGGAGAATCCCGTGGACAGAGGAGCCTGGCGGGGTGCCGTCCATGGGGTCGCACAGAGTGGAACACAACCCAGTGACTACGCACAGCCCCGTGCTCCATGAGGAAGGAGCTGTCCCGCTCTTCGCTCATCTGGCCTTTTGCTGCACAGAGAGGACTTGCCAGGTTGGAGTGACACTGTCTCTTCCAGGCTGGGCCCCCTCAGCTAGTCCCACTTTCCCAAGAGCAGCCGTCTCAAGTGCTGTCAGCTGAGGTGCTGGCCACCTGCCTCCTTCCTTCAAGGAAGCCGGTGGTCCACAGCATAGCAGATGGGAATTCAGGAGTCACCTTCCTCAGAGGGAACAGTGTGTGAGTCAGACACTGAGGGTTGTGGACTAATATGTCCACAGTGGGTACATAGTAATGCTTGAAGCAGAAATCTTGGTGTAGACAAGGGTCGTTTAGCATCAGCTTGCTGACTCTTTCACTAATCAAAATAGGAGTTCAGCAGTCTCAGTTGGTAAGCAGCAAATGTAGGCTTCAGGCTTTGGAATCAACAGAACTTCTAACACTCTCTGAAAATTCATACTTGACTTTTACCATCTCGATTTAACTACACAGAGTGCTTCAGTCTAATCAGGATTGAAAATTGAGGAAACTTGGGGCTCACTGTTGGAAGAATTTTGCTGTTTAAAATAAAGGAGAATCTCATGCATTAAGTGCTGAAGAAAAGTTACCAAGGCTATTAGGTTTTTATGTTTATGATCTTAGGGTTTGCTTTGTGGGTTTCTTATTTTGGAAAAACCTCTGCTCTACCTCTGGAAATAGAGTTATGATGAAGTCTGACATCAATTTGCATCTCGTTGCAAATAGCCACTGCGTCTCAGGAATGGGATTTAACAAAGGGCAGTACCTGTCAATGGATACAGAGGTCGATGAAGAGAATGCTCTGTCCCCGGAAGCGTGCTATGAGTGCAAAATCAACGGCTACTCTAAGAAGGACAACAGACAGAAGAGAAGTGTTCATGAATCCAAACACATTGCTGTGAGTAACTTCACTTTATTTTGTCATCAGATTTTTTCCATATGGAGTCATGTATACTATTGCAGTAAACTTTTATGTAGGTTTCAGCCTTAGTGGAGCTAAACCTCCACCTCGTGAAATTCATCAGCTTAGTTAATGGACAAACTATGGCAGAGACAAGTAAGTTAAAATTAGTGGTGTTTTTAACTCAGAACCAGAGAAGGCAATGGCACCCCACTCCAGTACTCTTACCTTGAAAATCCCGTGGACGGAGGAGCCTAGAAGGCTGCGGTCCATGGAGTCGCTGAGGGTCGGACATGACTGAGAGACTTCACTTTCACTTTCCACTTTCATGCATTGGAGAAGGAAATGGCAACCCACTCCAGTGTTCTTGCCTGGAGAATCCCAGGGACGGGGGAGCCTGGTGGGCTGCCGTCTATGGGCTCGCACAGAGTCGGACATGACTGAAGCGACTTAGTAGTTAACAGAAAGGACTGAGGGACTTTAAGATTCAGTTTCAGATCACATGTTGGCATTTTTGACTTGTGCCAGGAGGTAATAAGATGTCCTTCTAGAAAATAACTACTTTGAAATGATTCAAAAAATGAATTTATTGTGAATCTGTGCAATTCTGTTGTATACATATGTAGTATACTGGTCTGATCTTAATTTTCAGTAGGTAAGCCAACCATGTGTCACATTTTGTGACATTTATAAGACAGATGTTCCTTCCATAAAAGTTTTATCTCCAAATAACTTGTATTTTGTAAGGAGCTGAAAATCTGAATTGCCTGCTGCTGCTATTTCTTTCTGTTCATGGTATTTAGCAGAGTGGTTAAATGGGTGGGCCACAGATTCTTGGTTTTGAATTTATTCCCTGACCCTCTGTACTTACTACCCATGTTACACAGAGCATATTTACTTAGCCTCTCTCTACCTCAATTTCTTCACCTGTTAAAATGGAAATAAAAATATTTACCTCCAAAGGCTGGCAAGAAGATTAACGGAGCGATTACTGTGAAGCTTCTGAAACGGTGCCTGGCATAAATATTGACGCATGTTCTCCAAATAATACCCAGTATCTGGAGGTGTTTTCCCCCAGAGATCAGGGAGACCATCCTCGTCATTTAGTGTCACTGCAGAATTCCCCATCAAAACAGCTAGTCAGCAGCTAACTGGCTGTGTGCATTGGGCAACTTGCTTCAGTTTTCTGGGCCTCAGAAGTGTATAAGATGAGACTTCTCTAGCCACAAAATCTCTGGTTCTTTTTTATAATAGTACATAAGCCAGCATTACATTTACCTTAAATAGATTAAGGTACCTAGCTGATGTTTAAATATGGCAGCTGAGCTATTCATTAAGTAAGCCAGACTACAGATCCAGAAATTCTGCTTGTAAAACCCTCCTGTTGTGGTTCTAGGGGGCTGCATGCTGAAGGGGGCACCTTGGTACCACAGTCCCCAAGTTCTTGGCAGGCACCCACTCAAAGCATTGATTTTTTTTTGCCCCTGTCTTACTGAAATAAGCTTTCTTAAACCTCCCATACGTCTGACCGAGGGAGACTTGGTGTATCTGGGCCCTGCCCCATGGGCTTTTAATCAAAGCTGGTTCAAACCTGAACCCTGATGACTCTGGAGATCCCCCCCTCTGCACTGACAGCTCCCAGCAAACACACTCACACGTGGTTTGTGGCCAGAAAATCTACCTGGGCTTTCAGAGTGAAGATCCCTCTAAGCACAGTTAAAACAACTGCACTTCTCTTTCAACTCCGACAACAAAAAAATTACCATCATTTCCTAAGTTGTCTCTTGTTTATTATTAATAAGCATGATATTTCATAAACCCTCCCAAAAAAACTTGAAATATGAGTGCTCCCCATCAGCTCGGCCCTGTAACCTTACCTGGATAAGGTGCGGGAACAGTCGTAAAGATCTACAGGGCACACTCGGTGGAAGTGACCTTTTCTCCCAGCCGAGGGTGAGTTACAAGCAGGCAGGCAGAGACAGTATGTCACTGTGGCTGCACCCCGCCCCCCCCATGGCCGGCTCCTGCAAGTCCTCGGTTTGTGCTGTCAAAGCGCTTCCCACACCGTTTCCTGCTCTTCTTCCAGGTTAAACAGATCAGCCTGGAGAGCGTCGACATGGACAGCCCGGTGATGATGAAGTTTAACGTCTCCGGCCTTGGTGCGAAGGAGCACATCGTAGAATTCATGCCCGCCATCGAGCCGCTCAACAACCACATCCGCTATGTCATCTCGCAGGGGAATGACGACGGCGTCTTCCGCATTCACCAGAGGAATGGGCTCAGCTACTTGCACACGGCCAAGAGGAAGCTCGTGCCTGGCATGTACACACTGGAAATCACTAGCGTCCCTCTCTACAAGAAAAAGGAGCTTAAGAAACTGGAAGACAGCAATGAGGATGACTACCTCCTAGGGGAGCTGGGGGAGGCTCTCAGAATGAGGCTGCAGATTCAACTCTATTAACCCCTTGCAGACTTGGTTCCAGGCTCAAATCCCTGCACAGCCAGCCTTCAGAAGCCTCTGAGAAATCAATGACTAGTTTTAAAGAGGAAAGAAAAAAAAGACTTTTGTTTCTTTCCTCCCTGTCTCAGACTTCAGAATGTTGACCCTCACAGGGAGGGATAATGTAGACTCTGGTGTGGCCAAAGATTTGAGTACAAAGGCAACCGTGGTTACTGTATTTTTATATAACTTCACTTTAAAGTATATTAAAAAACTAAATATTCAAGAGATCAGCATATGGCACTAAATGCACAAAAATAATGTGAGCTTTTTTTTTTTTTCCTGTTAGCAGTCTGTAACACTTTGGGTATTTTGCTATAGTTGCTAATTAAAAAAATATAGATGTTTATTTATTTTTAATGCAGTAATATATGGAGAAATGAACAAACTATGTAAACAAAAAGGGAAACTCACTTGTTTTTCTTTAGATTTATAAATTTGAGCTATTTCTTTTAGAGGTGCTTTTTTTTAAAAAAAAAAAAAATTCAGTAGATTCAAGAGATGTTTCCTTTGGTTTTCTGCCAGTCGTCCAACTGGTACACATCTGATTATTTTAAAGGAAGCCTCACAGAGCTGAATAGGCAGTAATCAATGTGTCATTAGATCCTTTATAAAGGAGATCAAAGCCAGAGCAGCTCACTGTGATGATACTCCACATCAGCAGACACACCAGGCAACAGAGGATGAAGCTCAACCACTGTAGCAAAATACCTTGACTGCTTGTGAGACCAGTAGCGTTGCAGGCCAAACCGTACTGTATTTCCTTCTCATAACCTCAAGGAAGCACATGTGCTACCCACAACACCTCATTCTTACCCAGGGCATGCTGCATACTTGTGGTACTGTAGGCAGCTGAAGAACTGCCGTTCCTTCGGCAAGGAACACCTGGCATTCTGTAGTGTTTGGTGCTGTCTTAGATTAATGGTGCATTTATTACATTCAAGCTATTTCAGGATTGCCATATGTGCAAACAAACCATGCAGTACAGCCAAGGAATATATGTTTTTTTTTTTAATCCTTTTTTTTTTTTTAGAATTTTCATTAATACTGTAGTTATACACCATATGTCTCGTTTTATCATAGCCTATTGTGTATGAAAGATGTTTGTACAATGAATTGATGTCTAGTTTGCTTTTAGTCATTTAAAGAGATATTGTACTAGGACGTGCTAGTAAGTGTACGTCCCCGCATTCTTCTCAACCCAGGAACCTGTCCCTGGAGCAGTGAGCAAACCTCATACGTGAAACGGCCAAGGCACATGCAGGCTCTGGGTTGTTCTTCTCACACCCGAGCTGACCAAAGATTAGTCACTGGTCATATCCAGTTCGGGACTTTGTTTTGTTTCCTGATAACTAAAACAAAACAAACAGTGTAAATTTGTAATCAAGTGTTTGTGAGGAAAAACTTACGGCTTTTGGTTTTGTTTGTTTTTCGTAGGTCTGTGTATCAAATATGACACTTTTCTTGCAATAAAGCTTATTTTGGGGTAGCTTTGTGGCTGCGAGTTCTATGAGACCACAACCCTTGTTGTGTTTGTGGGAGGGACTGGGGGGCTCTGCTTTGAGGGACCTGTATGCAAATACCAGAAGGAGAGCCAGGCACATTTTTTACAAGAAAACAAGGGACTGCTGTCTGTGACACAAAACAAGCGGGAGTGTTCAGCTGACAGTTCACGATTTGAGGCGATATTCGAACAGAAGGACACAGTCACGGCAGTTAATTGCTCACCTCTGTGTGGACACTAAGCTGCCCAGGACTCATCATCCTAGAGACCCCAGACTCTGTTGATTTCATCCTCACCTGTGCTTTGACTGCCATCGTGTTAAAGCACCCAAGATGAAGTGAAACATTCGAAGACTCTCCCTTCTTAGGGTTTTTCTGAACTTGAGCTTTTAAGCAAAAGTATACAGCAGGCATACCGCAGGCCAAATGGTACCTTCACCGCAAATAACCCAGAGCTTTCTGTCTCTTGCAGTCTTGCAGTCTTACACTGTCCTCAGTGGACAAGTGTATAGATAGGAGAAGTCATTTGGCTCTCGTCTGATAGCACAGCTGAAATGAGCACAGATAGGTCTCTGAAGTTAATTCAATACGAAGTTTGAGAATGTGTGTGCTGAAATTCTTCATCTGAGGAATAAGAAAACAAGGAAATATTATGACTGATTTTAATGCTGTTCTTAGCCAACCAGAAATTAAGCTGCATGGAATAAGGGAAGTATTTGCCTTGGGGCATCCTTTAAAACTTAACATGCATCTTCAGTTTTATCTGGCATCTGTTACTAGTACAGCGTGAATGCTGTAATATGAAATTACCTGGAACCAAGTTTGACTCTGGATGTTGAGCAACAACAGCACTCTTAATTTAGCCTTAACTTGCTCTTGAGGAAGTTCCAGAATGCACACCAATGGGAGCTTCTCACAAAAGAGGGGGTAAAAAAAANATTCAAAAAAAAAAAAAAAAAAAAAAAAAACATTAGATGCCTTACACAGAGGATTGTACTAGAAGGAAATGATTACCTAAAGATGATCCTTCTGGGAAGAACCTTTTGGGGCACCTCTGATAGCTTTATTGCAACTCTCATTCTGAGCACTGATTCTAGCTATGATTAGTTTGTGCTTCTCTGGTAACTAAATCCTAATGATATATCCTGTACCATTTTGTCTTTCTCATTAACTGTCTGCTCAGAAATTACCTTGGCTAAGTTACAGAAAACTTCACGCAAGACCAATAACGTAAGCCCAGACATATTAAAACAAATCCAGCAAGTACATGTAATAGTAATACAATAAGCAATAATTTGGTCTTCACTTGACATAAATTCCTTTTCCACTAGCATTTCGATTTGGAGCTTTTAAAACCTTAGTCCACATTAGTACTTTTTTACTTTGTTCCTTACTTATAGTAGATGAAATTTGGTTACATTTGCACATGAAGCTTGCAAATAACTTAGAGTAATATATAAGGATTTACTCTATATTCTAACATCTGCCCTTTTTCATTATCTTGGGACATCACACAGGATAATTCATACAATCTGTGTCATCTGAGGTTTTGTTTTTGCCTTCTTGGTTCAAGAATAAATGCTGAGGGTGGAAGGTGGGGAACACAAAGTTTACAGAGCATCTGTCTGTTTGAGACCTACAGACCTTTGATTCATATCCTTGATGCTTCAAGAGAAATGAGTTAATTTATATGTTAAACTGAACCATGAGGAATTGACAATATTGGGCCATGTTTGACCTACAAAATGGTAATTTCATATGGTTTGATAAATAGAAGTACTCATATTTCTCAAGAATAGGCTAGAAATCTGAAAACTTCCTTTCTCTTTGAAAGAATCAGGTCTGTTCACTCCTTTCCATGCTGCTCCTAATTTACAATAGTCCACAAGAGAATGTACATAATTTATTCAAACACCCACTTTCTTCCATGCTCCAAAGACTTTGGAAAGAATCACACATCTTTGGGACCCTGAGGGGATTACTGGAGTCTGTTTAAAGACAGAGACAAATCCATTGGGAAAAGTTAAATATAGCCCAATGTTTTTTCTTTTTTAAAAAAAAGAGGGAAACTTTAGAAATCCCTACTTCTAAAGAGACTGGAAAGATGGTGATTCATTAACACCACACAGGAAGTGAAGGTGACATCTGTTTTGCAATCTCAGCCAGCCTGCCTTTGATATCTAGCTTATGGTTCTATTTTATTTTTTTTAGTATGATTGCTTTCTCAAATAAATACAAAGTCATGGTTTTCTTGCTTAATAAGAAGTATGTGTTTCTGACCTTAGTTCTCTTTGAAAATCTATTTGATGTACAGAGCAAGAGTTCTGAAGCACAATAAACAGCCCACTAAATTCAGCATTTCAACCACTAAGGCAGTATCACTTTGGAGGTAAAAAAATCTTCAGATCAGGCAAACCTGAGTTTATCAAGTGGGAAATGGGACAAGCTCACTGACTCTCTTGGATATGTCCCGTCTGAGATCCTGTCCACCCCACTTTTGGATGGACGGATGGGTAGAAGTCTCCTGGGTGACCTGGTGTGACATGCAAGGCACTTTTGTTCGGTCATGAATGTCCAATTCGTTGTAAACAAAAGATAAAAGAAAAGACTCACTCCAACCAGCTACATCACATCCCTGAGCTTTGGTTTCTTTCCTGAAATGATATTCCCCTGCAGAGTATCTGAGAGGATGGAGTGAGATGGTACAGGCAGTGCTGCCGGTGGAGAGCTCAGCACACAGCAAGCACTTAGTAGCTATCACCTGCTCTTCCTCTTCCTCCTCCCACTGTTCCTACAATGCACCCCCATATTCACACAAATCTCCTTCCTAAGTGTGGCCCTGAAATTGCAACCTTCCCCCTGAATTGTATGGGATAAGTGATCTGTACCCCTTGGGTATCCTTAGAAGTCCTGGCGTGGTCAAGAGCGTTTATAATCTCCACCCTGCCCTTCACTTATCGGAATCACTGGCTACAGCCCTTCAAGTTCAAGCCACCAACAGCTAGAGCCCTCTTACCTACAGATGCCTAGGAAACCAAATGTGAAGGAGCACACAGACAGACTCTGATAATCCTTTCTGGAATGACGTAGTGTCATGGAAAGTCAGAGCTGGAAAGGCCTTTGGAAACCCACTCATGTGCATGTGTGAGAAAAAGGTCCAGAGTTGTAACTGAGCTAATTCACTGTTAGTTTCCACCGAAGTGAGACCAGAACCCTGAGTACACGGTTGGAGTCTGGTGCTATTCATATTTCCACTCCATGGTAAGCCTACTTGGATCTCTTTTAAACCCTGGGGATGTAAGCCAGTTCCCATGGTTTTGGCTCCCATTGAATCCAAAAGTGTTTTCCAAGCACGACTCAAGCACTGCTTTTTGTTTTGTCTACCCCACCCTCTGTGCAACTGCTCCCAACCTCCTGTAGACCAGAGGTTTGGATACACACTGGAATGCCAAGATACCGGCTGCCACGGAGCAAACCCCACGTGAGTCATACACTGCTTTAAAGGCATACTAGAGCTCTGACTTTCAAAGGGTTAAATGTTTTATTTAAACCAGACCTTCAAAACTTCAAAAAAGAAAATACATACACATTTGTTTTATGAAGAATGCTTAGGGGAAGCACGCTAGTTGCTTGTATTGCTTAATTGTCATTTTTTTCCCTTTTCCTGTGAGACTAAAAAAGATATTACTAGGTTAAGCTGGCTTACTTTTGAAGGAGCCAAGAACCAAAAGCTCACATTAGTCACCCCCATTAGGGCTGCAGATTAAATGTCAGGATGTAGTGTAGACATTTTCCAAAGGAAAACAGGAAAATGCTTTACATGACTTTTTAGAGCAAACCATAGGGAGAGTTAGCATTAATAGCCTTCCCCAGACAACTACTGCTACATGTGTGAGTTCCTTTAATGAAATAACAGTGGAGGCTGTGAATGGCTAATTCCTGGAAAATGTGTCAAAAAAGCAGCCCCTTGGCCTGTGCAAGCTGCCTAGGTTTCTGCTCTTGCATTTACCACCTTCCTTTCACCTATTGGACCGCAGCACCCCTGTACTGAGGGAACGCATTCATGCTGTGGTGAAATTAGAGCCTCAGGCCTATGCATGCGTGCGTGCTAAGTCACTTCAGCCGTGTCAACAACTTGCAATCCTATGGACTGTAGCCCGCCAAGCTACTCTGTCCATGGGATTCTCCAGACAAGAATACTGGAGTGGGTTGCCAGGCCCTCTTCCAGGGGATCTTCCCGACCATGGGTCTCTGTGTCTCCTGCATTGGCAGGTGGGTTCTTTACCAGTAGCGCCACCTGGGAAACCCCCTCAGGCCTGTGTATTCATGGATAATAGGCCTGAGGCTGGCTCCTAAGATCCATGGTCATGTGTCAGCACCTGGAAACTCAACCTAAATGAATCTGTATCTTAATAGTTCTAGCAACTCACAGAGCAGGAGGAGAGAATATTCAGTGAGTAAGTGAAAGGACTGAGCGTACTCTGAGCCTCCCCATAGGATCTGCCACCTTGGGTAGTGGTGGGCTACCAACAAACACCATGGACCTCCCAGGAGGAGCTGGGCCTCATCTAAGGAGTGGGTTGTTTCACAGTGACAATTTCACTGGAAATCCTCTGAACAGATTTCTGTGGGTCACTCTGGCAGTATCTTCTCATCTCTCTGGAGGATTTTCTTGATTTATGCTGCTTTTTTGCACCTTTGTAGGGTACCTCATAGATCTTACCCAAGATGAGAGCATATTGAAGGCTCTTGGGAGGACTGACTATAATTTGGATTTGTCACACTGATGCGCCCCATCCAAACCTGAACTGAACTTACTGTTTCTTCTGTAGTGCTGTGGGTAGGAGGAGGGGCCCAGTAACTTCTCCACTTAGAGGGAGATTACACAGTTCTTATTTTTGAAACAAACTGATGCCAGTAAATTTGGAAAACTCAGCAGTGGCCACAGGACTGGAAAAGGTCAGTTTTCATTCCAATCCCAAAGAA